TAGCGGCACCCACCAGGCGCCATCACTCAGTGCCAGCCAAAGAGACCATGCCATAGCCACGATGTCTCAGCTCCAGCGCCTTTTGCTGGTGACAGAAACCAATCGTGGTGGCCTGATCAGAAATCGCTGGCGTATTTAGCTGAGACCTCAATGACATTTCCCAATACTGCAGATTCGAGCTTATGGACTAGCTGTCCCAAGCCACACCATTGAGATCGCCTATTCCGGCTCAACCGACTGCAGCGACCGATGCAACACACAATTTTCCTACAACGAGGGGAGCCACATCTTTCAAAGACTTGTAGAACCTAGACTGTTTCGGTCCAAGCAGGGTGGAATGGTAAACTGCCAGTGCTTTTTGCCTGGCGCAAAACTTGAGTCCTTTAGGTAGTGGTTCCTGCCAAGTTTCCTTTCCCGAATGCCTCAAGCATGTCGGAAACATAACCAAATTTTCCTCCTAGAAGCCTACTTTGAAGGTTGCCTTCCCTGCGTAACTCTATGACAGAGGGCACAACAACAAGCGGCGAGTTGGTCTACCTCAACGCGAGAGGCTTCGAGGTCAAGAAAGTCACCAGCTGCATATTCAAGATGGCCACCGCCCGATTCTTCATCTTGCTCGCTTGCTTCCTCGGACTGAGCAGCGTCGTTGCTGGTGCAGAACTGTCATACCAGGACATCCCAAGCTGTGCCGTGAGTAGAGATCATAATAACCGATTTCGATATGGAACCTACTCACACGAATAGGTCAAATGTATCTTCCAAGAAATAGGCCATTCCAGCTGTGCCCTGACGAACCAGACATGCATGTGTAATGACGATGTTTTGGCCGGATACGTACAAACATGCGTCGAAGCAAACTGCACAGTCAAAGAAATGCTTGGTAAGAGAAGGAGCGGATCTGATCGCATCTACGCAAAAGACCGAAGCTCATCGTTGCGTCTTGTAGTGTCCCTCAACCAGTCATTAGCTGTCTGCGGAGTGCCTCCGTCCCAGCACACCAACGTTATGCAATGGTTCCGTGCGATTGTGTTCGCCTTTTCGACTTTCTTCTTTATCGTACGGGTTGCCAACAAGTATATGAAGCTTTCGACTTGGAGCTGGGACGACACGACCTTAGTCGTGGCATATGTATGGCTTGTCCTCCCAGCGAAACAAGGTCTTTTTGTTGACACTGTTGCAGGTAGTCCTCGCAGCTTTTCTACCGGCGAGCTACCTTTGTATGTTTCTCGGCGGTCAAAATTATGCGCATCCCGATACTAATACATGTCATTTGCAGCCGAAAGGTACGGTGCTGGAAGAGACATCTGGACGCTCACTCCTGAACAAATTACAGATTTTCTTCTCGTAAGGCCCTAATGCTTGAAACGATCGCCCGGGTATCAACAGCACACTGACTATTGACAAAGCTGTTTTTCATCTTTGGCATGTTGTACATGACTAGTCTAGCTTTCATCAAGTCATCGATCCTGTTTTTATATCTCCGTATTTTCCCCGACGAAAAGTTTAGGAGGATTTTGTGGTGTACGCAGCTTTACAACCTTCTGCTCTGGACTTCTTTCATTGCTGGATCATTTGCCTCCTGTCAGCCTTTGCACTTTTTCTGGACTGGATGGACGAGAGAGGCGGAAGGCAAATGCTTCGACCTGAACGCTTTTGCCCTGTGCCATGGCGTGACTAATGTCGCGTTAGATGTATGGATGCTTTTACTGCCGGCATCTCAAATCTACAACTTACGAATGGAGCGCAAGAGGAAGTTGGGGGTCATGCTTATGTTTGGCGTTGGGATTTTGTGAGTAAGGTCACGTCTTGGAGCATTGCATAATGCTAACTAGAGGAAGTCTCACGGCAGTCAGCGCCTACCGTATTAAGGCGCTTCTGATATTTGCGACATCTTATAACGTCACAGGTTGGCCTCCACCTGAAATCACCCTGTTCACTAGCAGCCCAGCTAATGGTAACTATTAGAAGATTCATTTCAGAGTTCTATCTGGTCCCTTATCGAGCTCTGCGTGGGAATCTTTGTCGCCTGCCTCCCAAGCACACGCCAAGTGTGGAGGGTTGTTTCCCCCAAGATCTTTGAAGTAACGCACATTTACTCGAGTTCGGTTAAATCACCCAGGGGCTCCAAGGCTGTGAGCCAAGCCTCAAGAACGGTGTCAGGCGCCCATGAGCTACCACGTGTCGCAGTATACGAAGAGTCATCGATAGCGCATTTGGTCGGAGATTTTAAGAACATCGATCTTAATGACCCGAGCCCGACGGAAAAAGAACCCCCAAAGACGCCGAAGAATCGGATAGAGGCGAGAACGGAACCCTCGTCGGGCAGCTCGAGAGGCAGCTGAGGACTGAAACGAATCAGGATATCTCTTGATGGTTCTTGGAAGTGCTTGAGGATTTCGAACTTCGATATACGCACAGCATCGACGGGCCAACCAGCTGAAGATTTCGACAAAGGTTAACGATGCCCGGAAAATGATCATTCAATCATGACAAAACAGATTGAAGAGAGTGAGGCAGGCCAAGCCTTGACAGGTCAGTCTTCAGCTTCGAGCTCACGATCAATACTTAACTCTCGCCACGCTGAGCGACTGCAAACAAACACAAAACACGAGAGAGCTATGAGGCTCTGTGGTTTGACTTGCCCTAAGACAGGAAGTGAGGGACTGTTATACACCCGATACGACCGGACGGAGAAGGCTCGGAACAAATGTTGCCCTTTATGACAGAAGCCAAAGTATATGACCAGCTTTAGTCAACGAAATTCAGCCGTAAGAAAAAGTAAAGCTTGCCCAGACTTGATCTCAGAGTATGAAGATTCGGGGAAAAGAAGTACAAGACGGTTCCAAAGGACCCAACTTAGCTTTGGCTCTGGTCGTTTGCAAAAGACCGCATAGGAGGGTTCTTTGTGAAACCGAACGGCGCCTGATTCTGATAAACGCAGTTCAGTGAAACATCCAAGGATTTTTGGTCTCCAAGTCTATCGACACTTATTTAAGGTGTATCAACCACTATAGCACGCCAAGCCTGGGCTGTTGCCTGCTAGCTACCGAACCAATCAACTTGCATTCGAAGAAGGAGGGGTATCGGCTAAGTCAGATGGGGATCGGACTTTTTGGTTGAAGCTGATTATCTTTCGCCACCCAGCATCCCCATTTGTAGAGCAGGGCGCCTCGACTGAAAACAACTACAGTTCTGCCAAATACAAACAAGCAGGTTTCGTCCGTTTTGGTCATCAAAATGGCGCAACAAGAAGGCATTTACCAAACTCTATCAGGTAGTTTCCTTTCTATACTGAGCATAATGAGCATAGGTGCTGACCTTAGACGGAAGGGGAAAAAGCAACCGACGAGCAATCTGGAAATGCTTCCCCGACATCCTGCCACGGAAAGCAAAAGACGAAAGACGAGGATTGGGAGGTTATATCCAGACCGACAACTGAAGCAGAAACTCACGGGAAAGGCTTCTCAAGCAGTTTTGATCTGCAGCTCGGGTGGGGAAGCTGGAGGACTTCCGTGCTTCACTGGGATGTGAATGTCAGTACGGAGCATACTCACCTACCCTCCAGTTCCCCCAGCACGGGCAACACTGGGAAAGACGAGAAGGAGGCGTAAACGAACATCAATACCACGTGGATGATGTTTGGTTGATGGGGTCCGGTATTCAGGACGCTATATCTAGGTCCTTTGAACTGTAGATGTTTTTGACCACTTCCTGGGCGAGTCACTCAATGCGGCTGACTCAGCCACTTGAGTAACCCGCTTCAAACTTTCATTCTTTACAAGGATGAGTCCGGGCAGCTCTCGTGATCTTTCAGGTCTTGGTGGCGAATGCTGTCAACCGAAAAGAAGGGGTGTCTCCTAAGCTCCTAGGCCCGGATCGGGCCCGCGGAGGCGATGGGGACAGAACCCCCCCCGTCCCCCCCAAGAGTCTCTAGTCGCGTGCTTTCCATTAGACGAACCCAGTAAATCTAGAGATCGCCATCAAAAGTGGCATCAGGGGGATCGAAGAGTAAGACAGGAAACGGAAAGATGTGTCGGATTGCACGTGGGTCTCAAATGCAGCCACAGGAACGGCGCATCAGTCTCAGATGACAAAGGAAACAAGAACGCCCCCCATCGACAGGTTTGGGCTGAGCACGAAGTGGTTTAAGTTTACCTTCACACGAACCGTTGAACAGTGAAAAAAGTCAAATGCTGGAATCCATGCCCTGGTAAGTCATTGGAGAAAAAGTCATTCAAGACTTTGACAGAAAAGATTTAGAGTTTTAGACTTACCGGACCAAGCGGCATGACGCAAAAGCCAAACATGACAATACCAGCGACGAACCCATCCAGCGTGCAGTGACGGAACCAAGAGGATGGAAAAAAAGGACACCCATCACATTGCTGTGACGAGCGCATTCGATCCAGACGGGACTCGAACCCGCAATCTTCTGATAAATTTCCGAAAATCCATTTGTGTGAAAATCAATCGAAGTCAGACGCCCTACCAATTGAGCCACCAGACCGAAGGATGAATGGTGATGAGAATATTGCTTACTCATCGATGAAGGAATAACAGCCCGCGTTAATCTCATATAGTGAGTGAGAGGGGCGGCGCTTTTGAGAGCGGAGCCTGCAGCGGAGAGTGGAAAAGTGTGGACTGTGTTGCTGGAAGTGGATCCGTGGATCGCCCGAGTCGACTTACATGGATTGGCATGACGAGGGATGATGGAGTGTCCTCTGAAAGACGGGTTGTAGTTTTACAGTATTAAGTATTGGTATCTACGCAGCATTACTTGCGCCGTGGATGCTCTGTTATGTCTTCCCATGCTTATATACAGCAGAAAGAAAGATAACCAATAGCGGAATCCTCCAGGGCCTTCCCTTCCATGGCGCTCATGACAAACCAGCAGCAGAAATCGATTCTCCCAAAGTCAAGTCTCGCATCCGAGTGTTTTCTTAACCCCATGGTCACAGTTTATTTTCTTTTTTCAAGACATACGCAATTGAAATTCCCGTTTATGCCTTGTACCAGTTCTCGGGGGCGTCACCGAGACACTCTCCGACGGTGACGGCACGGTATCCCCTGGCCTTGAGGGTATCAATCATCTTCTGCACGAGGGACACAACGGTCTGCTGGTGGACGTCGTGCGACAGAACAATGTAACTATTGGCGGCGGCGTCGGTGCTGAGCTCGTTGTCAAACTTCTCGGCCGAGATGTGCGTTGTCTCGGGCGTGTCGTTCTCGTAGTCCTTGGTGTCGAGGCTGGTGTCGATGACGTGGTAGCCGAGGCCGGCCATGTCGCTGAGGCAGGCGTCGTCGCAGGACAGGAAGGGCGGGCGCACGTACTTTGGCGCGAAGCCGGCGATGCGGCGGGTGGCATCCTCGAGCTGGGTCATCTGCGAGATGCGATCGGCCGAGGAGAGGGTGCTGAGGTCCGGGTGGGAGTAGGTGTGGGAGCCGATGAGGTGGCCCTCGTTCTTCATGCGGATGATGGTGTCCGGGTTGGGCGCCTCCTCAATGTTGGCAAAGTTGTTGCCGTTGACGAAGAAGGTGGCCTTAACGTCGTTGGCGGCCAGGGTGTCGAGCAGCTGCTGCGTGAAGGTAAATGGGCCGTCGTCGAAAGTGAGGGCGACGAGGCCTGGCTGGGTGCACGTGGATATGGTCTGGCCGACGGGGGGGCCTTGACGGCGAGAGACAGGTCTGGGACGTGTTAGTTTTACGTCCGTGTCTAAGGGCCAGGAAGGTTGGAAGCAGAGGGAAGGGGAACGTACCCTGCGTTGGCACCCCCAGTGAGGACAAGCACTGCAGCGGCGCCAAGAAGAGTAGAGTAATACATAGTTGCTGTGACGGAGCAATAGACTCGAAGCAGGTGAGAATGGGGAACGGCAGGGACAGCGAGCAAGAAAGTCAGTGAGGCTGGACTCGGACGTGGGAGTCGTTATTAAGCTTGCTTGGCTGGTGGAAGTGGGATGCAGAATGAAGTAAAGTCGAGAGGTTGGGCAGGACGGGGGAAAGGCAGAAGACTTATATGACTCAAAGTTGGGACGTTACGGAGAATAGGTCTGAACCAAGGGGAACATGGAACAGTGAACGGTCCGGGATGATGATGGGTCCTTGCCAAGAGCTCACCTCTACGGGTCGACCCATCCGAGAATAGAGTCTAATGTATGTCCCGCTAGAGAGACGAACCCGCAGGCGCCGGGCGGCAGCGTGTGACGGGTGGCTTTCCTGCCTCATCGTGGAGAAGTTTGAGAAACGGGACGAAGACGACGAAGACGGTGCCCCGCCTCCATCTTGCATAGAAGCACTTGCTTCAGGGCCTCCACGGGCTGGCCGCTCAGCCCTGGACGCCACGATGTCTTGGCGACTATGGGGGATACACTGGATGAGGCTCCGATACGAGCTATAGGTTGAATATAGCACAGTCGAGGCATGATGAGCAGGGTAAGTCGAAAAGAGATGGCCGTAGGAGATCCGCGGCGCAATTCGACGTCAAGAGGCTTAGAGACATGTAAGCTGACTGGACGGGTTCTTCTCGCATGGGGCTTCTCCTGCAGGCAGACGCCAAAAGACATGGTACTTTTGGACGGAGAGAGAGAGAGAGGAGGAAACTAGTCGATCGGGATGTGGACGATGGAGACGCCCGAGCGGTCTGTCATTCGGTCATCCTGGACTCGGATGTGCCCAAGAGAGAACGGCCGCCGGAACAGAAGCGGCGCCACCAACGCCAGAAGGCAACAAGGTTGGCTGGTTCGGAAGTGACTGAATAGTGTGAATGGTGCCAGGCAAAAACGGTGAGCTGGTGTGCTGGTGTTGAAATGTTGACATTTACGCAAGACTCGAGGAGAGCCAGGGATCAGCGAAACGTGGACGGGGTGGAGTCAGCCACAAGCGCCGCTCGTTGCTGTCTCGGGATGGACCCAGGATTCATGGTAACAAAACCACCCCGACCATTGGCGCACCGTTGCGGGACAAAGGCCTGCTGTTGATCCAGTCTCTGCCTAGGCTGGCCACTTTTTTTGTCGTCGTCGTCGTCGTCTGTTTGAATCAGAGAGTGGGAAAGCCGACAGAACGCCTAGAATGGTGTTTCTGATGCTGGAACGAGGGGTTCCCCTCGATGGGGCTACCTCTGCCGCAAAACGGAAACCAAAGCACATCGTCGCAGCGCAAATTGCTTGTGCTCCTGCAGAGACAGAAGCAGATGACCCCAAGGGCAAGTGAGGCAGTAGAAGCAGCAGCATTGATGTCGCATTGTGGCGCGGCGCTCCTGGCGCTGAGGTCATCCGGCAGTAGAAAGCGAGATAAATTGCCGAGCGAGGCTCTTTCGTGCTTAATTCCCCTCTCGGGACTGCAGCCTAGGAGTGAGAGGCTGGGCTGGGGTTGTGAGATGAATGGTGGGATGCGGATGCCTGCCAGCCTCCACTCGCGGTTAACCATACTATGTAGATCGTTCCGCTTACTAGTATTGGGAACCATCTTAAGGATAGGCATCGCTACGAGGAGCCACGTTAGTTTTAGTGCGGTTCCCCCTCTGTCTGGGGAGAATACGGAGCGCTTGGCAGATAGCGCGAGCGCGCGGGCGGGGAGGGCCAAAAGGAAAGGAAGAGGCTTGGGCGAGAAAACTGGGCTGTGTGGTGTGGTAAGACGGCCGCGGAGCTGAGCAGAAGGAATCAACCCGCGACGGCCAAAGGCCCGAGGTTCAGAATCCTCTCAGTCGGCCAGGATGCTAATGCATCGGGGACGTGTGCCAAGGCCCCGACCGCTGGCTGAGACTGGCTCTCCTCTGGCCTCGATGGTGATCGTCCAAAAGCCGTCAGGCGAGACTTTGGGTGACTCGGCCGGGCGTGGATTATGGAATACGAAGACTGTCGTGGAACCTCTGATGCAGGGGATTGCCGTGAAGTGTGCCCCGTTATCGATCCTATGTCAGCCATCTTCGCCCTGAATTCATCGGAACTCCCTCGGTAGGACGACGATATCTTGACTCTTCCGTCAGTGCATTCAGCGACGAGCGTGCTCCCGTCTTCAGAGTTGTCATGGTACGATGGCAAAAAGCTTGGCTTGTCGTGTCATTGTAGATGCCCACGCACGCCGCGATGGGCAAATGTGTTAGAGAAGAGGCCGTCAAACCAAGACAACCAGGCCTTCCTTGTCTGCGAGACGACGCCCAGCGACCTCTTCTTCGTCCCCTGTCTGCCGGTGCATGGTGACTTGGCAATGCGACAGCGGGCTTTTGCTGGATGCGAGTAAGGAAAGATGGTCGACTGTTGGCCTTACGGAGGCGCAGTGAGGGTACACGCTGCTACGACTGCTGACATGCTGCTGAGATCGACCCCTGTCTACCTTTTTTCTTCGCGCCTCAGAGAAGCACCTGTTGCCGAGGTGGTGAGGGTGTTGGTTGCTTTGCCTTGCCTGCTCTGCTCTGCTGCTACAGCAGACCAGACAAGAGGCGATATATTTCCATCGCCACAAGGCCAGAAAGCAGTCCGCTTGATGCTGGTGGGCAGGTGGTCGGGCCGGAGGCTGAAACAAGCGTAGTGCCAGCGCCACAATCGCGACAGAACAAAGGACGAACTCGTCCACGTTGTAGTCCGGTAGGTAAGCAGATGTTCCGACTCGTCAAGCTGCTTAGAGTTTGAGATTGGAACTGGGACTGGGACTGGGGCTGGGCCTGGGGGGTTACAGCAAATCTGGAAATGGGCACGCCGGCAAAATAGAACCATGATGCTGGGACTCGATTCGATCATAGGTACCACGGCCTGAAAGCCCCCATTACACCCAGAAACGGTACACTTTCAAAACGTGGGACCTCAATGTCTTTACAACCTTTCAGTGGCCAAGGCTCTTGGCAGTAAAACCGGAAACCCTACCCAGGGGTCACCCCAACTTGTCGGGTCCCCGCGCTGTGAGCTGGAGTGTACCGTTTGCGAACCACCACCAAAAAGAGAGTGTGTGAGAGTGAGTGAGTGAGTGAGTGAGTGAGTGTGTGTGTGTGTGTGTTGAACTGTCGTCCGTCCTCATAGGGTCTTTCGCTGCTCAGTGTTCTTGACAAAGAGAAGGGGAAGGGAGGTCGTGCTGACCCGGCGCGGCATCTCATCTACTTGCCCCCTCATTTCCTGTCAAGCCGCCTGTCAAGCCGACTTTCAAGCGCCTGTTGCCTGAGCGAGCGAGCGAACGAACGACCAAACGAACGAGTGCTGCAGCAATGCAAGTTGCTTAGCGCAGGATCGACAGGTGACGGACTTATGTTGCCATGGGACCGGCTGTCTCACAGGTGAACCAGGCGACGCTTTACAGATAGAACCCGTCAGCCTGCAGTTTTCCAATGGAGGCTCCTTGTTTTTTTCAACATTAAGACCATACACAGAAGCAACGGCCCAGCCTTCAATGCAACCCCCTCAACTGCACAATGCTATCCACGGGCAGATGTTGGCTTGTTCCTTTCAGCGGGCCGAGATGCAGAAGCGCCCATTGTTTTTTGAGACAGGACTTTTGTGAGGCGACGAGACATAGGCTTGACGTCAACAAAGATGCTGGAGCGATGTCCCCTGCTCTTGTCGCGATGCACGGCCACGTCAGGCGCGCCGGTGAGGTCTCGTAAGAGCGTTGGAATATGTTGGGGCGGAATTGCGATTTCTCTTCCCCCCCCCCCCAGCTGAAGACCCTTTCCGATGAGAAACGGACGCCACCCGAACGGGATCTGCTAGGCTCACACGGCCAGCGCCATCGTTCCGAACGGAACGTCGTATTCATCAAACGGAGGTCCAGAGGGGCACTTGGTTTACGGGACGCTGATGACGCCCGAGATCGACATCCGGGGGGCACTGGGAGAGGATGGCGACCAACACTCTCTCCCCAGACCTCAAAGCTTCATGGGCCCCGGTTCTTTGCGGAGCACCGCCGAGATTTCGTATTTTCTCTCAACGGCATCGATTTCTCGTCTCTGCTGCCGGATGCCCCTCCATGCAACGAATGCCAAGACTTTTTTTCCCCGTATCTGAAGCACGGCAAAGCGAAGTTTCAAGATCCGCGGCAGCATGAACTTGCCAAGACTCTCTGGCTTGCGGGTGACAGCCCACTCACAGACCTCCGTCATGAGTCAGCCGCGCCCCGATGCTGCGATCTCGGCCGACCGCCGAAGACGTGGTACGCGGTCTTCCGGCTGATATTGAGACGTTGTCAAAACGAATTGGCGAAGATTCGACGTTGCACAATGGCGAAACATCAGGCCTGATGTTTGATGGGACCGTCCCGACCTCGATTTGAGATGGCGACATCGTCCGCGCACTTGTTTCCAACCTCACGATCAAACGGGTCTCGTCGTTTCCGCCCCCACGTTGCCGAAGAGGGTATCGCGAAGGCGGAAGGGGAAAAAAGGGCTGCTGAATCAATGGCAGTTCCAAATGGTTCTCTTGCGTATTCAGTCGCAGAAGCAAAGGCCCGCCAAAGTGGCTCGACTTCTGGCCTCGTAATCGGTGTATAGCGCACGGCCAACGTATCTCGAGAGGTTGAACACATCAGCGAATGCAGTCGGCGGACTGGCAGAGCGTGCTTGGGTGATTGGGATCTGGACTCCTGCGACGTCGCCAGGGCAGTCGTCCGGCTGTCTTCGATGGGGCCGCCATTGTCCTCTCCATTGAACCGCGTGGCCAGTGCCGTTGGTGGTCCTTGGGCTCGCATAGGTGTATGCTCAACCTCGCTCAACCCCTCATTCGCTTGGCAATATCGCTGAAAGCGTCCGTATCCATGGGCGAGCTAGCTTCTAGTGTTCTCTGCCGCGCCGTTTCCACCAACTGCTAGTCCTTCCTTGGGGCGTTTGATGGTCTTCTGCTTCCCGCCAGCCATCTTTAGCCATCACGCCATACCCCGATGCCAATGGACGTGGCGGGTTGGGGTATCTTCTGATGGCAGGTCAGGAGTGCTCTAACAGGCAGCCAGTGAAGGTCACCCATGGATGTGATGGCAACGCGTGATCCATGTCTAGTACATAGTTTTTGGCAATTCAAACGCCAGATTAACGAGGCTAAGACGGTAAATCTCTTCGCGCGGGTTGGAAGATGTCCGTTCAAGCGGCTTACACGAGTCGTGACCTAAGGCAAAATGCTTCTAATGCCTCCATCGCCGTCTTGCCAGAGCGATGGTCCGTTTGCTTTAGACCAGATTTTCGAGGCTTGCCACCGTTTCCAAGGCCTTGGCAACTTCTTCTTCCACATTGGTGGCAAAATGAGGTTGGGTTCTCCTAGCGAAACTCCTCAAAGCTATATCCAATTGAACTCGAAGTGAAGTTAACTCTTACGTTCGGCGAGTGAACACCAGAGGCTGGCAATCCGGCCACAGAGGCAAGTACTTTCGTGACTGGCACTGCCCTCTAAACCATCCTGCCACAACTCTCTCCAGCCCCTCAGGATCTTCATGATCATGAAAAGGGGCTCGGAGACTGGTTCTGGCTGATTTCTTCCCGTCTCTTTCGACACATACCAAGGTGGTGAGGTGTGATGGCATATCGTAATCTCGAGAATGGCGCTGTCTTCCGGGCACGACCGAACTCACCGGACTACCCATCTTCCGGTCAATGGATGTTTTTTCTTGTTATTCCACCCGGAACGTAAGTGTATGGCATCGTGGCCGACATCGCAGCCACCACTAACGCCAGTGTTGGAGGCGATAGCATCCCCTTGGTCTGTGAGTCGACCCCGATGCTAGGATATTAAAACAATCTGCACATACGACGCTTGACGGAGCCTTTAAGCGGCGGAGAAACGCCGTCGGAGGGGGGCTTCCGTGGTGCCTGAGATCTCACTACGGGTGAGCGTCGTGATCCGGCAGATAAGACTCATGCTGGCCCATTGCCGGCGGGTGATGTTGGGAAATACCGGCTTGGCCATGTGGTTTAACAAGACGTGCTTCATCAGGGTACGTGCCTCTGGGCAATGTCCAAGTGTTCATCCGTAGAATGGGAGGGCAAGGAGCGTCCAGCGATTGGACGTTACGTCTGTCAACATCCGAACGCATCCAACGGTTGTACAGCTGTTTACCCGCATGCGTACGGTGCCGGGAGGCTCTGACGTCTTGGAGCAATCATCGTCGGCTCCATTTTGTCCTTCTCGGCCGCACCAATGACCAAGAATACCGCCCAACGGTTCTTGTCAAGGAGTCCGAAGCTTCTTCCATGTCTGAAGCTCTCTGCTGGTGTTGCCGTCCTCGACGTCCAGAATAGAGGTGCCAAGCCAAAGTCCTCAGATGCCTTGAAAGAAGGTCGACTTTCGTCCTTCCTCCCGGGGCAATATGCCCGTCCAGCCTACCAACAGATTCTCGATTCGCGACACCCTGGGAATTTGCCGCGTAACCTGCGTGGTCTCAGGCCGATGCAAGACATCATCTCGCTCCCGGGTCCGCCGCCAAACGGACGCCCACCCCCCCCGCCCGATCGAGAACGCGGTCGACATTCCTCCGATTTGCAATCGCTTGCCGTCTGCACGTGTAGGTTGTTCCGAGATGGAGAGAGCTGCACTGCAACGTCCTCCATGCGAAATGGCTAAAATGGCCGGGAAGAGTGCAATTCTCCGAGAGGGCGCAGCCTCTGAGTCGCCCACATATCTGTCGGCAGAGAACGTGGCCAGTCGGCCAGCAATGCCAAGGACGTCGAATTTCTCGGGATTCCAGAAGGACATTCCCCATCTCCCAGGCTGTTGGTATATAATCACCTTGTTGTCAGGTACGAAAGGGAGAAACAAAAAGGGGAAACAAGAGTTGGGGAGGTTTTCTAGTTGTGTGTCTCCCTCCTCCATTTTCTTCAGACGATACCGGCGCCGGAAGAAGCCTGCTCCAATGACCTGAAGACAAACACCGATTTCATTCTTTCTGTGCCTGCGTTGTGTGCGTGACAGATGACAATCGGCACAGTCGTTCCAAGCGGGCACGTTCTTGGTCGAGGGAAGTGAGGCGTTGGGAAGCCGGAAGAGGAGACGAGACTCATGCGGCCGTGAGCTCATCGGCTCAGCGCTCCACAACAGCTGCCTTAGCTGTCTTTGCTCCCCAATAGCGATTTGGCTGGGCGCCACGCAGCGGCTTCTACCGCGGGCACAGCCCCTGAGCCTCCACGTCAGCACCACCCCGCCGCACCCGGACGGAGCCTGGAGGCCCTGAGCCACGCTACAAAATGGGCCGAGGACTACTGCCCCTCCCCCGCGCCGTCCCGTCGCCGGCCTCAACAACAGCATCAACAGCATCAACATCACGACGGGGCCTTTCCTTCTCTCTCCTCCTATTCCAATTCGTCATATTCGCAACATTTATACATCCCGTCATGTCTCAAGGCTGGGTCAACGCCGTCTATTACCCCAATTGGCGCGTCTACAAAGGCCAGACGCCGGCCACCCTACCGTTGAACGCCGTCACTCATGTTTTATACGCCTTTATCCAAGTCAACACGGATGGGTCACTGAAGCTCATTGACGACTGGGCGGATAACCAGATTCCCGTGGACGGCACAAAAGGATGTCTTTCGGCACTCGCCAAGCTCAAGACCTCGGCGCCTAACGTCCGCACACTCATCTCCGTCGGCGGCGGCGGAGGGAGTGCCGAGTTCCCGGCCCTGGCTGCGAACCCGGCCGCTCGCGCCCGCTTCGTCAAGGAAATCAAGGCCTTTTGCGACAAGTACCAGCTTAACGGTGTTGATAGTGAGTAAATCTCGTCTTGATGTTCTGTTCGTCCCCTCTAACACGCGTCCCAGTTGATTGGGAGCATCCGAGCGACGCCAAACAAGGTCAAGACTACATCACCCTCCTGAACGACGTCCGCAAACAAATGCCGGCGGGCAGATATCTCATCACCTCGGCCTTACCACCAGGCCAATACGTCCTAAAAAATATCGACCTCAGACGAGCCGCTTCCCTGCTCGACTACCTAAACCTCATGTGCTATGATCTGACTGGCCCCTGGACCGACATCTCCGGCAATCACGCGCAGCTGCTGGCTTCCAAGACCCTGGCGAGCAACAACCCCAACCTCAAGATCGCCTGCGCGGATGGCATCAATTATGTAATCACCAACGGCTTTCCGAGCCGCAAGCTTCTGCTCGGGATCCCTGCATACGCTCGCACTTTCCCCATGGCCAAAGGCCCCGGCGGGTCCTCCAAGAACTCCGCCGAGATTGACTACTGCGACATGTCGAATGACAGCGTGGATAAAGCCACGGTCGACACGACGGCGGCGGCAGCCTCCTACGTCGACGCGAAGAACGGGTTCATGACGTTCGACGTGCCGAAGACGGTGGTCATCAAGGCCCAGTATGCGAAGAGCAAGGGTCTCGGGGGCCTGTTCTACTGGACCGGTGTCGGGGATCGGAAGGGAAGGCAGAGCCTGGTCCAGGCCGGCTACAACGAATTGAACGGCATCAGGTAGGCATGATTGGGAAAGCAAGGGAACAAAAGGGATGTCAGAGATTGTAGTTCGCGGTATCTGACTCTACTTGTGTTACGTCGGAGAAGTACACCTGAACACCTTCCAGCCGCCTTGACGTACGGAGCATGAATGAATGAATGAATGAATGAACGAATAAACGAACGCAGGATTGACAACGATGTCAACTAAGAGCTTTTCACCGCTTCCTACCGTGGCGGGTTACGTGTGAACCCTGCAAAACATCAAGCCAAGCTTGGAGCCGCGTTGCGGTCCTTTTCAAGATTGGTGGCTGGCTTTTGATGCCATCCGAAGTTGTATGCCAGGACATTGCAAACGGGATAGGGAGGGGCTACGCTGTGAAACATGGACAGCGAACGAATAAAAAGAAGAAAGTCGTTGGAATCAAAAGTGCTCACTGTATAAATATACCATATCATCCAGGGAGGCGGCGGTTTTAAGCTTGAATTAAAGGGCCCTCCGTAATCTAAACGCCCGACAGTCCGGCAAGCGCCCACGTAGGATCCCACTCCATCGGCATCGGGGACCCCAATCGGGGTCCGGCTGCACCGCCATCCAATCATGCTGCCGTCGAGCAGGGGCCACAAGCGCGGGCCTCTCCTTATTTCTCGAGCTCGCTGCCATTCCTGCATCTCTGCGCCCTTTTCGTCCCCTTGTTCCGTCTCATCTCCTCGCCACGATCCCCGCGCCACCCCTTCAGGATCTGTCGCCCTGCTACGCGAACCGTTTCACACGCCGGGGCATCCCAACCAGCAACGCCGCGAGAGTTCACCCTCCTGCATAGCTATTGCAGACTTGGCGACACCTGGCGTTGTCCCAAGCTTTGCATCGATTCCCCTCCCATCACCTGTACCGTTGAACAAGTGTTCGGACGGCGACAAGTGATGTGCGACAGGGGGCAAAGCCAAGGGAAACAGACAATCGGATTGGCATGCTCGCGCGGCCTGGTGCCTTCGGGCCCAAGCCGACCTAAACAAATCTTCGCTGCAGTTGGCGAGATCGTGAAACCCCGTTCAAACTCGGACGCTTTGGGGCGGAGGGACCAGGACGACAGTAGCCGGCAGCGACGGTGGCTTTCTAGGCGTTGACGGGATGGCGCTTGGGTGGCAGATGACGGATGACAGGCGACGCAGGTTTGCCCGTCATGACGAGCCCGGTATAAGACTGCTTCGCCGCCGGATTCTCTCGACGGCTTCACTCACGACATCACTGCATCACTGTGTCAACTGTGGTCTCTCCGTTGCTTTCCTTCCGGCCTCGTTCGTTTTCTTCCCACTTTTCCTTTCGATCCCTTCACTTTCTTCTCAAGCACCCTGCTGAGCAGGCTTTCGTTCTTTCTCATACACTCATTCACAGACACACTTGCATTTGCTTCATCATGATCCCCCAGGCGGCAACTCTCCTGGCTTATGCCGCTCTCCTCGCTACGGCAAGCCCCGTTATTCAGCGTAGAAACGTGACGGAGCTCAACGAAGAGGCCACCAAAGAAGCGCATCCGCGCGACGACACAGCCACCCGCGCCTTCTCCAACATTCAGATCAAGACCGCCGACGGGAGGTGTCTCTTCGTCGACAAGCTGTCTGGGGACTTCCGCGCGAACCTGACTCCCATCCAGGTCGCCGACTGCGCGGTAAAAGACGACCAGGGCTGGGATGTCATTACCGCCGGAAAGCACAACGACCAGTCCAACACAATGCTCATTGTGAGCACACTGGTAAGCTTTGTGCATCCCTGCATTTCCCTTCGGTGGAATGGGACTGACCAAGGACGACCAGACGCAAGCGTGCTTCAACTTTGATCCCCGCCGTGCCGCGGGCAACCAGGTCAATCTCTTCTCTTGCGGCGGACGCGCGGCGGGCGAAGGTAAGGTGACGGGTTCGCAGCTGTTCGCTTTGGACACCGGCGCGGGGCCCTCCACATTCCAGCCCAAGAATGTACAGGGCAAGTGTTTCACGGTCAAGGGCAACGTGGTGGACGTGGCGGACTGCAACGCGGACGACAAGGCGCAGTCCTTTGCGTTTGGCGGGCCTGCTACCGGAGGCAACGGTGGAGGCAACGCCGGCGGGGACAACGGCGCCCAACAGCCCGTGCCTTCGACGACCGCCGCCGCCGTCGCTACGGAGAGTCCGGCGCCCGATTGCGGCGGTGACGTGATTGTCACGATGACGGTTACGGCGACGGTCAACCCGGGCCAGGGCAACTCCGGCAACGTCCCCGCGACTACCCTCGCGCCCGATGTGACGTCCGCATCAGCCACGGCGCCGCCTGTTGCCTCGACTGCCCCGGCCGCCGGAAACGGCAACGGAAACGGCGGTCAACAGGGAAACATCCCCGCCGCGAACCCGACGACCCCCGTCCCCGTCTCCCGCGCTGGCGGCACCCTCAACCCGACGGCGGCGGCCGAGGCCAACGTCTTCGACGCCACGGCGACGCGGGCCTTCACAAAGGCAGCCATCCGCGCGCCTAACGGGCAGTGTCTCTCGGTGGACCCCACGGCGGGCGACTTCCGTCAGAACCTCATCCCCGTCGCCCTGGCCGCGTGCGACGGCACGCCAAACCAGCAGTTCGACGTCATCTCCAAGGGCAAGCACAACGACGGCAAGGACAACGGCGTGCTGATCGTCAGCAGCCTGACCAACGGGTGCGTGAGCACGGACGGGCGCCGGGCGGACGGGGACACGGTCACCATCTTCTCGTGCGGCGGGCGCGCCGCGGGCGAGGGCGGCACCAACACCGGGCAGCTGGTCCGGGCGTTTGGCGACAGCTTCCTGTGGTCGCCCGTCAACGACGCGGCCACGTGCGTGGTCCCTGGGACTCAGGGGCGTCTGGTCACGGCGGCGTGCAAGGGGGATAACAGCGAGACGTACAAAATCGTTGTTTGAGGGTCGGTGCCTCGGGGGTGTAGAGGAGCGTTTTCTTCTTTTGTGGTGTTTTTATTTTGGTATACTTCTCTTCTTGTCGATGGACATCTCGAAGCAGGTCATCGATTTTGTGTATTAGGGTGTACGGTTGGGTTACAGGGGATTAGATGGTTACGGACATCTCCAAAATTATTGTTTGACATTCTGCCAACGTTCAACGAGCTCTCGGGATTTCGATGCCGTAGAGAGCCTCTGGGCAAAAGCTTGACTTGTTTCCACAGACCGACAGACCAAGTCCAGACTTATTCAGAATGCGATACTCATTGGTTACGCGTCTCTCGACAATCCACCGCATCGTCGGCACGGGAGAAGCTTGAAGCGGATGACCGGCACCAGCCGAAAGCTTAATTGATGTCAGTTCAAGTGATCGTCCAATGGGCGCCAAGACAAAACCACAGTGGGGTCGCGAACACTAAACTCCGTCATATAGGGGGGGCAGAAGTCCAGGAACGGGCTGGAAGGGGCTCAAGACGGAGCCGAGGATGTTCCCTTCGCTTCCACTTCCCTCAAACAAATCCTGGGAAAGTTGCGCATCATCACATCACCACCGCATCCCGCCTTTTTTTTGTGTGGCAACCATAAACCCCCCCCCAAGCTGCCGTCTCATCTCACAGCCCCCGTCAGCCATTGCACTTCGAAATCCCAATTGAGATGCTCGTGCTCTACAACCGCTTCATTGCTAAAGATATCAACCTTCCTACATGCGGCTGAGAAAGCCCATCCTGCGATGCCTGGCCCCTGATTCGGCGCCACGACGAACCCGAAACTGCGGCCTCTCCAGACCGTCTGAGCCAAGCTCCGCGCCGTTAAAGTCCCTGGATCCTTAGCGCGTGTGCGCCACGCGACAAAGCTTGGTCGCTCCCAACATTTATGTCTTGAACAGCTGCTCGATTCCATAGGCTTTCATCGTCCTCTTTCATCTTCCTCCGCGAAGGTGCGCGCATGCCATGTCGTCTGAACCTGCCGACTCCTTCGGCGCAACAATGTCCAAAACCGTCAGCGAATCCGAAGACCGCTCACGCACCGTCCGATTCCCCTCGCTGCAGATCGACGCCCACGACCATGCCATATCCCCGACCTCGCCCACGAGGACCCGCGGCTCCATCGCTCCCCGCGATACCATCGGCGCGCCCCTGACACGTGCCTCCACCGACCAGACTCTATCTCCACTGCGGCGCCGAGCCGGCACCTTCAAGCCGGTCGAAGACTATGGCGACTTTGAGATGTCCCGCCCCGGCTGGCAGCCCGGCTCCGAGCCGGGCTTCGACCCCAACAAATCGGACGGAGGACACGCCTCGATGCCGACCCTGCGCGCGGACTGCGACATCTCCGTCTTCGACTTCAGCCACGCCAACATGGTGCAGCACAAGTTTGGGAACGAGGGCTTCATCGACTTTTTGCAGAAACCACAGGATCCCTGGGTCAAGAGCCGCTGGATCAACATCAACGGCCTCAGCTGGGACGTCATCCAGGCCTGCGGCCAGTACTACAAGCTGCACAAGCTGTCCATCGAGGACATAATGAACACGAGGAACCGCACAAAGGCAGACTGGTACGCCAACCACGCCTTCATCGTCCTGACGCTGCAAAAGCTGGTGCTCCTCCTCGACGAGGACAGCGACAGCAGCAGCAGCAGCAGCGACGACGACGACTCGGACGACGGCGCCAGCGTCAGGACGAACAAGTCCGCCAAGGGGATGAAGAAGCTGAAGCGCGCCTTTACCATGGGCGGCAAGCCGCGGCCGGACCCTGAGACGGGGATACAGGCTGCCGGCAGACCTACAATCACGGCCCAGGGCAGTGGCTACGGGCGCCAGCTGAACCGACACACGAGCGACCTCTCCCAGTTGCCCGAGACGGCCTTTGTCCGCACCCTCCAGCGCTACCACGCCTCTGCCAACGAGGTCCGCACCCAGTACATGGAAACGCACTCCTCCCTCATCTCCCGCGGCCTGGCCGTCTCCGCCGAGCAGGTTGCCATCTTCCTCACCTCGGACAACACCGTCATCTCCTTCTTCGAGATGTCCGCCGAGGACATTGAGCGCCCCATCACGGTTCGTCTGGGCGACCCGTCCACCATCCTGCGGCAGTCGTGCGACGCCTCGCTCGTGGTGCAGGCCATCATCGACGCCATCATCGACCTCGCCATCCCGCTGACGGCCGTCTACAGCGACGTCATTGGCGACCTCGAGCTCGACGTGCTCACGTCCCCGAGCATCAAGCAGACGCGCAGCCTGTACATCTGCGTCAGCGAGATCAACAAGATGCTCAGCTTCCTCAACCCCATTGACAACCTCGTCAACGTGCTGCGCGATCACCGCACCGAGCTGGGCCAGGACGAGGCGGCGCGCCAGCTGCAGAACCCGGCCAGCGGCGTCATCGTCACCCCGCTCACCCACACGTACCTTGGCGACGTGCTCGATCACTGCGTCATCATCACCGAGAGCATGCAGCAGATCAAGCGGTCGGCCGACAACCTGATTGATCTTATTTTCAACACCATCTCGGCGAACCAGAACGAGAGCATGAAGCAGCTGACCATCATCACCATCATCTTCTTGCCGTTGACTTTCTTGACCGGGTACTTTGGCCAGAACTTTACCGACTTTCCCGAAATCGAGAACCGATGGGGTATCAACTTTTTGTAAGTTTCGCCTCTCTTATTCACTCCACCCTCGTAGGATAATTGGGAGTCCTTGGCCAATCGCTAATCCGACTCGTTGGATGATAGCTGGATCATTGCCTGCCCGGTGGTCTTCTGCACCATCCTCATCATGCTGCGCTCCTGGATCTGGGCCGGGTGCATATCCTTCTGGCAGAAGCGCAAGATCAGCGCCGACAGGAAGAAGCAGAAGAAGAGGAGGGAGAGGAGGGCGAGAAGACGGGCCAAGGCGGACTAGGGGCTCCGCCGCCGCCTCCCTGAATTCTGTAGTGGAGTTGTTGTTTCGTTGTCGCGTGTGTTGTGATACCCTAGCAAATAGACGGCCGGTTCGACATCGTATTGTAATAATGAGTCAAAGGCTGTTTTTATTTTCTGCTGAATGAAAGGTCGAGCGACCTCCGTATGTCGTATGAAGACGGTGTTGGATGTCTCCCAAAGTCTGTTCTCAGCAAAATCAGGCCAGCAATTGCCTGGGCACGATTGGGAGGATACGGTCGTTTAAAGGCGACCTATTCTGTTCGCATACATCTGGTCAGCAATACATGAGATTTCCGGACTTTGCACGGTAAGAAGACTGGTGGACGGTCTTGAGGTTGGGTTGGTATAAAAGACCTCTTGATCATCTAGTCGATCATTTCACACAGCCGTAGGTACTTCATCTTCTCATAATCCGATAAGGCTTACCCTGTTGGGTGGATATGATTCGTTGATGGTAGGCTATTGCCAGGGAGATTGGCATTCCAGTCCCTGTGCAAAAGGGAAAACTACATTTAGTGCTTGAATTCTACAAGCTAAACTCGGGAGGCAGCTACAGTTCAGTGGAAGAAATATATTACGTTGACAGTCATTGATTAGCCGGAAGTTATCCCGTTTCCCAAGCCTCAAAGGATATACAAGCTGTTCGCGCCTCGCCGTTCGCCCATCGCCAACAAAAACAATCAATCAACACGCAGTTGGCCTTGTGTGGCGCCGTTCTCCAAGCCTATTGTTGGTGGCGTCTAGAGTATTCGTCAGTTGTACCAGCGTTCCATCTAGTCCCGTGACTCTGAAGGCAACATCCTTTCCGGGTTCCGTAGGTTGAAAAATGGGTGGAGTTTGTAGAGGCCGATTGACCCCAGGGAGCAAGTACAAAGGGTTTCGTTCAGTGTCCCGGACTATCTTCTCCACAATACCATGCAGCTCGCCGGCATTTGCTCGGGCTTGCGGCTCGATCAGAAGAAGCTTTTCCCGGATCAGCTTCAGGAGGTCACCCAAAGCCGTACCGCTCCTGCACCGAGGATCCTCTCCCAGGGCGGCCATTGCCTTTAATACGGCAGGGTGGATGTCAGCACTCCCCTGTGAGCCGACAGCCGCAGCCTTGTAAAATTTAGCATTGACATAGCTTCCTTCAAGGTCTCGGCACTCTCTACTGGTCTCGAAGCTTTCAATGCCTTGGAGGCCGTACAAGAGCCAAACAATGTGCTCCAAGAAGATACAGCCGATCGACCACGCGTCATACGCGCGGGATCTAGGGCCTTTCGGGTATGTCTCGGTCTCAGGGGCTTGGTACGAGATCGTGGTCGCCTTGGTGGTGGTTGGTCCAGCTCTGAAGCGCGTCGTCTGCTTGTGGACTCGAGACACGCCAACATCTGCCATTACTAGAATTCCTCGTTCGCCGTTCCGTTGGAGCTTGTCGTCACCCTCCTTGAAGTGGAGGATGTTCTCCGGCTTGAGGTCGCCGTGGCGGCAATTGAAGCTGTGCAGGGCCTTGAGGGCGCCGATGAGGCCGAGCATCTGCTGCAAGGACCACGAAACGAGCTCTGGGGTTGGCTCCCCCGGATCCTCATGCTCCCAAAAGTCCCTGAGGCTTCCGCCATCAGCCCATGGGAATATGACGAAGAAGCTTTTCCCGCTTTGACAGGTCGCTATATGCTTGATGAGATGCGGGTGATTATGCTGTTCTATGTGGCTCAGATTCTCCCTTTCCTTGTTGAAGTTGTTCTCCCGGTCCTCTCCCCTAAACTCCTTCAGGGCGATTTGAAGCCCATCTTCTCCGCACTGCTGATACGTCAGTACCTGTGTATTCTTTCTCCTGGAGCAATACAGGGGTGCTCACTTTGAGGCCCTTCTGGTGAGCTGGATGGAGCGTGCCTCGGTATACAACGTTGTAGAGGCCCGCGGCCACTTCTTCCGCGTCTGGGAGCATCGGTAGGGCACACGTGGGGTCGAGATTGAGATGCTCCCCAGTCGCGCCAAACACGGGTGACTGAAAGAGCCACTGCTTGTCAAGAAAGAGATCAACAGACGCGCTTGTCCAGCTCCTGAAAGAAGTGAACCTCTTCTTCCCACGATCAGAGAATAGAACGTTTCGGTCATCGCCATTGTTCCTGGAAAGCGGGAGCTGATCGTCCGTGAGTCCTTCGTTGTACAGTTCACAGATGGCGGCAGCCCTGTCTATGAACACAAGGACGGCAAACACCTTCCTGGCGTGTTGGACGACGTTTTGAGACAAGTAAGGGTTGAGAAGCCGGGTGAAATAAGAAAACTCCCCCTCGACGCTGGTTTTGGTGATGGCAGTGTCTAGGCAGCTCAGCGGCAAGAACTTTGGGCCGAAAGGACTTTTGATTTGGGAATCGCGGAGACTATCAAAAAGGGACATTGTGAACTAGTACGTTATGAGCTCGAGCGAGCTATGTGGCCGCAATATGATGCCTGAGCTCGGGGTCTGTCTATTCAGTGAAAATACCGTACAAGCAGATTTCGGTGGTGTACACATAGAACGAGCATGACCTTTTGGGGGGGTGGCAGGAGAAATGCCTATTAAAAGGCTCTTCTTTTGGAAAGATTCTTGGACGAGGTTCCCGGCGGACCACGCCGAGAAACCGGAGGCTGTGTGAGGCATGGTATAGTGTTCGCTGTGCTTGATCATCTCATTTGTGGCTTGTTTTGGGAGACACTGCCCGGCGCAAGTTTAGTCTTCAGCCGCTCCGGCTGCATCTGAAGACAGAAGTTCTCTTGGGCGTTCTTCTGCCATACTCTGTAGAGACATATACCGGTGTGATGAGAAAGGCTGGACAATCTGCGCTGCTGCCCCCACCCCATCTAGTCATCACACCCACCATCTAGTGAGAGGGAGGACAAGGCTCGGATCTGGAGCATACAGGTTTTATGAAAATCACATTAATTACCGCAAGTGTGCCACCACTCTCGTCTTGACGTTTGCGGGGTCAACGCCCGCCTGATAAGATATTCGGGCTACGACTGGTTCAATGTCCATAAGGCAACCAATCGACCACCCAACCGAGGTAGGTGCAGCGATGGCCAGTTGTCACTTGTCTCTTGGATATTATCCAATGCATGCCTGACCACCACCTTCATTTAACCTCTTCCAATCCCGCTCTTTACGTCGTCCTCGCCCAGTCAAATGGTTCTTCCCTATTGGCGTGTCCAGCTGCGCATCATGCGAAGCATCGACAACCGACAGGCAGCGGCCAGAAACACGGGCTTAGATAGATACTATCACACGTGGGCTCGAGAGAGCGAGCTGAAAATTCCCATCTAGTTCGTGAGGCAGTAGAACTTATCAATAATTTTATGAGATCACCACTGCCCCTACGAAGAGAGAATCGCTCCCTGTCGAAGCGTCCCTGTTCCCTCGACTGTGGAATGTCAATGTGTTCCAGCTCTCCAGCTCTCTGCCTCAATCGCCCCTTATCTACTCACGAGACTTCACTACTTTTTTCGATGCTTAATAGGTTCTTTGCCTCTATTCCCCTCTTCAGACTCCCAACCTTCGAGCCATCCGCCGCAAGCTTAAGCTTCGTCACCATGAACCAGGACCAGAACCAGGACTTGTATACCAAAGCCAAGAACATGATGAGAGACAGCGCTGCTTCCAATGGTGAATGCTTGTTTCTCCCCGAGAGTCAACTCTGCAGCCTGGTAAATGACCGCAGCTTTACCTCCTCCCTAGGAGATAATCCCCCGCCGGGCCTGATCAAATTCGTGCGCGACGAAGCGCCAAGGGTTTTCTTGACCATCTGGTGGACCTTTGAGGACTCTGACAGTTCGGAGCTAGTCTCCATTATGACAAAGTTCCAGAAATGCAGGTTCACTGATGATGTACTCCCGATCGATAACAATGCCAAGACATGCCTGAAACGTGGGCAGGACGCTAAGCATTGTTCTCACAAGCAAGCTCTAGATGTGTTTCACGACGACAGCATCTGGAAGACTCGCAAGATAGATCGATTTTGCGAAAATCAGTGGGCGTTCATTGCCCCTGTGTTCACAAAGGGTGATGCCAAACGAAGACTGCCTGCCAGCTCCAGACTGCCATTCTTGGAGTTCAGGGATGCGGGGCGAGGTGCCTTCTCCGACGTGTTCAAGGCTGAGCTCCTCGCAGATCATCAGAAAGAATTCAACCTTGTGAGTCTTCCCGTAAAGCCCTGATGACCCCCTTGGATGAAATATTCCCTTACCACCGGGCACAGAAACCCCCACCCGACCGCGATGTGGTCCCCGTTGCCGTGAAGAAGTTCAGAAATGACCCGAAGGCAAACTTGAATGCTGAGAACACTTGGGAGGAGGAAGCAACAACGGTCGACAAGCTCGGTTCCATTCGCCACAAGCACTTGATTCAACGCATGGCTGCATTCAGCCGGCATGACGAGTACTATATCATGTTCGAGTGGGCCGATGGAGGAAATCTCGAAGAACTATGGCTATCTGATCACAACGACGAGCATCGGAAACTGACCCGGGATCAGATCATAGACGTTGTAGAACAGCTATACGGTCTGTCTGGTGCACTTTGTGAGCTGCATGGTACCAACACTCGCACATCGACAGGTCTCAACGTGGCCAGCCAGCGAGCAAGGAACATTACCTCTAATGGAGTTCGTATCGACAACAGCGGGGCTACTGGCATACCTGTCATCGCAATTGGCGATCAGGACGCTTCCGAGAGTCTTCCTGACACCGAGAACTGGCGCCATGGCGACTTGAAGCCTCAGAACATCCTCAAGGTCGGCGCTTCGGAATGGCTCGGAACTCTCAAGATTGCCGACCTCGGATTGGCCAAGCACCACCAGTTCGTGACATATCTCAGGGAAGGCCCGACCAACACAAAGTTCGCGACGCAGCACTACGAAGCACCGGAGGTCATCATCGCATCGATGGTGCCCAGGTCGCGACGGTACGATATATGGTCAATGGGCTGCATCATCTTCGAGTTCGTCATCTGGCTCCTGTACGGCAAAAGCGCGCTCCAGGACTTTTACAATGAGGTGGACAACATCGAGGACCCTTCGATTGAGACACTCTATTTCATCGTCAACAGGCGTGATCGCTCCGCGAGAGTCAGCGACATTGCGTCTCACTGGATGCGCCAGATTCTGGAGAACGACCCCGAATGCAACAAAGCTAACAAGACGGTGCTTGGAGACCTCCTTAGGCTGGTCCAGAGGAGAATGTTAGTGGTCGACCTGCCAGGTCCGGGAAGAATGGAGGGTCTCAGCTGCCGCTGTGATTCCTCTGAACTGAAGTCAGAACTAGGTAAAATCTTAAAGGATGCCAGGGATTCCTCTGAAAGTCGCACCAGCTACCTATTCGCAGATCCGAATCGAGCCAGCATATCGCCTCCCCGTCCCCTAAGAGACGGTAGAATAACCGATGGCAGTAACCTTTTGCTACAGAGCAACGCGTTTGCACATCGCCATACCCCCAATCACTCTAGAGCGGCGCCAGCGGCAGCGCTTCCAAACCCGCGGGTTAGCTACATTTCTCCCTCCATATAATATCCATTGTTGACGTAGACCAAGAGACTCTAACAAGAGAGAGTTTCCTGCAGAATGTACGTTTCGTCTCGCCAACTTCTTCTTTGAAGCCAAGTTGACGTGGGAAACCGTATCCCTAAAGACTGTAAGCTGAACCGGTCACTGAGTGATGGCTTCCTGTCCGGGTAATGCTAATGAATTATCCTCCGGAACAGTATGTAAGCGAAACCATCACAACTATGTACTGATGGCCTCAACTGACTACAGCGCATCCTGCGCTTCTGCATGTAGAGTGCAAGTTTTTGGAAAGCAGTTGGTGAAAGGCGGCTGCTGATAATATCGCATAGCATGTGAGCGAGAATTGCCAGACCTGGGATCTAACTGTTGGTTGACGTCCACGGGGTTTCCCCGGTTCTGCTAGGAGGTAGGCGCCATTTACCACCAACAAGTGTGCAGCCGGACTAAGGGGAGTAACAGTTGAATGATGTTTGGGAATTCGTTGAAGACAATTCCTTCGCTGGCCATGTTCTCAACCGCCAGTTACAACTTGAAGGGGCCCGCGAGGAATTCTCCAAAGTCGTTCCGCAGCATGCCTCCATCTTGTGCGGCCGTTGTAAACACATGGACTTCTGGGTCTTTGACTTTGCCATTCGCGACACCCTGTCTACTTTACAAGCGAGGTCGCATATTTGCGAGCTTTGCCGCCTGCTCTACGCCTCCTCGAAGAAGTTGACCGTCATGAGCTCCGTCGAGTTCCGCAGAGTCGGTTCAGTCCTGACATTGGGGACCCCAGAAGCCCCAGCTCTGTCTATATGCAGGGCCAACTTGAATTGTAAACGTGTTTCTGGCTCAGCATAACATGCAACCGAACATACTAACCTCTCAACGTGTCAGACTTGAACGGCCGTAATAATCCACCTGAAGAGATCCAAATCGGATTTCCTAAACTGCCCGAGATTGGTAGTCTCACACAATTTGAGGTCCTCCGCCAATGGCTCGAGGACTGCGACAACAACCACAACAGGTGCTATTCGGACGGCTTCGGGCCCTATCCTGCCAGAACTCCGACCAGGCTCATTGACGTTGGCCAAGGAATGAACTCAGAAACAGTGCGACTGCTCGAGACAGTGGACCTGCAGGAGGAGATAGGCCACAGCCAACCTGTCCAATTCAGCTACATTGCGTTGTCGCATCCGTGGGGCGACAGAAACCACCACCAACACTTTTGTACTACTTGGGAGAACATCGACGACCACAAGACCGGAATTCTTGATAGCAATCTCCCGAACACCTTCAGAGACGCCGTCAGGGTCACGCGGGAGCTCAATGTACGCTACCTCTGGATCGACTCTTTGTGCATTGTGCAAGGCGAGGACGGCGACTTTGAGGAGGAGGCCCAGCACATGGAGACAGTCTTCAGCTCGGCCTTTTGCGTAATCGCCGCAAGTTGCGCGACGGGGACGTCGGATGGGTTTCTGCAGCAGAGACCGAACCGGACGGTCGTAACGATTGATAGGTCCCCAGAGAGCCCGTTCTACATCTGCGAGGCTATCGACGACTTCCAGCGCTACGTGGTGGAGGGACCTTTGAACAAGAGGGGCTGGGTTCTGCAGGAGCGTGCCCTTGCGCGGCGGACCATCTACTTCACCGAAAGACAGGTATACTGGGAGTGCGGCGACGGCATCCGCTGCGAAACGCTAACAAGAATGAGAAAGTGAGTCGAGCCCTCTTCTCCCCTCGACTGGTCAATGTCGAAATCTCCAATGTTTTGATAACCAACAACAATCAACCCTCTTAGCAACCAAGCAGCGTTTCTTGGTGACGCAAGGTTCCCAAATGTAGCGACCGGCTCCCCCAAGGGCGGCCAGATTCGTCTGTACGAATCTCTGTACACACGGTATTCACGGCTGCAATTCTCCGACATCCGTGACAGACCTATCGCCATCGCCGGAATGGAACAGCGCCTTATCCGCGCCTTCAACACGGAAGGGGATACGGCATCTTCGAGCGCTACTTCGGCCGGGGCCTGCTGTGGCGGCGAGCCTCGGAAACAGCCATGAAGAGGATTAACTTCTCGCCCCAGCAGCGGCACCAGCTGCGATCGTTCCGCGTGCCGTCGTGGTCATGGATGGCGTATGAAGGCGCCATCACCTTTATGGAGCTGCCGTTCGACGCCGTGCTCTGGGAGAGGGACGAGATCCGGTCGCCCTGGTGGCCCCCGCGTGACGCGTCGAACTCTTCCTGGCTTTCCATCAGCTCCAACGGGGGCCGGATCGAGCTCACGGGCACTGCTAGAGACTTTGATCTTGTCCGTGGCGACCAGCGCATTTTCTACGACGGACTCTCGAGACCGCAAGACTTGACGGTCAAGTGCGTCACCGTCGGGAGGCGGAAGTCGGAAGCTGCGACAGACGCAATGAGCCAGCAGTACTTCGTGCTCGTTGTTGCCCAGAAGTCGCACAGTGAAGATGGTGCTGTATATGAGAGAGTGGGGTGGGCGCCATCCCTGGTAGTTGGATCATGATGAATCAACCTGGGTTAGAGGTGCGGATCTTCTAGGATATCGATACTGTGAAGCTACCAACTCCACCGTCTTCTTCTGGAGCATGCTCCCAGAGAAGAAAGCTGGTGCTTAATATTATCCACCTAGTGATATGACGTCTCAATGCCTTGAACTTCGGTGCTGTTATGTCTTGAAGCAGCCGTTTATCAACCTTCATTCCTACTTGCCGCTGGATCACAGGGACTGGGCGCTAATTTTCAAGTTGCTGAAGCTTCTTCTACCCCGCAAGACAAAGAGGTAGACCGTTCAATGAGCTTGGTTCTTCCTAGGTCTTTAAGACTTACGATGCATGCCGATTGGAGCGGAAATGACCCCATGATGGCCCGAAAAAGTGACTCGTATTCAAACGAAGATGGTGTGCCACATTCCTCCTGAGAGTAGACGCAGAACTTACTCTACGCCTCCTACCTGGATTGACATCGCGAACAGCCACTTTCGAATACGCTGGTTCTATGTTGACTTGCATAAATATTTCTGTTACTCTTCCCCATACTTGGCGCAATTCTGTTCCTCGCAAATCCCACGAACCGACAGTCCTTGCGACTCAGACCCCCTTCATACTTGCACTGGCAGTTCATAGCACCAAATACTCACCTGGTGAAGACCACTACGATCCTCTCCTTTTCTGGCTTCGCTGCCAGCGCTATGGCGCAGTGCGGCGTACCCAACGGCGCAAGGTGTACTACCCCCGACCAGATTGCTTGTGAGTACATGGACGGCCACATGGTATGCCATTGCTTAACCTGTTGTTCTACTCCACTCCTGTATATATCTTCATGCTAACCTTTTGGTTCTCTGACGGTTTAGCTGTACTGTGATGATACTTGGAAGGCGGGAACGAACTGCCAGAAGTATGGTAGATCTTGTCTTTGGCAAAAGGAAACATGCGGGTGATGGGGTATCATTCCAGGATCAGTTTGGTTGAGGGAATCAAATATATGACAAGTTTAGGCGGATACATGCGCATCTACAAGTGGCTTTGAGATTTGGGGTTCTCTAAACGACCCGGGGGTTTGACTTTGGTTTCTCTAAAGATCAGTGGCAGTGATAGGAAGACGACCTTTTTCAGTCGTTGCCTGCCGCATAACCAATACATTCCATTCTTTTGGATTTTTCTGCGCATTTGTTACTTTTTACCAATATTTCGGGAAAGGGTTTATATCTTAGCTTTAAGGACGATCAATCATTGAATTTGGCATTCCATCCACAGGGATACTTTGACAGTCCAAAACCGCGTGAGCTGGATGTCATATGTGATTGGGTCGCGCCTTGTGGTCCAATATGAACCCTCAAGGTGACAATTGTTTGCTCAAATATTCCTCACCCTTCAAGTTTTGTTGTTTGAAATTTCGGGTGTGCTAGAAAGCATTGCGGACCTAGCGCATCCCTTTCTTACGAGTTTTCCCTAAGATGTTTGGCTTCGATAGCTGAGATGCCTCGGAGCAATGAAACCTGGATGCGGCAGCCAGAAAAAGATGTTTATAGACTCCAGTGGGAGTGACGGCAATCATTACCACTCTTTCTATGCAAGCCCAAAGGGCTTTCAAAGTGAAAACTCAAACGTCGGAGTATTTGCCACCTAAAAGCCTCATCATTTATATCCCTTCAACACTTACCATGTCACAACAAACACCTTTAAGAGACAAGTGATCGAACGCCCTGGTAACATGACGATTATTGTCCAATCAAGGAGTCTATTCTAGGGGCTTCCTGTCCATCCAAGCACAGTCTAAGATTCTTTTTCTAGCACACGCCCATAATTATCGGCTTCTCACAAACTTGGTGTGTCTTCCATTCGCTACAGTGGCGCCCCGTGTGCCATCAGCAGCAACTTTGTAGATGTTGACATGCGTAAACGCCAAGCTTCCTCCAACCTTCTCGACTTTGCCCTCGATCTCAATCTCATCGCCCAACTTCGCGCCGGAAAGATAGCTGATGTTGATATCGACACTCACGCCCGTTGCCTCACGCAGGTCCCAAGACGCAATAGCGAGTCCGCCGGCCCAGTCGACAATGGTCGCGGAGACGCTTCCGTGGATGCTGCCGGCCGTGTTGAGGTGATTCGCGGTGACGGGTAGGCGCGCGATGATGAGACCCTTGGACGCGTGTGTGAGTTTCAGGTCCGGGTTGAATAGGAAGGCGTAGATGGGCGAGGCATTGCAGCGTGTTGAGATGTAGTTCTCAATGTGAGCAAAGGTGGCGGGGTCCGATTCCGCAGCAGTGGCGCTGGCAGGTGGGGGCTGAGAAGGTGTGGAAGACATTTTCGAGGGACTTGGGCTTTGACTGGGCTGTAATGCCGGGAATAGATCTGCCACTGCGAGCCTGAAGAGTGGTGCTTCGTGATAAGTAAAAGGTGAGGTGGAGAGAATGACTTTGTTGAGTGAGGCAGTCTATAGGTGGAGGCACGTGCACCGAGGTTTTCTCCGGGGTCGGACGGAGTCCGCCCGAAGTCGGCACCAACGGCCCCACATTAGCAGTCGGACGCGGCAGTGTCATCCGGTGTCTCTCGGGGGCCTCGAAAGAGAACATATGATGCTGCTGCTCAGTGTTTACTTTTGCAATTATCAGATTTTTTTGTACACACTGGAGTTCGGCGCCTTATATTGAGCTGCATGTTGGTGTGTATGGTGATGTCTTCTTTAGCATTGCTAACTTTGGTTGTTAGTAAAGCCGCAGCAGATACGATGTCTGACTTAAGAAGGACATAATATCCGATGAGTTTACCAAAGTAACTCTGCCATTTGGGCCTTCGTTTCATGCGTGATGTTTTCCGAGGCTTTTAGCTAATCAGTGGACCAATAGCAGCGTCCGTCCTTCAATAGATCAGGCAGGGCTCTGTTGATACTCAGAACAAGACATAAGCTTCACACTGACTGAATATTCGCTTTTCTTCGCTACTGGTGATACCAACGCTACAAATAGAGTACACAAAAAAGCAACCAGTTGCAATGGCTTGGCTGCAAGACCCGAATTGGCCTAGTGCTTACGCAGAATCCTGCCGCCTGAGATATCTACAAGGATTTACTGATTTTACCATGGGGCCACTTCTCAGTAGGCAATTCGATTTCGTACTAACTCTCTCAACCCTGTGCTCACGTAATCGGCACCAGGTTCATCACTATTATTTAACCGCCTTTACTCTAACGACACATCGCCTATGTTTTCTCTGATCGCTTGGCTCTGATAGGCTTGAACCTACACATATCTAGCAGACAAGACTGCATTAAAATTGGCTCGTATGAAGCGAAACCAAATATGCGGATTGAACTCAAACAGTGTTTGTAGCCATGACGAAACGTGCGTCTCTTGTTGCAAGGTTTGCCCTTGACAACAGGCCACAGCTCACCAGGGCTAGCAAGCCCAAAGTTCGCACCGGGTGTGTCACCTGTAGGTATGACGAGATGCAGTACGAGTTTCAATCTTTACATGTAGCTGACGCATCTCTCTTAGGCGGCGCCGTGTCAAATGTGACGAGGGCAAGCCTGCCTGCTCAGCTTGCCTCAAGTATCAAGGCCACTGCGGGGGATACAAGAGTAGCAAGATCCTGAACCCTTTGCCATTAACTCAATATCGAGCAATTTACCCAAGGTTGGCCAGCAGAGACACCGAAAATGTCTTCCTGATAGAGCCAAACTACACGTCTCTCGTGTTCTCCAACCAGCTGGAGAAGGATCACTTCGACTACTGGCTCTCCTTCACTGCAACTACAGTACTTTTTCGCTCTGACCTGCTCACGGAAACTATCCCCCAACTCTCCTGGAAAGACCCTGCAATCAAGCATGCAGCCCTGGCGATTGGGGCTTCAGCTCTTAGTGGGAACACTCGAAACGAACGAATGCTAGGGAAAGGGAAATTCAATTCAGATGCTCTCCTACACTATGGCAAGTCTTTGAAGCTCTTGTACTCGGCACCAATGTCGCCTGAGAGAACGTTGCTCGCATGTCTCCTGTTTATTACCTTTGAGACTCTCAGAGGAAACAAAGTGGCCGGGTTGAGCCATATAAATCACGGCTCTCTTATTCTTGATCAGTACAACCCGCAGAGTATTGACTCAAACCCCTTGCTGGACGAGGTCATGACCAGTTTTCAGCACTTTGGCCTCTAGGCATGGAGTCACGGTGGTACCCACCCGAAAGAGACGGATGCTCGAGTACCATGGTGCTGCCGCGGGCGAAGAACGCGATACGCCGTTCAGGAACTGCCCCCGATCTTTGAGAACCTGGAAATAGCTCGTCGATGGTGGAACATAGTTCGACACCACATTGAGCATCATGCGCCACTGTTTACAGGTTTTCGAGTTGAAGGATTATCTGCCCCGGAAGCTCCACATCCGCCGCCGGACTACACCTCGCCAGCATCCCAGAAACGTATCCGAAGCTTCGTCCGTTTCCTCGATGCCTGGGACTTGTCTTTCCAACCGCTAGCCATCAAAGCAGAATCCGACAAAGCAAACAACCTCGCAGACTATCTCAAGGCACTCAGCTTGAGGATCCACTATCTGCACATGTGGGCTGGAATACGCACCGCAGGGTGGACAGACATGGAAGAAATTGGCCGGATGACACCCACTTTCTACGATATTGTCGCGCTCAGTCGGGACCTTCTTTCAGCGCAGGCCACTCGGCAGCTCTTCGCGGCAAACGGCGAAATCTTCACACTAGAAGACAGCCCAACATGGCCTCTCGGATCAGCATTCCTTATGTGTACAGACAGTGAACTGAAAGATGAGATCATCCGGCTTTTCAAAGAGTATCCGAGACGCGACGGTCTTTGGGATACTCACGGGTTTCTTGTCATGATGGAATGGTTGAATGAGATGACTAAATCTGGCTATATTGCCGACGCACAGCGTCATATCGTTGACTGCAACGTCGTGTCCAGAAGAAGCTTTGGGATCCCGCAACATTGAAGTGGAAGCATAGTGGCATTAGCTTCAGCATCCTTTGAGTCCAGGTTAAGAAACCTTGCAGATTAAGGTCTTTACAATAATCAAGTTCGCATGTTAGCCAAGTTATTGAGTTCTGATTACCAACGCCGCTGCGAATATGTTTCACGATCTGATTTGCTCCAGAATTCATTACATCAGGAGCCCGAGGAAACAAAAATCAAAGAAGGATGTCCCTGGCAAGGCTCGAACTTGCGACCTTTGGATATCCATGTCTAGAGACAGAGTCATGGAGAGTTCCTATGAGACCAACGCTCTACCAACTGAGCCACAGAGACGATACTGCGTCGAGCAAAATTATCGCTTTGTGTAGGGCAGCTGGGACCCCTTTGGGTATCCACTACGTATCACTAAGTTGGATGCAGGGATGTGGATAAACATTACTCGAGCCTGAACCCAGCAGCTTGACAGCAGCCTTGGTACTTGGAAGAAAGATTGGTCTTGGTGAGTGAACAGTGGAGCAGGTAGGGTTTTACGGCTATGTCACTTCGCAACTAGTATTCGTTGGACCTATGGCATTTTAGCATTCCAATATTCCAGTCAGCCATCCAGGTGAACTCGGCAAAGTAATCTTTTTATCGCTATCCAAGCAATAGTTGACTCGCGACAGAAGCTTGAAAAACCCCTGGAAATAACAACGATTGGTTGCAGATTCTAATTCTGAGATAGAAACGATGATAAGTCTTTACAAGACTTTCTAGTCTATTGCCCAAGATTCCACCGACAGCGGCCTAAAACTTCCTGATTAGGCAATTGGAGCCGTAACCTGTCGTCCGACCATCGGCGGGGTGAGGCCGCCCAGCTTAAGTGGTAAATTACTGAAGCACCATTGTAGAAAGGGAATCTGATCATGCAGTTGAGCTACATAATATGCCGCTTCAGACTACCCAGTCGACAGGCGCATGCATACAGTACTAAAGATCATAGAACCTCGGCCCATGTATGACTGTGCCTAATGAAGAAGGCAAAATCAGAATCTACAGCAACACTCAATCACCAGCAAAATCTCTTAGTGGGAAAGCTAAGACTTCCCAGCCAATCAAATCGTAGGGCGTGGTTGACAGACGACCCCTTTTTGTAAAGCAACCAGTAGTGGAACGATCACGTTTGGAGTAATCCCTTTTCATTGAGTAATTGTATGGGTTCGGTGCCTCGTGATTGTCTTTCAAGTGACCGATTGCCGGAGATGGTGTGGGTCCCCGATGGTAGCCGGAACACCTTTCCGGGTTTGCGGAGGTCAGTGTTGGCTTATCTGTCACTCCGAAACTCCGAGGATATCGAGTCAAGAAGAACGCGGCCACAGCCCACCCTCTTTTATGCCCATGCTCTCCCTATCTATACTGTCTGATAAGCCAAATTCAACGTTGCTCCTTCACCAGACACCAACGGAGTGACCAGAAGTTAAAGAGAATTCCAGTCAACTGAAGCAATGGGATCCCTTCCACAAACTAACCCCTTGAGGGTCGCCATCGTCAAAGCCTATGAGATCGATGAGCCAAAGCATAGGGGAATGCTGCAGTCTTTTCGAGATAACATCTTACAACAAACACACGATGCAGTCATCGATGCGTATAGACCGATGAAGGAGGATGGGCATTTACCGAACCCTGTGAATTATGACCTCATCATCATTACTGGCGGGCTAAGCAATTTGTGCCAGGCGACATTTGAGCCGTGGGTCAACACGACTCTCGAGTGGATTCGGCAGGTAGTATCGCAGCAGCACATCACGAAGACGAAGCTACTTGGTATTTGCTGGGGCCACCAAGCAATCGCAAGTGCTCTTTCTGGAAGCATCGGGAGTTTCGAGCATCCAAGGGTATGTACAGTACAAACAGCAACTTTGCCAAATTTTCGGGCTAACACAGAACTTCATAGGTTGGCGTGCAACAACTCACATTGAATGCTGATGGAAAAGACATGTTTGGCAAAGACTCGCTGGTAAGCCACCGTTTGGCGCATTGTCACAAATCAATATCACGAGACACCTGATGCTAAAGAAGCCCCGCGAAGAAAATCACCAAATTCCACAAACGGTTTGTTCAGCAAGTACCGGATGGCTTCAAACCATTGGCCCCTGACAACGAAATCCTTTCATCCGACTCAGGGCTTGTCTTGTCGCTCCAAGGTCATCCCGAGATTTATGGAGAGCTGTCTAGACAGCTCTTTGAGATGAACGTGCCATACTACAGAGCTACTTTGCCTACCGAGGAGGACCTGCAACGCTACTACTCAGAGATGTCTTCGAGTGAAGAGGATGCCAAACTTATTTTCCGCAAAATCACGGGCTGGGCTCTGTCTAGACATGAATAGGATGAGTGACGAGAACACCGAGTCACTGTCCGCCTCCATTTGTACCTAAACGATAGTGGCGAAAGAAAGAGCGCAATACATCATACCCGTTAAAGGACCTGGCAATCGATGCTTAAGTTTATTTCAAACTTTCGTTTTGGTCAGAAGACAAAGCTTCTAGGAACCACCTGTTAAATCAAGTCAAAAACCAATTGTTCATCGGTGGTACAACCCAGAAAATGAACACTATGAAGAAATCATGAAGCACTATTATTCATCTGCATCAGCCCTTTCTCTGGGTTCATTTTCTGGGTTGTTAGGTCTTGTGTGTAGATTGATCACTTTCCTCGTCTCTAAACTGCCAGACCGACATGAAAACTGATCGGGCAATATGGCAGCAATGACAGCAATGGCTCCTCTAAGTATCACAAACGCCGTCAATCAATCGTTGAGCCCTTTCTTGAACCAGGTACACTGAAATTTTTCCAATCGACGATAAACAGCTTTGCCAACGGAATCAAATGTCACCAACACAACAGAGAAGTTTCTTGGCGAGCTTCTTGCCAAGGGATATTTTCTATTTAAACGGCAAAGATGCCGGTACGGCAGAAATAGATGACGAAAGTTGCGACCAATTGTCGAGGCATTGGTAAACAAGGTACCTGATCAATGTGATAATCGGTAATCGACTGAGCTCGCGTTCTGTTGGACTGGTGAATGCCATTTCAATTATTTGAGATCTGCTTAAATAAAAAGAGAAATATCAGCCATAGGAGGACCTTCAACTCTTCGGAATTCAAAACAAAACTATCGTTCTGGAAGCTAGGAAAACGGTCATAAATGTAAGTTGGGTCTCAATGCGAATTAAAGTGCCGTACTTTTTCAAACATGTTCCAGAGCCTCGGGCCTCTGTACACTGATCATGTTGATGTTGAGCTGCTTACATAATGACACAATTCGGTCACGGACCCGCCTCGGTGCGGTCGAATGCCAGAAATTGCGACGCCAGCTTCTCATCTATAGCTTTCAACGTCGAACAGGCCCACGAACACTTTCGCGTAGTCTTGAGCCAAATGTCCTTGCCGCAATAGCAGCTAACGAGCACGTTGCTCAGTAACGTACCTTTGCAGATCCGCCCACCATGCGCGAGTTCATGAGCTACGTGCAGAGCGCGTTCTACGAGGCGACTGGCTGGAACCGCGACAACTCGTACTCGTCACTTAACGCAACTGCAGATGGTACGCTGGATAATGGCGCACTGAATTTGCTCTGTTGAAGACCAACAAAGGCTGACGCGCACAACGCTGGCAGCACTCCTCAACTTCCCGACGCCGCAAGGCCTCCGCCTTACCCTCTCCTCCCTCGCGACCCCTCACTTTGCGACGTCGTACCAGCTCGGCTCCGTAGGCGTCGTCGACGGCTCCATCTCCTACTTGTACTCATCTGTACCCCTCCGCGCGAACCTCACACCGCAATCCGATGCCATCCCGTTACCGGTGCTGCTGCGCTCCTACCGCCCGCTCGCCGACCTCCCGCCCCGAACCGATAGGAGACCATACCCCTCCTCAGCCCGGCCGCCGCCTCACTGCTGTACGGCCGTCTCTACCTCCCCGAGTCGATGCTTGAAGCGCTCGTTGTCAAACGAGTATCTCCTGCGCTGCAGCTTCAACTCAGTGCTGTGTCGGGGAAGTTCCTGCGCAACGGCGGCACACTTCTAGGGTTGGCTCAATACGATGTCGGCAGGTACGCCGTCGAGGGTCTCGCTTCGTCGGACGGTGGCCTTCTGGGCTTCCGAGGCCTCTACAACTTTGGAGGGGATGCAGAGAATAACCAGCCGTCACAGCTACGGTCGACCGGCCGGTTAAATGGGAAGCCGATTGGGTTCGGCGACGACGCGAAGGAGCGCATCTACGGGCGTTTCAGCGCCGGCGGGGAAATCTACTACGGCACACTGAACAAGTCCGGCGGTGTCAGCCTCGGGGGTCGTTTCGCCACGTTGCCGGAGCACCGAGGGACGCCTTTGACGGCGACATTGACGCTGAACCCCCTGATGGGCAACATTAGCGCCAGCTACGCTGTTGTGGCAGGCAAACACTGCAGCCTTGCGACTCGCATGGACTTCAACGTGTACAGCTACGAGAGTGACTGGTCCGTGGGCATGGAGCTGTGGCGCAAGAACCTGACCCGCAACATCGAGCCCGCGCTCTCGGCTGAGAGTTTTGTCAAAAAGGAGCGGAGTTTCCAGGCGAAGCTGGAGTGGAGGCTGGACGAGCCCGATACCCAGTCCGAACTTGAGAAGCCGAGGCCCGTCGTTGTCGAGGAGGAACGGAAAGAGAAGCCGAAGGACCGCAGTTTCCAGGCAAAGATGGAGTGGAGATTGGACGATCCTGCGCTGGATGAGACAGAACCGGCGGATCCCAGCACGGCGCAGGCGAAGGGCGTAGACGAATACGGCAGTGTCATCAAGGCACGGTTGGACCAGAACATGAAGATTGGTGTCTTGTGGGAGGGAAGGGTCAAATCTCTCCTGTTCAGCCTCGGCAGCGCCATCGATTTGCGCAAGCTTGACTCGCCGTTCCGCACATTAGGAGTGGAAATACAGTTCTCGTCATGAAGGGACTGCGACAATGAAAACCCACTGGCAATCTTCTCGATGCAACGCTAGGCCCGAGGTCTCGGTCACAGCTTCGGGCAGTTGGATCGCAGCATGATCCCCCGGCAATCTACTGTATGGCAGTGCCACTTACACAGGTTGGATTCGATATTGGTGTCCTAACTATGGGTCTTGTAGACGCAAGCCGAAGTGACGCCGTGGCTATTGATGAACCATGGCGTCGGGAGGGCCGCAGCGGTTGCATGGAGTGGAATCAAAAATGCAACGGCGCCTGGGCCGTTGGCCATCTCAGGAAAGCCACGCCGATGCGCACCAAGAGGCAAGGCCGAAAGCAGTTGGACAAATGCCCCGCATTACGATGCCTTGCGAGGCAATGGCATGGTAATTACAATGCCCAGATTGTTCTCCGTAACAGAGCCACTGACGGAACCGAGCGGCTGGCTTGGCTAAAGCTTGATTAGCAGGACATGGCTTGGCCAAGATTTCTTGGCGAAGAGATGAACAAAGATGAAGATTCACCAGCGTCATCATCAGGCTTCAAAATGCGGTCTTTTACAGCCTTTTCAGGCATTATGTCCATCTTTGACGGTGGCATTTTTGATAGGTGGACTAAATGCCTCTCAAGACAGTACGGTGCTTGTAGTCGCAAAAATGCAGTATCTCCGATGATGGATTACCAGCATCAACAACAGCAGATTCTTCAAACTTTAACCCAAATTGTGCCAGGTTCCAGAGAACCACTCAGGGCCCGACATCAGGGAGTGTGCCGCTATATTCGTGCCAGCCTATGCATGTCAAATGACTGCTTGACACCCAGTCATGCGGTTGCGCAGCGGAGGCTCTTGATTGTGACCAACTCAACTCGAGACTCAGGTGAGCGCTGCTCCTACGATGTCAGAGTGAGGACCTTGATGGTTAAGCTAGTGTGGAGAACCTTGATGGCCAGCTCAACAGCCAATGACAATGTGCACAATCGGAGAACAAAATCTGACGGCGTGGGGCAGCCGTGGGCTAGTGCGACGGACCATGGATGGTGCCAGTTCGGCCTGCCAGCGAACTGGGGACCAAGTGGAATGTGGGATGTCTCGAGGAATGCGCCGATTGAGGATTGAACAGAGGTTGGATGCTGTTGCTATTGTTTCTCGACAAAGCGACGATAGTAGCACAATAACTGTTCTGATTGCTGGGCATGGCGGAGCACTGATAGAATGTAACAATGGTCGTTTTGGTTTTGTCCCTTATTGTAGCCTGTACGTCTCTTTGACCCGACGAGTGAGTGCGGACGCTGCAAGGAGCTGCTCCTACGGTATCTCCGATAAGAGTAGTGAGGTAAGAACAAGGTGCAATAGTGGGGCCCGAGTCCACGATTGGGCCATCAAGGTTCTCATTTTCCATTTTGCGCAGCCGCTTGTGCCCGTGCCTGCGCGCCGCTGTGGTCAACAGTTCCCGGTCTTTTGCTTCGAACCTTCGCGGTATGACCACAGAATCGGGAACAGACGGCCTAAACTCTATGGACTTCGGACGACTTTCCAAGTTTACTGAAGGCTATTGACTAGGACGAAGGGCCCAAAAGTTCGGCTTTTCTTACCGCAGCTCCTAATCTACCTCTGGACCCTGCAACCGCATCAATCACGAAAGCAATCCGACCAAAAACAACTGATACGCACCCACCTTGACGTATCCCTTCAGGCTCGCGCATTCAAAGAACCACAGAAAACTGGCGTAGTCGACGAAACAAGACCCTCTTCCCCTCGCCTGCAAGGTGCCGGGTTTCCCACCCTTTTGTGGTTCCTCGTCGAGTTCCCTTGTGCTTAAGCGGGGGGTCCCTCCGTCCTTCTTATGCCCTCCTTACCCCCGTACGCGGCTGACCATCCGGGTTCTCGACGTCCCTTCCCTCGCTGCATACCACCCACCGCCCACCCACCCTCTCGGGTCCGCAAAGATTTCGATTTCTTCCTCGCATCAATATCACCCCCTGCTCTTGGCGCATCTTATATACTGCCCAGCGCCTGTGTCCGAGCCTCACTTCTCCCCATCTACCAAGACGCCAAGCTGCGAGCCAAGACCTGCGAGGATCCATTCCCGTCCTGCGACTTGCAACTGACTGCTCCCGCTCCTCAGTCGCTGCGGCTCTTCGAAGACTTTGGCATTCCTGTAGTACACTGACGCACGCGCACCCGGCCGGCATTCGAATCACCGTCTCCAGGACGCACAGGTTCCAAAGCTACCCCCCTACCGGCATCCCGTCACCATCGCCGATATAGGTGTACCACGACGTTGGAAGTCTCGTCCGTCAAGTTCCGTACCCGTCTTCGACTGTTGCCGGCTGAAGATCAACACCCGCCAGAGTCTTAAGTCAAACTTCCGTCGTACTCCATCCCCACGACACCTGCAAGGACATCAGCAAACATGAACCCCTTAGAGATCTCAGCAGTAAAGCTCCTCGCTCTTCGCCAGGATGAGGGAGCCGGAGCTGAAGAGGCCGTTAACGAGTGCGGCGCTGCCGCCGTTGACGTGAGCAACAAGCCTCTGCGCATCGCCTCCATCTTCATCATCCTCATCGCATCGCTTCTCGGCGGCTTCCTGCCCATCATCCTGGCTCGGACTACCCGGATGCACGTTCCCAAGATGACCTTCTTCATCTTCAAGTATGTCGGTACCGGTGTCATTATCGCAACCGCTTGGATGCATCTGCTGTCTCCTGGTGTCGAGGCTCTGCACAACGAGTGCTTGGCGTCCATGCTGGGAGATTACGACTGGGCCTTTGCCATCGGCCTGATGACTGTTATGGTCATGTTCTTGATCGAAATGGTGGCATCCAACGTTGCCTCTTCGGCTTTCTCCCACGGCCACGACCACGACCACGAGCTGGGTCATGGCCCCATTGCGGTCAAGTCCAAGGACCAAACAACCGATGGGACGAGCGCTAGCGAGGTTTGCCCGCACGACGCTGGTGATGCCGAGAGGGGTAACGGCTTCGTTGACCCCAAGAAGGTGCCCGGACTACCAGATGATGTCAGCTACCCGCCAGGCGGAAGAGACCACCTCGGTCACGCTCGCGACCACAAGGAGGGAGACAGCCACACTGGTCTCGCCGGTCAGCTGATCGCCATCTTCATCCTCGAGTTTGGTGTCGTGTTCCACTCCATCTTTATCGGACTTGTCCTCGCCACCAGCGACGAGCTCGTCGTTCTTCTCATCGTCCTTACCTTCCACCAATTTTTCGAGGGTCTCGGTTTGGGCTCTCGCCTTGCTACTGCCACTTGGCCTGCACACGGACGCTGGTGGCCTCACATCCTTGCGACCATCTACGGTCTCTCGACTCCCCTGGCTATTGCCGTGGGCATCGCTGCCAAGCCGAACAGCGCGCAGACGCAGACTCTCGTCAACGGAATCTTCGACTCTATCAGCGCCGGAATTCTGATGTACACGGGTCTGGTCGAGTTGTTGGCCCACGAGTTCATGTTCAACCCGCAAATGAGAAACTCGCCGCTCAAGGTGCAGCTTTTCGCCTTCGGCTGCGTCGCTCTCGGCGCCGGCGTCATGGCTGTCTTGGCCAACTGGGCCTAGGTGTAACATGCTGGTCATGGCCGTTTTGGTATGTTTTAGACGGTACTAGACTTCTTTCAAGAGACGGGTCATGGGTAATGAAAAAATTGGGTGAGAATGATACCTGGGTCTGTGAGCCTGCCTTAATTGCATGGCGTGGAAGATTCACTTCGGAGGCATTTTGGATTCTGGCATGAGGAGGAGTTTTGCATGGGGCCATTCAGGCATAGTAATTTTATTGATAAAGGAATCAACGTGGTTCAGTCGTAAATGTCGGAGCGTATTATTCGTGAAGACTTGTCCATGCTAGCCTGAGGGTCGCGATGCTGAGTGACGCTGCATACAGGTTAGCCTTAGACTCGCGTTTTTGCAAGGCATGATCTTCGAACACGTCCAGATGCCGGAGAAAACAGTCTGCATGGCGAGCAATTCAGAACCATAATTCATACATGACGACATCGGGTGTCGGTGATCATTGTGCTAGCCTCGATTCTGGGTTTGAAGCAAAGAATTGATCATGAGAAGCTCTGAACCCCTCCTGCTCTGTTATTATAACCCCACTTGACGCTGTACCCACCGGCACTTGAGTTCATCGCAGAAAAGCCTTAGGTAATCCACAAGCTTTGACAACTTTGTCAACCGCCAACAAAAATTTGCAAGGAAAGGGCACGTGATGCCCCACTCCTTCCCAGGGCAGGAAACCCTGCGCCAAGGTTGGCAGTCAACCACCAAAAATTTCCATCGCGAAACGCCCGCCTTTGCGACAATTTCCTTGTTGACCGACCGACCTCATCGCCCAATTTCCATCGCCCAGCGCCCGCACCCAAGTCCGCCCTTCTCCCTCACTACCCAATCAATACCGCAAAAATGGCCGGTGGAATCAACGTCCGCGATGTCGATGTAGGTTAACACCACGCTGCCCAGAGATCTCTCGAAGCACAAAAAAAAGACTATTTCGAAACCTCGAATTGCGAATCTTCGACCCTTCCGTACCTCCGATGACACCGCGCTGTCGCCTCGAAAGTCCATGAACCACCCTCACTCAGGTTGCGCTCCACCATCGCGATCACACTCCTCGCGCCATCTCATATGCACCCCCGAAGCTTGATTACAATGAGGAGTTGAAATATACCCCATGGTGCATCTTGCGGCTGTCGCGACGATGACACGCGGGGCAGAGGGGCAGAGAGTGGTGTGTGAGGGACGGGCTTAGGCTTTCATGGGCAATGGCAGATCGGCGAGGGGGTGCGGAAGAGGAAGAAAACAAAGCACAATTTGAGGAAACGGAGCAGGCGCGAGGGAGTCGAAAGACTTCTGATGACGGAATCATGCTAATTGGTTGTTTTTTCTCCGGGCAGGCGCAGAAGTTCATCAACGCGTATGCCGCTTTCTTGAAGCGTCAGGGCAAGCTGCCCATCCCCGGTATGTCTAATATCTGCAAACACTATTGACCGGAGCGCATGAGCTAACTTCCACCAGGTTGGGTTGACATCGTCAAGACCGGCCCCGCCAAGGAGCTCCCCCCCAGAACATTGACTGGTTCTACGTCCGCGCCGCCTCCGTCGCCCGCCACATCTACCTCCGCAAGACCGTCGGTGTCGGCCGCCTCCGCAAGGTCCACGGCTCCGCCAAGAACCGCGGTGTCCGCCCCTCCCACCACGTCGACGCCTCCGGCTCCGTCGACCGCAAGATCGTCCAGGCCCTCGAGAAGATTGGTGTCCTTGAGCAGGACGAGGAGAAGGGTGGCCGTCGCATCACCCAGTCCGGCCAGCGTGACTTGGACCGTGAGTTCCCTCCATGTTATAATCTTGTAGAGCATGAGTACTGACCCCCCTGCTAGGTATCGCCCAGACCACCGCCGAGGCTGAGGAGGAGGAGGATGACGAGTAAATTATTCCCCCTAGGCACATTCTTATTAAATGAGATGCTGGTGGTAAAATGAGGTTTTCCGGTTCATGGCTACGGCAACAAAAAGGGCATTGGGTTAGGCGTCTGAAAATGGATCACGGGTTTCATGATTGACACATTTGGAACCGCACCCAAATTCAAGTTCCGTCTTCACCTGGTGTTTGTTATACTCTTCTCTTGACATGTAGTGCTACGTGCTGTCAAATCCATGCTGGATCTCAGTCGTCTCTGTGTCTTGGTCATGGCAACATTGCGCCGTCGCTCGCTCGCCTGCTTTGATATTGTGGTTGTGATTCACTCACTTCGGTCTTGCCCCCGTACATATGTTTCTTGAGTCCCTCCACCAAGCCATCACCGCCCTGAAGGCACCCCAATGGTATCACCGCGTTACTAACTGCATCGCCGCACCCGGAGCCTTCCCATTTCAAGGCTGCTCCTTCCGGTGCAGTTTTGTTATCCTTCTTCGTATTTGACCTGTTATTGTTCGAGTTTCGCACTTCCTCCTTCGACTCTCCTTTACCCTTCAACCTCTCTTAACGCATCGCGCGCCTACAGCGTATTCGACCTTCCACTCAACACACTACGACCTTGTTAAAGTGTGAGATTTGTTCGTCTATAACTGACAAGAGTGCCCCAGCTTCTCTTGACAGCCTTATCTCGCCAGTCTGCTCTTGCTTCCTCAATACAAGCCTTAACAAGCACAGTCACTCACTTAAACAGATCATCCACTCTCTCCGCCAACACAACCCGCCCAAGTAAGAATACTCACCTTCAGCTTAAAGTTTTCTCCCTTCCTCATCCAGCACACTCTATTTTCTCGCAGTACGCGGCTTTCCGTAACCGATTTCACGCGTCCAGTTTCACAATTTAGTTGTCGTCTCAGCCTCAACTTACCCTACCTCCAGGCAAGCTAAGTACACAGTCTTGCCTCCGGCCTTCCCGTCTGTCTACAGTTCAAAGCTAGTTCCGTTTTCTCGAACTATAAGCTTGTTTCTTCGTTCTAAGATCGTCCTTTACGGGCCTCGCCTCTCGATCGTCCAAAACGTCCATACTTCGGGGCAGGTACGTCAGTCACCTTCACCATCAATATGCTCTTTTACACCAGTAACCGTCAAATCGCGCTTTCCCTTAAATTCCTACTCGCAAAGTATCATTCAGATCTCTCAACTGACTAAGTCAAGCATCAGTTACAAACCGTAACCGAGAATTACCTGTTCTTGCCCGACTAGAAGTACTACTGCTCGCTAAATCAAGAGTCTTCAGTGCTGCAAACCGTCTTGGTCTTAGGAGCCTCATAGCGAACAAAAACATGAGCCATTCCACGGAGTCGACTGCCACCGCGGCCGAGCGCGCATCATCGACAGATACGTTCGCACTCACAGAACGGCCACTAATTGAGCTAGAACAGATGGACTTTGATGTTCCACATCCGAGTATCGAGCATACTTGCACTGAGGTGCAGAAAACAGCGTCCTTAGTCGATAAAGCCCCTATCTCTGCCGACAACGGTATCAATATCAAGGAAGACGGCATAGCCTTTGATGCTCCTCCTATCGGCGACATCGTCGCTTTTGAGAAGCCTTCCGACAAGATATTCTTTTTCAAACGAATGCGTAACGGCCATCCCCGCCTTGATGTTCTTCTCCAGGTTGGCTCAGGCCGCCTCCAGCCTAACGCAAGCGATGAGGCTGAATATGCTGTATGGGAAGCCAGCGAAAACCTTTATATCTACCGAACAGCTGGTCCTGATATTAAAGTCCTCCAATCTATGGGCAGTGTCGAGTATACAGCCGATAAGAGCTCAAGGTCGGATACCAAGCGCAGCTTCAGTGGAAAGACTGTTGGGTTTGTGGGTATACGCGACGCTCACAGTCAAGTACGCGTACTCAAGCTGGCCATTAGTGGATTGTCTTTCTGCCCACACAGGAAAGAAGACAAAAGCAATTTTCTATTCCACCCTAAATGGACGGCTAGGGTGAAACAACTTGCAAAGGAGTTGGGCATCAACTTAAAATCGTTTTATGATGGACACGGTCAGAAGGCTTCAAAAGAGCACGTCGGAGATTGGCGATCTAGCCACGTTGAAAAGAAACTGTCCACGCACATTGTATGGACGTTTCTAGCCATGTACGGCCTGAAGGACAAGACCGGCAAAATTTCACGAAACGACCTTTACCAACTTCGGCGACGCCTACGAGAGGAGGGTCTTGAACCTAAATTCGAGATACACCTCAGCCGCGGTCCATGTGGCATACCTCAGCGTCCTGGTCGGTGTGTTCCGTTTGTTCGGAGACTTGCGCAGGTAACAGGCATACGGTTCACAATACACTCCTAGGAGGAGAACATTATACTGGATGGATCAGTCCCGCCTAGACGCCCGCCAAGGGAAGTTGAACCAATGGAGCACCAAGAAAAAGCAAGCAGTTTCTGCGCCTATGACAGTGAGGCAGAGGAGTTGGACTCGTTCATCGAAGAGGTTGAGGCCCAGGCGAATCTCGTCTATGACGGCTTCAACGAGGCCGAGCACCACCCACCAACCTCTAGTATTGGTCCAAACCAAGGCAGAATCATTGACACAAACCAGTCCGGCAGTTCGTCTCCGCTCCCCCAACTTAGCGTCTCGCCCAGCGCTACCCGACGATTTGGAAGGTCCCTTCGCAAGTTCAAACGGCTTGCTGATGATATAAAGAAGCCTTTACCTGCTACTCCGGTGACCAAAGAGGAGTTCATGCAGATGAGCCCATATCACCAACATGCTTCTTCACAAAGCCTCTTCTGGGAGGAAAACAGAACCCCAATCAGAGATCGACAACAAAGACCAGCGGCTCTTGAGGACGGAAGAGATCGCCGGGCCCGTAAGCTTGCATTGAGACGACGGCGCGCGGCTGCAAAAGGCACCGAGGCTACACAACGATCGACAGGCAAGTCTAATTCTCGATCCGGTACACTTTGCTGTTGGCTGACGAAGTGGTGGATAAGGTTCGTCTGCACTTGCGGGGCGTCTAGGTGGTCTTCTTCATTCAAGCCGGCGATTGCGATGAGGGCGATAACAAGGGGATGCATTGGGACTATTTCGAGCCTCAGCTTATGGAGGGCAAGTCGCCAGCCTCGAAAACAGAGTATGCTGGCCGAGAAAAGGTAACTGGTATGAGAAAGAGCTTTGCTTTAAACTGGGGGTTGCGAAAAGAAAAAGGGAGGGGGGGTTGTTGGTTTTCTTCACATGTTGGTTAGCCTGGGGCGGCTGAGTTGTGCGATCCACGAGTCTGTCTTCCCGGGCAACTATGACCACAGAAGTATCAAGACACTAGGAATACGCTGGTGGAATACTGGCATCATGTGCAGACTTTGCTTCACAAAAGATAGACAATGAGGGTTTTATAAAACAGGAATGCCACATTACATTTCCCGGGTCCCGAGCTAGGATTTCCATGTGACGGAAGCTACAACTCAATTGTGTAAGATAACAAAGTTGACTACTTCATTACTGCTTGATGCAGAAGTCAGAATTCTCGTCTAGTTAGTGAATTACGATCTTCAGGATTAGATGCATAGTAGCTGGCATATAGTATCTTGACCTTGCATGTAGGCTACGTCCAGTTCCCTCTTGGGCCCTCAGGTTCCAAAGAGGCTCTATCCGGGCTTCGATTAGGGTAGAAAGGTCCGGCGATATGGTACAATCTCTTATGGCAATTATGGTTTCGTAATTGATATTCCCATGGGCGTCCATTAACACAGTGATGAGGCTCATGATATCGCAGTCAGGCCAGGTTGCTGAAAGGGGAAAGACGAGGGAAGAAGCAAGAAACTTTTGCAACGATTTTCAAGAACCGCCATTAGGACTTTTCTGTGACTACAAGACTTTTTTCAAAGATCAGTTGATCATATCGATAGATTGCCAAATTTATCGCTGTTGTCCGGCGTTGTTGTCCCGCAGTGCCGGGCAAAGTCTTGGTAGGTGCCGGATGCACTGGGTATCGAGACAGACAAATGGATACGGAAATGAAAGTAGCTCTGATGAAAGAGAGTGAATTCTTTTAACACATAAAAAGGTGCGGATAAATCCATTCCAGCTGGCAGGTTGAATCTCAACACATCAGACCCAAACACAGCACAACATTCATATTCTATTCCAGCTGCACATTCTTCCACATACGACCATACCCATTGGAAAACTCGGGATCCCGTCCGCTCTCCCATAGATAAGCCAATGAGGGCCGGATTAGTAGTTGGGTCGGTGACGACCAGCGAATACCTGGTGTTGTATGTTGTTGATCAATCTTTTTGAGTGGTAAAACTTCCAAGCGGTGGGTGACGATGTCGCTTGCTCCGTGTTGCCTTCACCTGTGCCTTAAACCAAACACTGATAGCTCAGGCCATGGAGAGTGTACCATGCTTCTGACATAAGTTGTGCCCTGCCTCAATTCCCGTTACTGTACTGTTGTGATAGGTTCAACCCGGTAGTTTCTTCCTGTGAAGGCTGTACCATGGTAAGATTCCATAAAAGCAGTCAGTATACAATTTCAACGCATCCCATCACTCGGTACAATCGATTTTTGGCTCATCAGTTACACTTCCTTGAGGTGTATAGATAACTAGCACAGCAGATGTTAGCGGCAGGCTGCAGTATCGTTGAGGAGGCTTCCTACCCTCAGTGGTGGTTGACGAGTCATCCGACAAGCCTGTGGCCTGCCCCTCAAGGAACTGGGTGAGTTCGCACAGGCATCTCTGAAGAAACTCCTTCTTTTCCTCCAACTGCTTGACTTCATCATCGAGAGCCTCTGACTGTCCAATCGTCTGCGCCGGACGGGCTTCGGAAGGAGGCTTTGGCGTTGGGGCGAACGCGTCTGGAAGCTTCTGTAAGACGCTGTTTTCGATGATTTGATGGAACTCGTGGATCATGACCGGAAGAGCAAGCTGCGAGGGTTTTAGGTTAGCAATTGGGGAAATTTAGCGTAGAAGAAGACTAGGAGGCAACTGGCACACACCTGATAGTGCGCTTGCATGTAGTCGATGGCCAATTCACTAGCAACCCGATCAAGGTCGGTGTCAACCTCGAGAGTGATATTGTGGACGAGGAGTGAGGTTAGATCTGGAGTCAGGCCGGGAGGATTTGAGTGTTTACACTTTCTAACGATTTTATCCAGGTGCTCTTGAACACGGGCTTTTTCGCGCTTTAGTCGAATCTGCTGCACTGCTTCGATAACGGGATAGCTGTTGATGAGCCAGCGCGAGCTCAATGAGTCCAGCAAGTGTCCAATCTCCTTCTCGATGTTGGATTTGAGACCTTCGAAAAAGGGAGTCAAGTTTGATAACACCTCTGCTTTGGCATCCGACGACACAATGCCAGAAACGATTCCCTCCAGTGTCTCTCGAGAGGCATCAAGAATATGCCGGAGTGATTCTTGTATGATACCCTTCCAAGGGTTACACTGCATTGCAAGCAATTCAGAAATGACCCGAGAACTGAGGGTTCCAGGGGCTTCGCGACCCTTGCATCTCTTGACCATCTTGTCAACCCTCTTGACAAAGATATACCGGTAGATAGCCTGGAGATTATTGGCCGAGTGTGGAAAATCAACAATCTCCACTGCGTGACCGTTTTCGGACATCCTTTTTCCGAGAGATGCAAGCAGCTCTAGAATAATAGTGCGAAGTCGAGGTTGCTTGCACTCTGGGAGTTCGGAAAAGTTTTTGCTGAAGAAAGGGTTGGTGTAATTCCCATCCACTGCGTCTTGAACCAATTCCGACAAGACTTTATCTGTCTCCATTGCCTGCTTTGTTTCCGCGACCAACAAATTGCTACTGAGAGACTGCAGCATGACATTTATGGTAACTATTTGAGATTTGATCTCATCTTTCACATCGTAGAGTTGTGATCGTGCGTGATCTTCAAACACGGCCGTTAGATGGTCCTTGACGGCTAAGAACCCAACATTCGAGACATCCATCAGGTCCTTGAGCCGATATGCATCAACGCGCTCAAAATCCTCGCTAATCAAGTCCATTACTGTGTGCCAGCCTATTCGACATTTGTATTGCTTGAGTCGAATAAGATATTCGAGCAAGGTGTCACAGCGCCGATACCTACTTTTGTTCCGGCGATGAGATTGAAAGATTCCAAAGGTACGCTCTCCATTGGGGTCGACTTGTCGGACCAATTCCAGTAGGCTCAATTCGGTATCCAACTCGCAGATTTGACAAGCAACCACAAGTATAAGGTCCCGTGGGTTTCTTATGTACTTAAGAATCTTTTTCTCGGCGATGCTGGGGTAGGCAGCCGGCTGGAACTTAAGGTTGTCGTCGAGCAAGGGTGGAAGAGCGATAATTGACAAGAGTGGCACTCGCGCCTTGCAAACTTCGATTCGAATAACATCTTCGACGATAAGCTTCGTGGCGAAAGTGAACGACATGACGGTCTGTTTCGCTGCATCTATACCAACGTCCAGATCTAGCGTCCAAGACGAAATGTCGGTTGTACTCCGCTCGGCAAAGCTCAATAATGTTGCCTTTTCTTCTTCGGATCGCTCAGCTGACGGGATGATGGTTATGGTCGAGCTGCAGCCGTCTGGATTGTCGTCAAGAGGAGGGCGAAGGACGATCTCGAAGATGAAGTAACAGTTGAAACGCTCGCTTCCTAGACTGACATTGATACCAGTCAAGTCCTTTAGGGGGTCGCAGCCGCAATAATCAGTGCTATCTTGCCTACACAGAACAACCCGAGGCAGAGAAGTATAATCACTGAGTCCTTGTAGATGAAGTTTGTTGATGACATCGTGGTACTTGTGGGCTTCTTTGAGACGAGACGCCATGCTGAACACGGTGGACGGTCAAATAAGGTTTATGGTAAGAGGACAAAAAAAAAGCGAAGCGTGTTATGTATAGTTTGCTTAGGGTGAGAAAGGGTTGCGGATGTCTCTAGTTTCCGGATTGTGCTTGTCTCTTGGCCCTTTACCAGACTGGGCAGCGATGGTCTATTTATGCACTTTTTAATAACCTACATGCAATCAGGCGATAGCGAGAGCAAGAAGGTAAAAAGCTCACAAGATTAAACTTTACTTAAGCCTTCTGTTGGAAGCAGAGCTACGAGTCTACACAAGGTTTGTTGGGGCATTAGACAAACTATCCCCAGCCCGAACTGGGCAAAATGGTCAAAATCAGTCTTTACAATCCATGAAAACCCGATATTCACATGTGGTAGTGGCAGTGGTATCCAAAGACCTTTGACAAAATTGGGTTTAGAGTATTGTAGATTCCAAAATATCCTAGAAGCTGATCTGGAAGTACGCGCCCAGGACCAGACTCAGTCAAACGTCCCTATCGAAACGACAAACCTCAATGTCACCTTTCATTCCATACTTTGAATGCTTACTTCAGTGGATGGAGAGGATGATCGCTAAAGCTGTGGATTAGAAACCCCCCTCTGTTGGTACGAGCTGGGATGCTCATCCTCAGCATTTGGAAGGATGAACACGACACAAGGTCAAAAGACTTACTCATTTGCATTAGTTGGAAGCACCCCCGGCCATGCTCGAGGCGCAGGCCAACATTTCTTGTCCGTCTTGGCAACCTCCACAAACCAGCCCACAGCCCTAAGGCGCGTAAGCTAACTGGTCAACTCAGTTAGGACTGGTAAACACTGCCCAGAAACCCCTACGTAATGCCTAAGGCTGTAGCTCCTACGCGCGACGTCATTAGCTGGACTCATGCAGCTAATGTATGGATTAATCTGCTGCCTTGGACCGTCGTAGGGGCGGCTAATGGCACCTCTTCTTTGGAACTCACTCAGGACTGTCTTTGGGAGCTATGAACGATCCACTTAAAGTGAGCAACTTGTATGCTACACTTCCTAAAGTCCCTTTCACGACCACCAAACAACCAAGCTCCTGTCATGTCAAAACCTGCGGCTCTGGCGTAAATGGGGTAATCTCGATGTTGTAAATACAAGCGAATGCATGAGATGGATTGGAGAGAAGAAGTTGTCAAACAAGAAGAGCAGATTCGCGTGACAAGTCGGCCACAACGTCGGAAGAGATTCAACGTCCCCATGTCTGCCAAGCAACGCCAATCCCGCCCGACCTTGCACATTGCTCATAGCCTCAGCTCGGGGACTTTGGTAGGCCTGTTGGTGCCACAGAAGGATGCGCCGCTAACCAAATAATGTCGCGAGTTGTCTTGGGTGCGCCGTGAACATAAAGACGGCTGCAACCCATTCAATCGTAAAACATTGCCGATTCAAGCGCAACTTGGGACCAATTCCACGACTTTGGGTCGTCATTCATCTCAATGTTCCATCTTGCTTCGGCGCTTGTGCGGGCTTTGACCCTCAGTAGCATTGCCGTCGCCGCCCCGACTGTCTCTACCCCGTTCCGGAGACAAACCCCGAGTAGCGAGGCCTGTGCCGAGATCGGCCGAGTTTACGACAAAGCCGCATCGGCAAACGCCACAAGTACGCTTAAACAATCCTCCCACTTGATTCATGGAGCCGATATCAAGGGCCGAAGATGAAAATTGTGCTAATAGTTTAGTCAGGTAACGTAGTGGTGAAGCCCTCGGTAGCATACCAGTGTCTGAGATCGATCCCGGTAGACGTTGAAAGAGATGTCGCGCTTGTCAAATATCTCCGGCCGTGGCTCGAGTTCCAAAGCACGATTGGTATTCTTTCCGACCCACCGGAAGAATACCTATACCCTGGAGTTGACATATTTGGCGGGTTTGACAACATAACCCAGTCGCTTGAAAATGACGGATACGAATCGCAGTTTGACTTTACGGTGGACCTGTACAGACTGATCAACGTCAAACCTCGCGATGGACACTTGTCATGGTCGCCTGCTCTGGGTGTCTTGATCAGCTTCTCAACCCCGGCCCTGTTCATTTCAATCTCGGAGGACGGCGTCCAGACACCCAAGATCTACCTTCACTGTGAGGCCAGCGAACTCTTTAGGTGGTGCACAGTAGTACTAACGTAGAAAAAGCCGACTACGAGCGAAGCTTACAGCAAGGCTATAACGCGTCGGAGGTCAAATCCTTTGACGATTTACCTATCGTCAACTACCTCCAGCAGCGATCTGTCGACAATTCGCGAGACCAGGACCCCGATGCGGCGTACAACGAGCAGCTCTACAGCGCAGCCTTGGCCAACGTACTGGAGACTGCTGGTGCTGTTAGATACCTTCACACAGCCCTTTCGGATGAGAGCGTCATCGAGTTTACCAATGGCACCAAGATGACTGTCGTCAATACTGCCCGTGTCGTCGCCAACTTTTCTGGCATCGACTCCGGCAGTGCCGTCCACGACCGCTTCGAGGTCCCGGGAGACGACGGCAAGGCAGAAGTGAGACTCAACTCTACTACGAGGGAATTTTCTCCTGAGCTAGAGGGCTACCCAACGCCTTTTGTGATTCACGAGGACAGGTACATCAGCGGTTATCTCTTCAACGAATCAATCTTGGACGATACCGCCGTCCTAGCCATCAATATTTTTGCTTCCCAGAACAATAGCAGATCTGGGTCACGAACAGTCATTGAGGATATCATGGCTGACCCCATCGAGTTTATCAGGGTCACCAACGAATTTGTCGAAACCAGCAGGAGGCAGGAGAAGTCCAAGCTAATCATCGATCTGCAGGGCAACGGTGGCGGCTTGGTGGCCAACGCCGTAGCACTGTATACAATACTGTTCCCAGAAGGGGGCAAGGAGACACATATGAACATGCGTGTTCGCGCGCACGCTGCTCTTAACTGGGTCGGCACAACAGCAGAGGACTTTGGCACCGATTTGCAGATGCTCCCTTACCCAATCGGCTTCAACGGCTTCATCGACGAGGGCCTGAAGAACTTCACCAACTGGGAGGACTTCTATGGTCCGGAAAAGATCGGCGACGACCAGTTCACCAATATTGTGCAGCCGATGGAGGTGGCCTACGCTCGCACTGGACTTCCTGGCGTCTTCGAGATCCCAGAGCCGTGGTTCAAGCCTGAGGATACCATCATCGTCACTGATGGCCACTGCGCGTCCGCCTGCGCCTATGTTGTAGGCATGATGACCCGCGAGCTCGGCATCCCAGTCGTCGCCATGGGTGGTCGCCCAATTGATGCGCCCATGCAAGCCGTAGGAGGCACCAAGGGCGGTCCCGTCATCACACTGAGGCCGTACCAGTTGCTCTACCCCGCGCTCGGCACCTTCGTCTCGCCGCCTGAGGATGTTGACATGACGCCCTTCGCTAAGCCAGACCCACCGCTGGCTGGTATGCCTACAGAGACATGGACCATCAACTCGGCCAACATTTATCTGGACGATGACCTAGAGGGTACTCCTGTGCAGTTTAGATATGAAGCGGCGAACTGCAAGCTATACTACACCTGGGACACTCTAACGAACATGACCAACCTGTGGACTGCGGTAGCAGACATCAAATGGAATGGAGGCAAGTGTGTGTCGGGCTCAACCACGAATGATGATGGTACCATGGGCTCATCTACGCTTGGATACTCGGATAAGGTTGTATCGAACTTTACGTGGGCTGCTGGTCCTGGAGATGTTATCGAGGGATCCAGACCAGATAACGGCGGTGGTGGCGGAAATGGTACTGGCGATGGTAATGATGAGGATCAGAACGCTGCCGGCTCGCTAAGAGGTGGTGGAGGCCTGTTGTCTTTCTTGATGTTTGCGATTGTGGTGGTGTTCATCATGTAATACATCGCGAGAAACGCGGGAGTACTTATGCCTAGTTCGGTTCAAGGGAACATGGCACACTCGTCAGAGTTCAATCAAAGACGTGTGCAACTCCTTCAGACACTAGCATGTGCGCAGCGAAAATACTTATTCATTGGAAGCCCCGCAGGTGGCAATATGGTGGTTATCGTACTTTTCCGCCAAAGATCTCCACTAAACATTATATTGGAGATGGGACAAGACGTTTGCCAGGAGATACTATGTAAAACCTCTCCGTCCACAGCAGCATGGAATAGGTATGAGCTCTAGCTTGTAACCGAGAATTTCGGCATCGAAGAACAGCCAGGGAAGTGGATCAGAAGTTTGTGTGGGCAAGAAGGTGTTTCAATTAGAGTAATCGAGGAAAATCCCACAGTTAGTCTCCTTTTGAAAAATAAAAAATAAAACATCTCTTCCTGGTTCAGCAGGAAATCGGATATTGCAACCTGGGCAAGTTACTGTATGCACCCATCATGGAGAGAGACTCTTACCCTGAGGCTGGATGAGATCCCCTTTCTTCTTGTCATTGTATTGTAATCTTCTCATTACGCTTACATGCGCCCTAACACGCCTCGGCCTAGCCCCAAAAGCGAGCGAGGTTAGGTGGTGGACAAATCCACATAAAAGCTTCAATTCCCGGATGGTCCAGGGACCACCCTGCGCAGCCAGGGCAGCTTCTCCCAATGCGGCGCTTAAGCCGCGACTATCTCTAAAAGCAAAGTCAAAAATATAAACCACTCAAACCCGAAACAATTCGGAAGCCCGGCTCTGATAGCCCACTAATGCCTTCGGATCCGGCACGGTGCAACGGCACGCAGGCCTGGCCTAGCAGACCCCCAGAAAGATCGCCCTTATCCAAGCAAAGCCAAGACTTTGACAACTTCGCCAGAAGAAACATTTAGAGTGATGGCCAGAGACTGCACGAAAAGACCAAATGCCATTTGATAGTTAAGTCGGGCTGAATTGCGACATAGAGCAAACCCTCAATTGTGGTGCCTAGTAACCCTAGATTGACACCTCAAAAGCTTAAGTTAAGCCTCGAACACCTTGTTTAAATCATTTATTGACGCATGCGCTGCGTACTCAAAAGCATCGTGCTCATTTAGCCGTGGGGTTCCCGCCTTCGCCTTCGTCTACTTTCTTCCCGGAAGTCTAACTGGCAAAGCCGAACACACATGTCATATGAGATACCAGGAACGCTCTAGAACGCCGGCCAGCGAAATGAAGGGGGAAGACATTAAATGACGGATAAGGTGGCAACATCCCAGTCTCTCTAGATCGTGGCGACTCTAGCCTTCCACGTCACTACTCTCGTCGATGTCCCACAACCATAATCATGGGGCAATTCGGCGGAAGCGGTGGCCCCACGAGTCGCATCCACGCAACAGGGATCTCAACCATCACCGTTCCGGCCAGTCGGCACGACAAATGACATAGGTTAGATGGAGATGGTAATTTCGACTCCTGAATCGACTGAGATATAAGACTTGAGAGGAGGTCTATTTCTGAAGAAGGCAAACTGGCTATATTGCACCAAGTTTCATCTTACCCTATCTTTCAGGGCCTTCCACTCTTTTGCAACATCACGTTCCTTTGCCCAGTCGCTCTTTTGAACTCAGACACTCTTTTTTCACTGAATCTGGCATTCACCATGAAGGGACTCATCGTCAGTGCTGCTATTGTCGGCGGCGCCATGGCTCAGGCCGGCCCTTACATGCCCTGCGGCGGCAAGGGCTGGACCGGCGCAACGACTTGCGTGTCCGGTTACACGTGTGTCGCCCAGAACGAATACTACAGCCAGTGTGTCCAGGGAAGCGGATCCGGTGACGCCAGTCCCGCAACCACCTTGAGAACATCGACGAGACGGTCTTGTAAGTCTAAAGCAGCGTCCGCCAGTGCCGTCGTGCCGCAGGTCCCCACGACGAGCCTGTCACTTTCTTCGACTTCGGTCCCGGCTGTTGCTGTGTCATCCGCGAAGCCCATTGACACCGAACCAGCCTCTTCGACATCCATCCCCGCCTCCGTCAAGGCCTCCGCTGCCGCCAGCAAGTACAAGGCTGCTGATACCAACCCCACTACTGCGGTTTCCTCGGCCGCTCCCGTCACCAGCAAGCCTGCCTCGGTCACTCCCGTCACCAGCAAGCCTGTGTCCTCCGTGGCTTCTGCCACTAGCAAGGCGTCTGCCCCCGCCGCTTCCGCCTCCACCACCCCCGGCAGGTCCGGCAAGTTCAAGTGGTTTGGTACCAACCAGAGTGGCGCTGAGTTCGCCTCTGGATCCCTGCCCGGCACTCTGGGCACCGACTATGCCTTCCCGGACACAGCCAAGATCACCGTTAGATGCAGCCGTCCCAGCAGTGTGCGTTCTTGATTAACATGTGCAACAGACCCTTATGAACGAAGGATACACGACCTTCCGCGTTCCGTTCCTTATGGAGCGACTGTCCCCTGACAGCATTTCGGGCAAGTTCAACGCCGACTACCTCTCCGGTCTGACCAAGGTCATCGAGCATATCACCTCCGCCGGTGGCTACGCCGTCCTCGACCCCCACAACTACGGCCGCTACCGGAACAACATCATCACCGACACCGCCGCCTTCAAGACCTTCTTCACCAACCTGGCTACGGAGTTCAAGTCCAACGACAATGTTATCTTTGACACCAACAACGAATATAACTCGATGGACCAGGACCTCGTTCTGCAGCTGAACCAGGCCGCCATTGACGGAATCCGTGCCGCCGGCTCCGAGAACTGGATCTGGGCCGAGGGCAACTCTTGGAGCGGCGCACACAGCTGGACCAGCGTGAACGACAACATGAAGGGCCTGACCGACTCGCTCAACAAGGTCGTCTACGAGATGCATCAGTATCTCGATAGCGACAGCAGCGGCACCTCCGCCGACTGTGTTTCGGCCACCGAGGGCGTTGAGCGCGTTAAGGACGCCACCGCATGGCTCCGCTCCAACAAGAAGGTCGGTGTCATCGGCGAGTATGCCGGCGGCGCCAACGCCCAGTGCAAGGATGCCGTTGTCGGTATGCTCGACTACCTCCAGGAGAACAGCGACGTCTGGCTCGGTGCGACTTGGTGGGCCGGCGGACCGATGTGGGGTTCGTACATGTACTCGCTCGAGCCCGAGACCGGTGTTGGCTACAGCTACTACAACGACGTGTTGAAGGCCTACCTTTAAACTCGCATTGGCGAAAAGCGAGATAGCGGTTTGTTTGCAGGGGATGAGGGCATGTTTCGATGTTCCTTCAAGTAAGGGACGTATTTTCTATTCTTCTGTATAAAGTTGCGAGAGCTTCTTGGTCGATCTGCGTCTAGAGGCCTCTCAGTTAGGGGTCTGGCTGACAGCCCATGACTGCTGCCGCACATGTTCACTTCTTGTATCCGATTTATCAATTTGAACCGTTCCCGAAAGGGAACGCAGATCCAGAGATGTTGTGTCGTATCTTCATGATTTGCGGTTTACCCAGTAGCTGCCCGATGCTTGTCGGCCAGCGAAGTGCATTATCGTGCGCCTATTTTCACAAACTTAGTCGGATTTCAGAGACGGCCTACCGGTACCCAGTTAATCACGACTTATCCGACTATGTATTTTATAAAGTATGAAAAGATGCTTGCAAAGGCGAACCCCCCCCCCCCCCCTCTCCCACCTTTTCTTGCCCTCAAAGCGACGAGCTCATTAAATACATTGGCCCTAATGTAGGTACTCAAAATCAGGCAGGACGCGCCCAAGGTTTTCGATGTTGGGCAAGCGTCTTGAGTTTTCTGACGCGGTGTCAAGAGAACCACCAAAGCCCAGCGGATACAACTGACCACGAAAACGGCCCCTGAAAACCCATCATGCAACGCTGCAGCGTGTGGAAATTTTGGCTGCAGCTTCGGTTGGAGCTGGTGTTGGATGTAACCTATCGCGTTTCGCGCTAATATAGGCTGAACGAACAGACGTCTATGCATCGAGTGCAATCTCTTTCAAGCCGCACCTTTCCAGAAGCTCAACAGCGCAACAGCTTTGCGCTGCATCCCGACAGTCTGGGAACAGGTCAAATTGGATTTGATAATAATTGCACGCACGAGTGGGGTGATTCCTCCGTCGCAAGGGCCTTTGCTGCCTGGTGGCGGCTAAGGACCCCTGTCGAAGGCTCTGGAAACTAACCGTAACCAATCTCCAACGTCCGAATCCCTTCAACGCTGGTAGGCAGCAGCCACCCCACCGGATGTGGCACAGACATAGTCAGGAACATAAATACCTTGCTGTGGTTATGGTGAAGTGTCGAGATCTAGAATGTTTACTCTTGGGCACTGCAATCCACCCAATCCGTTCAAAACACTGGGCACAGCCCACTAGTTACCACGTTGCGTCAACTTTCGAATCCGGATTAGAACGTAATTCACGCGTATATCATAACGACACCCGTGTTTCACTTTCCCCATCTTTCCATTTTTCCTAAAATGGTTTCTTGCCGAGTCGACGGAACGCCCGCCCACGGCATGCCGAAAGGCTTCAACGCGCCGCCGCCGGCCCCACAACCGGCGCCCTACACGGCCTACTCCGGTCCGCCGGGCAAGGCAAACATCCTCACCCGCCAGTTCGCCGCGCTGCCTCTCATTGCGCTTCTTTACACTGCCGCCGTCCCGTTCACCCCGGTCGTCTGGGTCCTCAACATTGACGGGAGCTCCCTTTTCGACCGCCTCTTAGCCGGCATAGTCATGCTGTCGGCGTGCTACTTCCAATGGCGCATCGCGGGACTCACATCACCTCTCGCCGTCTTTCTCCCGGGGCCGGGCGGCAGTAGAATTCGCAACGGACGGATTGAGCAGGGCTCTAACGTGGGATTCGTCTGGCACCCCAGTAACTACTGGCCGTACGTGATCTGCGAGGCGATGCTCCTGTGCGTCGCCGAGTTTGGGGGCAATGAGCTGTTGAGACGGAGCATCGTTTGCGGTGTCATTGCGGGGCTATGGCTTGTTGGGTACCACGCGACGCCGGAGTCGACGAGGCGCTGGGCCTATGAGAACATCAAGGCTTGGCTGTTTTGGATGGTGCTGGATGAGATGATGCGTGTTGGGGGGAGGAGTTATAGCGGGCGGCGCCGCAGATGAGTGCCGATGACCAATGCGGTATCTGAAACAAGCATGGGAAGGAGAGCCTCTGGAAGTAATTCGGAAAAACTCTCGTGGAGTCGCGCATTAAAATGGACTGCAGAGGCTTGGGATGGTTAGAATCCACACATTATGCTTGGAGCAGACTACAAACCAATAGTTCCTCCTACTTATATACTATTACAAGTATTCTTTTCATGATGGGCATTAAACCATGTCAATTTTAAGCTTAATGTGACTTGGTGGCACATATATATACTCAGCGACAGGGTAAGCATCCCCGGCCTGACGAGCGACCGCAGCTGAAGTTGCTGGTTTCAATAGATACGTAATCCTGAGCAGCCATCATACCAGACTGTTGATGATATTTGCGGAGACTATTTCGCTCACTGGAAGTTGGCAAGCGGGTCGGAACGTCACCGTGTTCTGTGTACGACACCACACATATTGTATTGAGTGTGAAATAATAGTATCCGTATATGTAAATGCCAGATTGTACGAGACCCTTATTGCTGATCTCTTGGCTCTTGAGCCAGCAGCTCATCATCGTCGTTTGCTTCACCAGGCTGGATCTCGCGGAACCTTTGGACCAAGTTTTCCGCCTGCGCAGCAGAAGGGTCCGTCATGGCCAAGTCCAAATCGACAACCCAAGAAACTGGCACTAGATCGGAGATATCGTGGTGCTTGCCCCGAAGTCCAAGGTCTTTCCTGATTGCCCTCGCCTGCGGGATGTCCATGACACCCTTCTCCAGAGCCATGGATAACAAACTCAGCGTTACCCCCTTGGCCAAACGGAAACTGGTGTACAGCGTTTGGTAGCAGGTCATGCAGAGGCGGAAATAGAAACGCCATTCCGGACCATGTCCGGTAACCTTTGCCTCGGCGAGCATCGCATTGGCGAGGTAGAGGAGCGCCGAATGCCAGAAGAAGCAGTACGACGACTCTGGATAGTTCTGCCGGTAGAAGAGCACGATTCTCTTTAACTGGTTCACGGATGCTGCGTATACGGCATCCGGAGTGGCTTCTGTAGACCTGAAGGCGGGGAGTCGCTGTCGAGAAGCCCCGTTTTGCCGAAGAAGAGGTCGGAACAGGTCGACAATGGCCAAGTGGTAGTACATACTAATAATCGCTTTAGCCGCGCGGCTTGACGTCTCTTGAAAGCTTGTGTTTGAAGACTTACTGCATAATCATAGCGTGGTGTGTACATTGATCACCTTGGGCCATTTCAAGCGGTAAACCATCTGCCCACATTAAAAGCCGTTTGTAAGTCTCCTCGGCGAAGGCTAGAGTCACGGCTTTCGCGTACGGGGTCTGTTCTGCCCCATACATGACTTGGATCATGTCGTGGACTATCAAGAAGAGGCGACAGTGCTCTCTCAATAGTTCGGCATTGTAGAATCGTTTTTTTTGTTCTTTTGACATGTCCTCGTCGCTTTCAGCATACATGCCACTGTCCGGCAGGGGTACGCGAGGTGGGTGCTCGATTAGGCGCTGGTGGAGGTGCATGGAGAAAAAGCTTTGTTGGAATGATTAGTTTACGAATCTCAACATCAAGGGATAGTGCATCAAATCCGGGTTTAGGTGCTCCAGGGGCTGATTGTGAACTCAAAACAAAACCCCAACATAGGATGAATAAACCGCTTTTCATGGACATTAGGGACGTGGAAAAGGGTTTAGGTGATAAAAGGGCAAAGTGACAAGGGAGGAATGGAAAGACACCTAGGTTGATTGTTGACGTACGTTAGACAATAAAATAACACCCAGGCTATCTGGTTTTTGGCTCGCCGATAGCCTGCACTGTCGCTGACATTGCTCTCTGACACCTGAGAAGGGTCGACGTTGAAAAGCCCAAGTCTGCGGGACATCTCCAAGACATCGCCTAGAAACTCCACATATTCTGCTCCGGCCCCGTATGAGACTGCGGTAATCGATAAGTAGTGTACCGCAGCCACAGTACAGATGTGATCTGAGGCTTGAGCTTCCTTGGTCTTTTTCCACTGTGTTTTTGCTTCGCTGTAGAAGGCGTGGCCTATGACTGTAGCCTCGGGCTCGAAGGCCGCATACCCCTGCTGCATCAAGGTAAGACTAGACATACAACCCAGTTGGAGTGGGGTTCGTTTTTGTGACACTTACACAAGCCCATGCGAATAGCGCGTTGACGAGAAATCGAGAACAGAATTCGTTCCGGCCAAGGAGCCCATCCAGGAGTAGGTCGGCGTCAATCAACGGCATTATCGGATGATCGGTCTCGAGATAGAGCTGCAGGACCGCAATGAAGAATCCGTTGGTGACGGGCACATTGGTCCATTGGGTGATGTTGATACCTAGTAACCTATTGTCGTACAATTTCGGCGGCCTGAGTGGCCCGGTTAGACTCGTTGCGTCCGGGCTCCTCTCTCGAGGTTCGTGAGCGTACGGCGAAAGGTAAGGATGGCCATCAGGCGAGCCTGCGGTGCTGCATCGGGGTTCAAAAGTTAGTGAGGATCTTGTGGGGCGCCGACGACAACTGGCGGCACAAAAGAGGGTTTTCTGACACATTGGCCAAGCCTTTTCAGAGCTGGTCGGGGAAAGACAAGCCCATCTGAGCCGCCTCAAGTTAGAATCAACTCACAGAGTCGGGCCACTTCCCTCCCATCGAATCTTGCTCGGGAGCAGAAGGAACTCTAAGTCGAGTTTGGATGGCTCGACCGGTGCCCAAGTGGGATAAGCAAGAGGGTGTCTCATCATCAACTCAAACTCCAAGGAAGTCTGCGTGGGAGGTAGGATTGCCCTGTTCAGCGCAACTTGCGACAACCCTACGTCGTACCTCCGCAAGGCAGAGCCCACCTCGGCCGGTTCGTTGCCAGTCCTGAGAAGTTTCAGTGCCTCCAAGGCCTGCTCATCCGGCACGCGCTTCAGCATCTCGAGCAGGTCTGCCGCGTCGGCATTGATCAGGGCCTCGTCCTTGTCCACAAGTTGGGTTCCGGGGGGATGGCCTTCAGAATGGCATCAGTGATCGTTCTGTATTCGCACTTGAGCCCGCGGCGCTGGCACTGGAAACATTCCGGCTCGCCGTCGCACTGTATAAAGGCTAATTGTCAGTAGTGTTTAGTGCACAAAGCACTTCATTTGAGTGGCTGTACATGGCTCATGGCCCCAAAGAGTTTGAACGGTTGCATCTTGGGGCCCGAGGGTGGCAAACCCCAATGTGACTTACAGCGTTCTTCTTCTCCCTACAAAAGTTGCAGGCTTTCGACGTATAGGGCCGTCGTCTTTTGCGTCCCTTGGAATTGCCCTCATCGCCGTTCTTGGCCGCTAACTCTTGAGAGGGTCGTTGGGCAAGTCGGGGAAGAAGCGGTCGATGCCATTGACTTTCCAGCGGCATTCGAAGGCGGACGTCGAATACCTTGCTGATATGTTTCGAGTATCGGCCGCGTCGTTCAGAGCAGGGTCCTATCAGTCGTAGTGTAATATTGCTAGAAGATTCTGAGATTCTGAGATTCTGTACAGTCGTTTGCCACGTTGCTGGTCAGTTCGAGGGCATGACAAGAAAGAGTTTGAACTTTCCGGGGGAAAGAAGCTGACCGGAGTGCACTCCGGCTCGCCTCTCGCCACACATTAGTACATTAGGGGGGTCTAGAATGTCTCCCTCAACCATGTGCCAACCAACGCCTGGGCCACGCCACTCTGGTGGTGTGTGGCTCGTGCCAACTCAGAACTGACTTAAGATCCGATGCGCTCAATAGTCGCATATCTGCTGGATCGGGGTCTCGAAACGAATATGCAGGTATCCCATACGCAAATCGGAGCCTGTCACACCGCTGCTGTAAGCGACCGGTTAAGTTCCGACGCGAACCCCATCGTGGTAAGGCCCACATGCCTGATTCTGGCACGGGCTTTCCCGTCTTGTGTCTCGACGAAACCCGATTACCTCCCTCATCGCGCTTCGGGACCCTTGCTCTAATTGCACTCAACATCACACCCCTCTTATCCGAACAAATTCGGGCAGAATAGGAGCTTTAGCCCAGGCGTAGGTGGTGAGAGAGACTTGCTTCAATCGCTTCGAGGCTTTCCCGACCAAGCTTTCCGAGGACTATTGACAAACGCCTCATGCATACGCTAATCGACGCGTCCAAGTGGGCATGGCCGTTTTCCTGAAGGAGCAGGTGCCATCGCACAAAGTGGCCAGCGACCAAATTACGGCGCCTTGGCAAACAACAAGTCACTCTTCTCCCCAGGAAGCGCAATGCAATACATCAGAGAAGATGCCACCGGCAGGGAAACAGATAAGGTTGAGGCGGGGAACGAACCGTCATGAGTCCAGAGAAAGCAGGTCGGTAGCACCGCTGTGCTCGCGTCGCGTTCGCCGCAGACTTACTTATTCATTGCCAGCCCGCGCCGCCGCCCTTCCCTCTCTCTCTTGTTTGTGATATCCGCCAGCTGCTGTCTGTGGTTTGTTTGGACGTCAACGACCAACTACCGCACCATCATCGGCGATATGCAGCTTCGAGAGGGAAACAATGGCATCCTGGCCTTCGTGGCGGCGGCCCTAGCGGCCCTTGCCGTCAGCCCAGCAGCCGCAGATACCTGCAACCCGTACACGCCTTTCGTGCCGATTGACCCTCAGGATTGGGCGAACCCTGACAACATGACGTGGGACCAATTTGTGAAACCGCCAGGCACAGATTGGGCGAACCCGGCCCGTAAGGGGTCCAGCCGCAACTTCAACATCGCCCTCGTCGTCGTCGACTATCCGGACAGGCCTTTTATCATCACCCAGCCGGCGCACTCGACCATCTTCGACAACCCGCAGCCCGCGGGCGCCGATATTGCTCGAGAAGACGTGCCGAGGTTCTATCGCGATCTGCTCAACACACCAAACGAGCTGAACCGGGGCCATACTCTTCACGAGTACTGGATGGAAGACTCGGTTGGCCGGTTCGGGGTCGATCTGACGGCTTTCGGCGCGTATCGGCTGTCTGGCAACGGATACCAATATGGCATCGACGGCAGCTTCAACCCTGACGCGTGTCCGGAGGGAGAGAGTTGCGGTCTAAACATCCGTACCGATGCCCTTGCAGCATGGCGCGCTGACGTGGGCAACGCGACGGCCGACGCTTTCGAGCTGGTCTTCATCCTGTCCGCTGGCCAGGACGAGTCCTCTACGTGGCAAGAGTTTGGCGAGATGAAGTTCAACGGTCCCGAGGATGTTCCGGACGAGTTTGGTCCTCCAAAATCCGTAAACAGCTCGCTGCCCAACTACGCGCGCACTCGATATGTGCCTTGGACTTCGTGGGCGGCGGCTTCGACCCTTTGGCCCAACGCTGGTGGCGGCTCCTCCACCCAAGGCGAAAGCTCCGGCATGGCCGTTTACGCCCACGAGCTGAGCCACTTGCTGGACATTGGTGACAACTACAACAATCCCTACGGCCTCCCGTTGCGCAGAGCCTACACGGGTCCTTGGTCCATGATGTCGCGCGGCTCGTTCAATGGTCCTGGCGGCCCGCATACTCGCTGGCAGGTCCCGGCACTACAAGGTGCCTCAATGGGATCACTGCACACACTGCGCGACAAGCTTCAGCTCGGACTGATTGACAAGACAGACATTCTGTGGCTGTCTCGCGAGGCTTTGATCACCTCAGGAATCGCCGCCGCTAATCTCATAGCCCGTTCTGTTGACCCTGGCGATGGCCTGATGGGCGTCCGCATCATTATGGATGCCGACCGATCCCCAACCTGCAACATCACGACAGAGGTCCTTTGCGACGGTGGCAAGTGGGACAACTACGACATGGAAGTTGTCGACCGCATGGGCTCTGACTCGTTCCAGCCCGACTCTGGCGTCTTGATCAGCAAGTCCAAAAACATCGACATTCAGCCCTTCCAATGGGTCATTGACGCCAACCCCCAAGACATTGAACTCGTCGACTTTTACCGGCCCAACGGCTCCGTCGCTATGATCACCCTCGGTGACTACCGCCAGCTTGCGGATGCCCTCTTCCACGCGGGAACGAATTCAGGCAGCGAATTCGAGTTTGTCGATGAGCCGAACAGCTTGCACTTTTACATCATCGACCGCCACCGCGACGATGAAGGGATCCTTTCGTACACAGTTGCTGTCCGGTCACTTGAAGGCGAAGGTGGCGCGAGCACCCACGACGTGTCCCTGGGAGATGGGGCCGTGACCAACTACAAGAGTAACACGCCCACCGGCCAAGGGGTGACCTGCTCGTTCCAACTGACTAACAGTGGCTCTTACGTCGCCGTTGACCCGGATGCGGCTCAACATCCCGAAGACGTGTCCGCGTTCTTGGATTCGGATGTCTACAGACTAAGTGCCGAGGTTGAGGGCGCCGGCTGGCGCGTGGAGCTGCCCAACGCTCTTATCGCGGCCAAGTTTGGCGAAGTCAAGACCGCCAGAGTTTCCGTGGGAGCTACTTCTGACGCGGCGGACTCAGCTGTGGTGACGTTGAAGGCAACTTCAGAGTCTGATCCGTCCGTGTTCGCTTCTGCTCGGTGCCAGGTGACCAAGTCATGATGTCTTGTCTGACCCTTAACATGGAATATTGTGGCGATATTTGTAGACCGCCATTTCCTGAACTGAGCGTAATACATAATTTCCACACTGCTCATACCCAGTTAAAGCTGTCACTGTTCACCGGATTTACTGCATAATGTTCGGGGCGGTGATTGTTGTGAGGTAGTCCCGCAGCGGGGCGCTTAGGGTTGATGGACCCATCACACGGCGCCGCTCTCAACAATTCGTTCCGATCAATTCGCCCAGATCGTCTAGTTGGTTAGGATGATACGTTGTGGTTCTTCTATACAGCGATCCGTGTTGACGGCGGTTCGAATCCGCCTCTGGGCATTGAGTTTTTTGCCATGATCGAGATCGGTTGCTTTTTTGCTGGTTTTGAACAAGGCAGCCAATGCCACGGCGTTGTTTCACTGTGTTCGATTTTGATATGTAAGGTACAAAAAAAGAAAGACAATGTACCACAAATCAGCAGTATATGCAAATATCGGTACTGCGTCTAGTCATCAAAAGGGAGTATCCGTCCCTGAGCCGGCCGATCAACCGCGTTTGGGCGTTGCCACTCGTCGGTAGCGCCGTTGGCAGCATCCGAAACATGCACGAGTGACATTTATCGAGTCAGCCGTTGGTCCTTTAGATCTATACCTGCCTATCATTCCCTTTTATATTGGGACGTACAGTGATCGAGATGTTGTTGAGGACAACTGGTCACAAGGGTATTTATCAGCTCTAAGAGATAAATTGCCACGAACAAGCGAAGCGCGTAGGCAACTGCCATCCTAGGGTAATGTTTGCGCCTCTGTGCGATCATCCATCGGATCAGAGCTGTCTCGACTGTCAGTTTGCTGATCTTGCAGTTGCCTATTCTGGCTGATGCATGTCGGATATGACTCTGTTCCAAGGGAACTTACTCTGAACTTAACCATGTGTTGTTTCTCTTTGACCGGATATCAACCGTCAATTCGCCTTCGAACACAGCCAATGACGCGCAGATATTATCAACGATCTGGCCGAGCCGCTGAAATCTGCTCTACAAACGGCAGACGATTACTAGGCAACTATATGGGAACTCATGTGTTTTAACCGCCCGGCACGATGATGGATAACCTCGAGCGGTGGCCTTACGATGCCACGGATGATGTGCTTATTTTCCCGGTGGCGTCATCCATGCTCGGCCGAGTCCGGCGCCGGCAACGGAGATCTGATGCGTCAATTATCCCGGAATAAACTCACGACAGCTGTTATTGCAACAAGTTTTCACACTGTGAATCAAGTTGCACTTCGACCAAGTCAGCAAAACATCCATCATATGAGAATTTTACAATGTCATCGGGCGGCAGTTTCACCGCGATCCCCACGATCGACCTCTCTTTCCCTGACGACCCCGCATCTGAAGCCAAGCTGCTGGACCAACTTCACCACGCACTCGTCAACGTCGGGTTCCTTTACGTTGTGAACCACAGCGTGCCCGCAAAAATCGTCACAGATGTTGTCGAAGCTCTGCCAAAGTTATTCGCGCTGCCAGCAGAAGCGAAAGATGAGATCGCGCTCAGGAACTCACCCCATTTTCTGGGGTACAGCAGTGACGGTTCGGAGACCACGGCGGGGAAAGCCGATCGCAGGGAGCAGGTCGAGTTCGCGACGGAGCTTGAGGATGGATGGAGTGCGGATTTGCCTTTGAGAGAACGCTTGAGGGCCCAAATCAGGTCAGAGCCGCGACCACGTCCATAACAACATGATCTCACGCGTTGCTAGTGGCCGTCGTCATACCCAGAACTTCGCCCCACTATCGAATCTTACATCTCGGAGATGACCTTGCTGGGTGAACGCTTCCTTCGACTGGTCGCAAAAGCCCTCTCGCTCCCATCAGAAACCTTCCTTCCCTTTCTTTCAGACCAGCACCGCCTCAAACTCGTACATTATCCCGCCCTCCCGGAATCTGAAGTGGGCAGCCAAGGCGTCGGTCCGCACAAAGACTCATCTGGGTGGTGGACTTTCCTCCTACAGGCTTCTCCGCCACATATAAAGGGACTGCAGGCTCTGAACAAGAACGGCGAATGGATCGACGTGCCTGTTGTACCGGGGTCGTTCGTGGTCAATATCGGACAAGCGTTCGAGGTGGTGACCAATGGGGTGTGCAAGGCTACAACGCATCGCGTGCTATCTGGTTCGTTGGAGAGATTCAGCGTGCCATTCTTCCAGGGCGTGAGGAGAGATTTGACAAAGGAAGAGGCGGTTGGTTCGTTGAGGGAGCATTTTGACAAGCCTGAAATCCGGGGCTTGGCACTGGAGTCGAACCAGGGGAGGGATATCGACTCTGCTTTTCTGCACGGAAAGTATGACACGTGGGGTGAGAGTCAACTGAGAACGAAGATCAGGAGCCACAGAGATGTCGGGAAGAAGTTCTATGCGGATGTGTTTGACCAATATGTCAACGATGATCAGTAAGGCGTCATGTCTCCTGACACAGAGGCTTCTACGAAAGGGGAATACGGGATCTCTCATACATATTGACAACTGCCACCTATTTTAGTTAGTTTAAACAACCTGTACATAAGTCTGATCTCGCAAAACGCTGCGCTGATGAAAGGAGCCCATTTCCGGTCCAAAATTCCCATCAACCGCATGCATAGTAATGGATGCCCGAGTTTAATACATAATAATTGTTGGATCAGCAACGTAGTAGGCGGAAGTTGAAGTGCATTGCCATTCTGCTAGGAACAAGTAACTATGGCATCCACCACTTACTTCGTAAAGGAACCTTCGAATTAGACGTTGCAGATAAGCTATATACTTGATAGTGGCTTAAGGTAAACTGGCATTGGAGTAAATTCACAGCATACGCAAACTACAAGAGCTGCCCTAACTGCATAAATGAACAGACGGTAAACATTATAATGAAGAGATTAACCATCTCAATTACTAATGAGACGATTGGCGCAGTCTAACAAGACTATGGGCGCCTTGTCGCCACGTCCATGACATCGGCTGCACTTAATCTTACTACAAGCCAGCCTTGAGAACCTCAAATGCATCTTCACGAGAGCCACTGAATCGCTCCTCGGCAGCTGTCCAATTGATGATATTCCAAACGTTGTCGACATACGACGCTTTGCCGTTTTGATACTACACCAAGTCATGATTTTGCCCGGCCCGAGTTAAGGAATAAAACCGGTCTTACCTGCAGGTAGTACGCATGCTCCCACATGTCAATGCCAATAATGGGCACCTCCCCACCAACTACGGGGTCCTGGTCTTTGGTCGTAATGATGCGTAGGCCGCCGTCGCTGCCGGGAGCCTTGACAAGCCACCCCCATCCGGAACCTTGAATCCCCATCAAAGCAGACGAGAATGCGCTCGTCAGGCCAGCGAGACTACCGAAAGTCGTCTTGACCTGCTCCATGAGCGTAGGTGCCGAACCCTCGGGATCCGAGGCATCCTTGCTGTCAGCTGGAGCGAGGATCTTCCAGAAGAGCGAGTGGTTGATGTGGCCTCCACCGTTGAACTTGATCATGTTTTGCAAGGCAATCTGGTCAGGAATGTTCAAGTCGCCGACGGCTCTGGAATAGTTGCCCAGGGCAGCATTAAGATTGGTGACGTAGGCTTGGTGCTGCCCCTGGGGTCAATTACGAACTCTAGGATATACGCAAATCGAGGTAGCTTACATGCTTGTCATGATGGAGAGTCATGATCTCGGCCGAGATGTGGGGCTCGAGAGCCTGTATAGCAATGCTGTTAACCCAGAGGCAACCAGCAATATACATGCAATAAACTCACATTGTAGGCGTACGGCAGAGGGGGCAGAGTATAGGCCTGCGTGGTCACTTTGGGCGGAGTGTTCTGTTGGCGATCGGAGAAGAGTGAGCAATGCTGCCGGTGGACTTGAAAACATCTCACCGATGGTATTGACTGAGTGCTGTGGGGCAAGACATGACACCATGAGACGAGATTATAGAGAAAAGTGAAACTTGGAGGATGGTCAGAAAGGCAGCGAAGCAAATACTCACCATCTCGCCGTATTCGACAGGAAGGGCATAGTCATAGGGAGCCGCAGGCGTTGAGAGACTCGACATGGCTTCCACTTACTAAACAATAAAACCTATTCGTAAAATCTGTTTTCCTGCCTTGCAAGATGATGCCTGTTGGTTTCTAGGCAGAGAAAGGGGGGTTGTCAGGACGGTTGGTGGCTGTGATGATGGAGTCCTCATTTGAAGGGAACCGCTGAGGTTCCCCTGTGGCACTAAATAATGGCAGTTAGCGGCCACGTTGCGGCTGCCTCGGAGGTTTCGAGCCCAAATCGGGTTAGCGTCTACGTTGCTCCAACTCAGGCAATTAGTGCACCTCCAGTGTTAGAATACATGTTCAGGTAGGAAATAGTGCAAAGTTCAGCCTATCTAACGTTTTCAAACTAGTTAACATAAGTAAAAAGCAACACGCAACCATGCAGCGCACTGGCCGACATAAATTCGGTTTGTGAGACGCATCGACATGTTCAGAGTACTGCAAGGGCCCTCTAGTAAGGACAAGAACAAAAGATGAACAAGATAAAATTATGAAATATGAAGGAAATTGGGGGAAGGGATTGCAAACTGAAAAATTGAAAGAAAACCAAAAAGTAGCTTGTAGTCAATTCAGTCATAATATTTAGCTTTCACCCCATTGATGATCTCCTGCTCTGAGATCTCACTCCTTGCTTCGTTGGTGCGGTTCACTCCAGCCCTTACCCGTGCCTTTACCCACTCACCTGCCGTAATTCCGGCCAGTTCTGAATGTTTGTTTGCATCGTATCCCAGTCTGTCAAGAACCTTGCTCTGCACTGGGCGCAGTTCAAGGCTGTCTTCGGGACGCACAAAGTATAGAACCCCCAGGCGGTCGATGCCGGCTTGATCTGGGGGCGGCACCACGACTCGATGGATGCTGCTCTTCAGAAAACCATTTGTCAGAAACTCCAGCGCGTCTGCCACGTTGACAGTAATGCTGCCGTCATATGGTTTGACCCTGTGTTCACACATTGAGTTAGTCTGAGGCCAAATCTAGTAAAGCAACCAGCGTCTGTCTTATGGCGATAAAGTAGCTTACCATTTCCAGTTACCGTCTTTGCCTCTGACTTGGAGAGCGGCCACTGGTTGTCTGAAGAGTAATGTCAAACTGCCAAAGTCGGTGTGACCTTTGACCCAGACGTTGTCTAGCTTGGAATTTGTCTCGGCGTCTCGCGCGTGATATTTCATATATCTCAAGTGACAGTCTGACAGGGCCTCGTCGTAACGGTGATAGGTGGCAAAGTAGTCTTCAGGTAGTTCCAAAATGATGGCAAATAGCGTCAGTAGCTTTTTTACAATACTACTATGTATGTGGCGAGCAAAATACTCAATTTGTGTCTTGTTATCATTGATCACATCAGGCTGGGGCCGGTTGTATGCCGGAATAAACTTCGGGATGTTGAAGATCTCGGTGTTATCGAACACTCCAGGACGCACTTCCTTCTCCAGGTTAGCTGGATCTCCAGAGATGCTCGGGTCAGCGACAGTGGTATCAACCACCTTCAGTGAAATAACCTACCCTGAGTCCAAGAGGTTTGTAACCATTGTATCCCCCGTTTTCTAGGTCTGCACGGTACTTGAGCTTCTCTTCTGCGGGCAGCTCAAAGAGGGACTTGCCAATGGCGAATTGGCGGTCGACCTGCTCTTGACCAAGACCAAAGTTGACTATATAGAAGAAACCAATGTTCTGAATGGCATCAAACAGCTGCTCCGCTAAGGCCTCCTTGCCGCCGGGTTCTTCAAATTTCGAAAGATCAAGGGTCACCAAGTCGGCCCACTCCACTGCATAGTTGCGTCAGCAGTCGTGTTAAAGAGTCACAGAAGAGGGCTTCAATGTTTTGCTCACGATCGTGCTTTGTCTCCGGAACCTGTTGGTAAGCAGGCAAAGATTTGTAGATGGTACTGCCTGCTGCAGTCGGGGCTACCGTTGTCGCTGTGGCCATGATCAGAGCTCTCGGGGGTGATTAGTTCAATCTTGCTTGGCCTTTCGAAGATGAAATGCAAGTCGTGAAAATGATAAATGCGTTTGATTCGTCGATGACTTCTATCTGTTGCTCCACCATTGCCGTCGACGTGCCGGCTATATAACGTTTGGTCGATGTTACACCTCCGGATTCGGGCTGTTGGAGTGTGATACGGGTAAGGTAGCCGCATCTCGCAATGGCGGGGTCTGATTGCGAATACTAGGATCTCCATCGGACGTCGTCCGCTTCATGGATTTTTCAACGCCCATCTTTCACGGTCAGCGCATCGCACGGCATATCTATTTTTTCACTTACCCCCACGGAAAGATCACAAGCGATAGGAACCCGAGGTGTCTTCGCGGAGACTCCTGTGAGAAGTGAAAAGTGCCGTTTGGGATGCAACCTGCAGCCCTTGCTTAGCTTGCAACGGCAAATCAGACCCCTTACACTCTTGCGAGATCGTGATTTTCGAAAGTATGGCACAATCTGGATGAGAAGGCATTCTCGGCCTATTCCCGTTACCCTCCATGAAATGAAGCCGATACGGCGCTTGGCGTTGAACGTGTTATCCCACCTTAACTACATCGACATCAGGAGCAGAGCAGGGTTAATTTGATGCACCCAACTGTCAGCTTCTCCAATCCTACTTGTCTATCAAAGCTCTGATCTGCCTCAACATGGCTACTCCTAGCGAAATAACGATACCAGCGCAATCATGGCCTAACAGCAGCGAGGCCAGCAAAGACGGATTGACTTTCGCTCCACGCGGCGAGCAGGTCGATGAGACTACCATCGACAGTGATGTGTCTGGTTATGACGCAGAACTTATGCAAGCTCGCTCTCTTTTGACGACCGAAGAAGAGAGAAAGCTCATGAGACGAGTTGACCTGAGGTAATTCCCTGCAGAGCAGCATATAGCATAGCAATGGAGATTAACGGGGAAAAAGCTAACACCCGTAGGATCATGACAATTTGTTCTTTGCTCTTCCTCATGAAGAACATTGACGCTGACAACATCTCAAATGCGAGGATTATGAACAAAGGAACACCAAGAAACATCATGACGCAGCTGAACATGACTTCAGACGAGTACAACTTGTTGAATGTCCTATATTATGTGAGTCCTGCTGGGGAAACAATAAGCGATATAAAGCTAATTGCCGAGGTGCCGTACATTGTTCTTGAAGCACCTTCAAACCTCCTGTTAAAACGACTGAGACCAAGTGCCTGGCAGTCAAGAATCATGATCTCGTGGGGCATCGCACTTTTATGTCACGTCCCCGTAACTAACAAGGGTGGCATCTACGCTACGCGTTTCCTCCTCGGTGTAGTAAGTGGCTTCTGTGGAGATGAATTGTCAGAAGGTTACTAAACTTGCCTAGTTCGAAGCCGGAATGTTTCCAGGAGTGATTTTGCAAATGACATACTGGTACAGGCCAGATGAAATGTCGATCCGCCTTCTTTACTTCTGTAAGTACTTGTCGAGAGAAGAGTCGCGGTCGGTCTGACGCAAGACGCAGACGTGCTCGGAAATTTGTCCGGAATCTTCAGTAGCATTCTTGCCTTTGCTTTTGACACCGTCTCAGGTTCTAAAGGCCTGTCAGGGTGGCAATGGTAAGTATTCAATAGCCTGGGCTGAACTAGTAACATCATTTGAAGAAGCTCATGTTTATCTGCAGGTTATTCTTGGTCGAGGGCCTTATCACACTTGTTCTTGGAACCGCCGTCTTTTTCCTTCTTCCCGACTGTAAGCTCAAAAAAGCACCAATGTCGACTCACGCGGCTAACGCTAGCCACTTCTAGTCCCTCCAACGGCGAAATGGCTGACGGAGAAAGAGAAGGCGTTCATCCAAGCGCGTCTTCCAAGTAACGCGCCCAGAGCTGAGGAGATGAACTTCAATTTTAGTGAAATTGTCGACTCGCTCAAAGATTGTCGACTATGGCTATTCACACTCATCTGGGCTACTTTCACTGTTGGCACATCTGGCGTGCGATTCTACCAGCCTACAGTCATTGCCAACCTCGGTTTCACCACCATCGCGAGAGCACAGCTCCTCAACTTGCCAATCTCTTTGTTGGCCATATTCGTCATTGGTATAACAGGATTCTTCGCTGATAAGGGACTCATACCGCGGCCTTTGTACCCTCTCGGCGTCTTCGCCGTCATTCTCGCTTGCTATGGGGTGATGGTGGCTTATCCCTCCAACGGCGCCGTCTACGTTGCGACCCTTATCGGAAATGCCTTTACCGCCTCTTTTTTCCCTCTTATGTGGCCCTGGCGGGTGCAGACAACTTCAAGAGCCACCGGCTCCGCCTTCAGTATTGGCTTTGTGAATAGTTATGGCCAGATCGGTGGAGCTATCGGCCCTCAAATTTTCAGGTCCAAGTATGCCCCGCGTTACCAAACCAGTTTCGCAGCAGCCATGGCATTAGTGGGATGCTGCACCATCACCACGCTCATTACCTGGTGGGTTACAAGAAAGTCAGAGTCTGATACCCGTCGGCTGAAGAGGGCGAGAGTCCGCGCTGAAAGAGAAGGTCTTGCGGTTTTGGATGACGTTGTTGACCGAGATTTGAACAACAAACGGAGCGACGACTAATAAAGCGTCTATTTGCATGCGGCACAGACTCTGAACAAACTTGCCTTGAGGCTACGTTGGGATTGCTAGTTGGGAACCAGATTGCAGCCACTGGAGATTGGTGGCCGAAAGTGCTTTTGGCATATTACGATATGAGATCCTTACAAAAGTGGATATGGACGGCAGTATATCGCTGTACGGCTCAGCAAGTAAGCGCCGGCACATTGCTGTCATTTAGGGGACCGCCCAGGAATAACACAACTTGAGCTTTCATTTTTCTATAAGGAGCTTTATTCGGCTAGTGCCCCATAACAAAATGTTTCTGATTTTAGCGTTCAGTGTAGATCGCCCAGTTATCAAAGGGAAAGACAAGAGGTAAACATCAAGGGCAGCATAACACCTTCCTCAGAGCTCAAAACAATACTTGGATCCTTTCCTTTGTTCGTGTTGGTCACTGAAAATCAACAAGCTTGGCACACTAAGCTGTCACATCCCACCCATGCCCGCGAGACTGGCATCTCGTTCGCAGAGGTCCATGCTGCTGATGATTTTATGAACAACTTCATTACATCCATTAGAACACACCCCGCTGGAAATGGGTCCGACGTTGCTGAGAGCACCTGGGATCACGACGCCAAGATGCCACTCATTGATACATACCATCATCTCGGACTGTTTGTCCAGCTAATATTCGAATTGGAAAAGTTCAAAAATGAGGATGGGGAAATCATCTCTGCGTAGAATGGGTGGCGGAGCAGATACAAGTTCTCAATCAGGTCGCGTGAAAGGACATCTCCTACCAGTAGATCATCAAAGAAGAAAGCACGTTCAAGATAACCAATGCAGGGATATCGCTCTACGTCACAGATGCCATGATTGCATGTGTTCTGTTCAGATTCTACGGGCAGGTATGGGAAGTCACTAACGTGCATAGCAACCGGAAGAATCTGCCTCGTCAACCGAGCGTGCAAGGGGCACTGTAAAAACCAGAATTGGGATCATGTCATGAACTGAAAAGGAAAGGTTTCGAGCATTGGAAGCCCCTTGCACTTTGAGAATTCAATGCTAGAGAAAACCTGTGGCGAGCAATGTGAATAGTCGATGCTACGTGTTGGTACCATAAATTGTCGCTATCTACGAAGCGGCCACGAATGTTTCATTAATCCTGTGGCCTGTTTCGATACTCAGTGTGTCTTATGCACGGTCGACTGAGCGACATACGGTTCTTTGGCAGGCTTCTTGAGACTGAACCTGGAGGGCTTGGCAGCAACATTAGCATCTCAGGACCATTGTATAAGATAATATGAGTAGTGCTTATCTTGACATGATACATCACTGACAGGGTGACATCGGTTGGATTATTGGGCTGCTTCAGCAACATATGTTGTCCCGCCACCCACCCGGCTAGGCCCTTGGCCCTCGTTTCTGAAAATTTAGCACCCTTGCATTATGTGGAATCGTCAACAGGGGTCCTTGGCATGTCTTTGTGGTTTGCCCTATGAGAAGACCCATAGACACGATTACTACCAAGTGACAAGCGTCGGATATCAGCAGATATAGCAAGAGTGGCCGATGTAACAAGATTACTAGTCTACAAATCCTTGCCGGTGAGCCTTGCTTTCATGGGTGCATTAGAGTGAATTCTATATAAGCGCGCCGCTGAGAATAATGCGTTTAATTAAATTAGACAATGTGCGTGCAGTAGTACGATGGCGACAGACGAAGACGTAAGTTCACAGCCCTCCACCCCCAGCTCTTCAAGAATTACGGTAGTGCCTCTTAGTTCAAAAACGGGTCACCGCCCCCGCCCCCCAAACTCTCTACGGTCCTCCAACTGTTACTTCTGACTCAGTTGACGACGAGACCATGGACGTGCTTCGAAGTCTCAAGGCTGCAGCGTTGATAACCCTTGTCTCGAGTCAATGCCGGTTGTCTCTCGCTGCTCCGGCAGCTGCCAAGTTTGTGAGACGAAACACAACAGACCTCAATGGGTCCTATGACTACGTGATTGTTGGTGGAGGACTGAGTGGCTTAGTCGTTGCTAATCGTTTGACTGAAGATCCTGAAGGTACAAAAGCATTCATTCTGTTCTCGTCACAACGTCCATTCTGAACCACCATAGTTACTGTCCTGGTTGTGGAATATGGCGATTTCCATGATTCTTGGGATGTGGCCATTCCTTACTACGCCTCCAATCTTCACCCCAACGACATGATTCAATTCATGTCTATTCCACAGCCTGGTCTCAACAACAGGACTTCCGGCGTTCAGGTCGGCACAGTTGTTGGAGGTGGATCTACGGTCAACGGCATGGCTTTTGATCGTGGATCAAAGGGCGACTACGATGCGTGGGAGAAGCTGGGCAACCCAGGTTGGAACTGGGAGAGTCTGTTCCATTACTTCAAAAAGGTACAGTGAAGTCTGACTGCTGAGTAGCGAAAAGAATATCTGTAGACTAACTGGAGAAATCAACAGTCTACTACTTTTAATCTCCCTGATCCCGAATACGTCGAGAGATACAATTACAGCTACGATGAAAGCACGTATGGCGACGGACCTGTTCAAGTTGGCTTTCCCTCCTGGCAGTGGCCCGACAGAGGTACGGATAGCAAATTCCTGTCGCACCTTGAGAGGGGATTTCAGACTGATTCATTCCAGATCTACAGAGAGAGGCATGGATCAAGGATATTGGAGTCCCCGTGCTTGATGACCATGGTGCTGGCGGTAATAACGTCGGTCTCGCGCTGTTGCCTCAAAATCATGACCCGAAAAACGTTACCCGTTCTACATCGAGAACCGCATACTTCGACCCCGTCGCAGAGACTCGTGGGAATCTTAACCTACTCGTCAAGCATTATGCTTCGAGGATTGAGTTTGAGAACAAAAAGGCCATCGGTGTAAACATTGTCTCACGTGAAACAAACATCACTACTTTGGTCAAGGCGAGGAAAGAGGTTGTTCTCGCTGCTGGAGGCGTACAGACGCCCAGGATTCTTCTTCAAAGTGGTGTTGGACCCGCTTCGCTGCTCGAGTCTCTCGACATCAACATGGTCGCAGATCTTCCCGGAGTTGGCGCCAACTACCAGGATCATCCATGGTTGCTGTTACTTTATGCATGCAAGTCCTCTGCAATACCTTTTTCATGCCATTGAGAGCCTGTCGCTGACCTTTTCAAGATGGCAACCCCCCAGCTCTTAGCAATGAGGCCATGAACGACCCTGCTTTCTTCAATGGATCAGAGGCCGAGTACTTTGCCACTCGAACCGGTCCCTTCACACATGCTCGTGGTAACAACGTTGTCTTCATGTCACTCCAAGACCTTACCTCCGAGTACGAGAGCTTGACAGCTGCTGTGGAGGCCCAGAACGCGAAGGATTTCCTCCCTGATATTTACTCTGAGTACCCTGAATTACTTGAAGGCTTCCTCGCCCAGCGCAATACGCTTGCTAAGCTCTACCGAAATCCTGAAGCAGGCGTTCTGGAGATCCCATTTGGAGGCTTCGCGGGAGGTGCTATTTCCCTGCAAAAGTCGCTATCCCGTGGGACCATCTCTATTAACACTACCAATCCTGACCCGGCTGTGTCCCCAGTCATCAACTTCGGTGTTCTTAAGAACCCAATTGACCTTGAGGTTGCCGTGCTTAGCGTCAAGGCGATCCGTAAGCTCTGGGAAAGTCCTACCCTTGCAACACGTGAGGCTGTTGAAATTGTCCCTGGAGCCAATATTGCTACGGATGAGGCCATTGCAGAGGCTATAAGAAACTCACTATATGCTAGCTTTGCGCACCCTAGTGGCACGGCGAGTTTGCAGCCGATGGAACATGGCGGTGTTGTCGACTCAAAGCTTCGCGTTTACGGAGTCGAGGGTCTAAGAGTTGTCGACGCTAGCATTATCCCCTTGATTCCGGCCTGTCATTTGCAGTCAACTGTGTACGCCGTAGCAGAGAAGGCTGCAGACATTCTCAAGGGTCTTTGAGTACTACTAATATGTTCAATTTCAATCCTAAGTTTCGTTACCTTTAAAAATTGGACGCTTTTTGAAAGCTTTATCTTTCAACAACCGAAGTCGATGTTACGCTTTTCGGCTAAGTGATTCTTCCTGCAATTCAATCAGCTCCGAATGAAACGGAGCGACAAAGAGAGCATGGGAAAGTACAGTTTTCATAACGCATAGCTCAATATATTCAGACAGGCTTGATATCCATCGCTTGCAATTCGCTTTGGAGAAGTGGCTGGCCTAGACTTTGGCCAAAAGTGACGTCTTTAGTTCGCGTTTGTTGCCGTATTAGAGGCAACCCTACTGGATCATTGCACTTCTGTCCAGTTTCGGATGCTGTAGGCCCGAGTTGACGCTGATACTGGTGGCATCCGAAGTCAAAGAGTGGCGGAGTTGCGGAGATTGTCACTCTGCGCCTTGAATGAAGTTTCCCCCGCTCCAAGTATTTGCGGACCCCGGCGCAACGCCGAACCTGTGGGCGGAATTCCGGCAACTCTGGGCCCGCAAACGTAAGTTTTCCGCCAGCACCTTTCCAATTGACACCAATCAACGATGTGTGCAAGGAAGACAGGGCAAGTCGAGTTCAACCGTTCTTACGATACATACAAATTTGATTTCGATATAAAAGGCGACTCTAACCTGCACTAATTCTAATTCTCTATCTTTAAGACACCAATACATCTATAATCTCGATATTCAAGAACTCATCAATATGGTTAAAATTGCCATTGCGGGTGCTTCTGGAAGTAGGTTTTAATCTCTCGATCTTCCGCTTTGTCTTTGTCCTTACTGACCATCAAACTGTGTAATCAGAGCTTGCTCTCGAGGTCATCGACAGGTTAGCCAAGGCCGGGAAGCACGAAATTCTCGGGCTAGTTCGGAAGGTAAAGAACCGTTCATTTCTTCTACGGCACGTTGTTTGCGAGATAACGCGATAATCGACGCCCTGTTCTCTGACTGCATTATAGGATCCTTCCTCTTTACCCCTATTTACTGGGGTAACATGGGTTCAGACTTCTTATCAAGAGAAGAAAAATTTGGTTAAGATCCTTACTGGTATCCAAACAGTCATCTCATTCATTGTGGCTCATACAGACCCTGGTGCGGAGACGGCAAAGCGCTTGATTGCCGCATCGATTGAGGCAGGAGTCAAGCGGTTCGCTCCTAGCGAGTGGGCAACGTGAGCGACAATCCCAGGCAGTCTTCTGCCGCCCCTTCACCAAGTCAGCGGCTGACTAGTTCTTACCGCAGGGGCACTAGGTTGAACGAGGTGATTGATTACACACCATGGTATGCCAACAAGCTGGAGGTCAAACGCTACTTGGAGGAAGTCAACAAGGACAAAAAGGTAAGTCGATAAATCAATGAGATGTCTTCATTGCTGATGCAATAACAGGTCATTGAGTACACTTTATTCCAGCCTGGTGCTTTCATGAACTTCCTAGCGTACCCTCGTCAGACCACTAAGCATTACCGAATCGAGAGTCCGGCTTTCTTCGACTTCGAAAAAGGCTGCGCATACATTTTGGAAGGCTCTGAAACCGCCGAAATTACACTGACCACCATCGAGGACATTGCGGAAGTAACCGCTCGGGCAGTTGACTATGACGGGGAGTGGCCCATCATTGGAGGCATTAACGGTCAAAAAGTCACGATTGCCGAGATCTTGCGATTGGGAGAAAAGATTCGAGGCAAGGAGATGCCACATTTTCCGAATGCAAGACATAAACTGACAAAAGGTCATAGGGAAACCTTTCGAGGTGGACAGACTAAAGCTTGAGGACCTTGAAGCTGGGATTGTGAAGACGAATTTTGTTCACCCACTCAATTTGCCTGGCATGTCAGAGGAGGAGCTTGCAGTATTCACGAAGGTGGTTACGATTGGAACTACTGTTTCGGTGGCAAGGGAAGCGTGGGCAGTCACCAATGAATGGAACCAGCTGTTGCCTGACTTTGAGCCTATCGGCATCGAGGAGTACGTGAAAAAGGTTTGGGGAAGCAATTAATTCTTGTCTCTTTGTATTCAGAAAGAGCAGAACGCTTTAAGATCACGTTTTGGCTTCATCTTGTTCAGTTTAGTGCTACGCAATGGTGCATATAAGCCCGACGTTAAAACTTTGGCCCACTTGCCCGAAACATCCCTTGATATTTAGATAGGAGAACAGGCAAATTTCATTGCCTGTAATCTAGCTAGACTTTTTTTCAAATTCACTTGCATGCAAGTGTAAGCATTTGCAAATTGGCATCAGCAACTGTGTCTCGAAATCCACTGCCAAGCAGTGGCGCAGTATTCGCCGTCAGCAGCACCTCTGATCAATGAAGCTGCCACAAACATTTCCCGAAAAGGAAGTGTAAAGTACAGTCAATGGGAGTTTCACTTGAATTACATCTTCATTTGCCATCCCCAGCACCTATCACATGACAATTAACTTTCCTTCCTGCGTCCTCATTCGCATGTAAGGCACTATGCTTCCAGCAGGAAACTCGATAGAATGAAACCTGCCTCCCGCCAAGCCTTCCACCCACTAGATAGCTTTGCAGGCTTGGCTGGTAGACGCTTGGATGCCTGAACAAGCAACGTTGATTTTCCTTTTTGGGAGATCCGTTGACACTCAAGCTTAGGGCAGTGGTCAGCACTAGAAATTCTACCCTCAGCCGCGGTTCAGTATCCACGATCATGGACTCAAAAGGGTTCGGTCAACGTCAGATATTGGTCTCCGATATTATTGGGCGCTTTCAACCTTACTCGGAATCCCAAGTCAGCCCAACCCAAAGACTATATATGCTTTCGAAGGAACACCTGTGACTTTTTCTCCCCATCTCTATTGAAACATCTCGTTCGACATCTCCTGACCTCTCTTCATTATCAAAATCACTACCTAATAACAAATAAAAATGTTCACTCAAGAAAGACGAAAGCAGTTTTCTCGGCTTAGCGTTCTCGCTGGCTGCGCACTCGGTACGACCGCACTCGCGTTTAGCCACTCCTCCATTGAATGGAGGGGATGTGACGACATCCACGAACTCTTCAGAAAGGGCGGCCAAAAAGTCCTTGTCCCCATCGAGTGCGGCAATTTCACAGTCCCTTTGGACTACTCTGAGTTCAACTCCACTGCTACTCTTGATCTCAAAGTGGTAAAGGTCAAAGCCTTAAAGCAACCATCGAAAGGCAGCGTGATCATGCATTTCGGCGGGCCCACAGATTCAGGGAGGCTAACCATGGCTTCACTCGGTGAAACAATGCAGCTGTGAGTGATTTCTGAAACCTTTACGGTAGAGGGATTCCCCAATTAGGTTTTTAATACGAAATCAGTATCACCGGTCAAGGCTTTGATCTCATTGGATGGGAGCAGAGGTTAGTACGCATTTCAACTATTGGCCGCGTGCCGTTCTTATTTTGAACTTGTCTTAATGGATCACACAGAGGAACTTGGGATACCATGCCTCTATTTTGCTCAGATAAATCGCAAAACAGAACAGTCACCGATGTTCCCCAGGTCAATATTGCTGTTCTTCCTGAAGACAGGATGAACGTCGGCAGAAATTGGGCGTTTGCGGAAGTTGAAGCGCAAAAGTGCTACGACTATGCCAAAGACAAAGGAGGCGACTTGGTCGGCACAATGTACACAGCCAGAGACGTGTGGAAAATTGTGGATGCCCTTGGAGGCGATCGACTGCTTCGTTTTTGGGGTAAGTGATTCCCATGAGCAAGCACGTTGTGCGGGGAGCTAATTCCCATACAGGCATCTCATACGGAACTGTTGTTGGCTCAACTGTGGCGGCTTTGCACCCCGACCGCGTCGAAAGACTTGTCCTTGATGGTGTGTCAAATCCACAGCAGTGGTGGGCTGGCGAGTGAGTTTCTCCAAGCAGTCTAATAGTCCTGACGATCACATGTTGCCTATATGCTAATCTGTAATGATGCAGAACCTGGGAAATGCTCACAGATACTGATAAGGTCTTCTCGGGTTTCCTCAGAACATGTTTCGAAAAGCCTGAGACGTGTGCCTTGGCTGCCCAGAGCCCCAGTTCAAATGCTGTGGAAATGGAGTCTAAGATCTACGAAATGATCAATAGCCTCAAGTATCGGCCCATATCTGTTCAGAGTAGTGAAGCTATCCCCAATGGCATTATTGACCACAACTTAGTCAAGGGTGTCATCCGAATGGGTCTTTATTCCCCATCCACTTACCCAACTTTGGCAGTCCGGCTTCAGCTTCTTCTTGAAGGAAACATTGACAAGCTTCTCGAAGGATACTCAGCTACTTGGCCAACGAACAGCCTGGGCGATATTGGTTTGACGATCCCTTGCGCAGACAATACCCTCCGAGTTGACAACCTGGAGGAATTGATGCCGGAGCTCAACAGAGCTGCCAAGATGAGCCGTCTGGCGGGAGATCTCCTGTCTTGGAACACCCACATGTGCGCTCGCTGGAAGCTCAACTCGAAGGAGAAGTTCACGCGCGGGTTCCATGAGCCTATCGACACCAAGTTTCCGCTGCTCATCTTCGGAAACGAGTACGATGTCGTCACTCCCTACGTGTCAGCCAGGAACATCAGCACGTCCTTCCCTGGAAGCTCTTTGGTCAAGTACAACGCTTTTGGTCATGGCATTCAAGCACAACCGTCGATCTGCATCGTCAATACCATGCAGAAGTATCTTGAACAAGGAATACTACCTGCTGAAAACACAGTCTGCGAGCCCGCTACACATGTTTTTGAGTCGCAGGATTGGGCGACCCTCTGGTCGGAGCTTGAGTATCAGAGACTGAACTCCGCAGCTTAGAAGTGCGCGCCTCTTGGGGGGGGCTTTGTATCACACCTTCGGATGAAGATGCTCATTGTGTTGAGTCTGTATACAGACCGCACATGTTTGCATTTATAAGTTTGCGGCGCTTGCTTATACATAACAAAACTATGACATCGTTCAAAACTTGAGCTAGCCTTGAAGATTCTGCACAACTATGATGATTTCGTAACCACTCAGAGACTCAGACTCAGTGACCTGTGTTGAGTGGACTGAGCCCGTCGAATTCGTGGCTAGATATGAAGTCAGGATATGTGATTCCCGCCTCCCGCAACACATGTTCCATGGTTTCCATGATGAGGACGCTTTCTGACCATGGCATAACTCCACTCTCTAGTTCACCATCTCTGATACAGCGTGCACTCTCGTCTGCCTCCCAATATGTTCCGTTGCCCCAATTCCTGATTGTATCTTGCGGCTGCGGACATTCAAACATCTCTACGCCGGCACCATCGCCCATTTTTTTGATCATCTTGAATGAAGATGGCTTGTAAGCCGGATGCTCAACTTGGATTTCACCAGCTGAGCCTTGAATCCGTACTGCTGGATTCCAAGAGTCCCCACAGTCGGTCGCAACCCGGAGCGACGAAGTGGCTATGCCCGTTGTCCCATGCTTGGGGAAAGTAAGGATGATGGCGGCTGACTCGTCAATCCCCGTGGTGTATTTATGAACCGCAGACAGTATTTGTGGCTCTTCCTTTTCGGCTTCAACTTGCAGATGGTAGAGAATCTGAAAGATCCAAGTGAGCGAGTAGATACCCAGGGCAAGCAGCACACCACCAGCCAATTGGGGATTGACCATCCTGTGAGAGTCATCAAAGTCGAGATTAGTGCTTCCGGGTTCCTGGCTGCTACTCGCGCGGGATAAATCTGCAGTAACACGGTATACCTTGCCTATGGTCCCGCTGCTTACGAGCTGGCGGATCTTCGTGCTCAGTGGGAAGAACCGCGTCCAAACGCCCTCCAAGAAAAAAAGCTTCTTTTCAAGAGCCGTTGCAAACAGTAGCCGAGCTTGCTCCGCAGTGACTGTCAGAGCCTTCTCACAAAGAACATTCTTTCCTGCCTGCAAGGCAAGCATGGCGTTCTGGAAGTGATGGCTATGCGGAGTTGCGATATAAATGATATCGACGTTAGGGTCTTCAACGAGGGCTGCGTATGAACCGTATGTTGCAACACCAGCTGGCGAAGGATGATCGATTCGACGAAGAAATTCATAAGCTCTCTTGGGGTCTCTGGATGACGAGACTGCGGTGATTTCATGTGCAACATCGCTGACGTTGCGTGTAGCTGGGCTTGTGAGTAGGTCCTTGCAGAAATCTAGCTAAGTTAGTAAACCGGGCGATAGATATTACGAACAAGATGCAAGCCAAACAATGCTTTGAGAATGACCTACATTCGGACATAGCTCCAGTCGCCATGATTCCCCACCGAAGCACAAACGGTTCAGCTGCCATTGTAGCAGCTTACTTTCAGTGAGTACCTAAATTTTGTAATGGAATATTCAAAACCTATCAAAACGTACGGTAAAAGGCACGAGAAGACCGTTATACTTTTGATTCTCGTTAGCGTTACCAAATTTTACTGCTTTAATCGATAGCAATGCTAAATTGCGACAGAGAAAATAGCGTTGCGATGGATCGTTGAGAAAGTATCAATGACTTCCAAGAATTAACGGGGATTCCAGTTTTTGAATGTATGATCTAGTCGGGAGTTCGGGCTAATGCGTGCCGGGGTGCGCGTCATGATCGGTATCTGAAGTGCATTACCTTCGTCACCGTCCGAAAGCCGTTGCAAGAGATTTGTCACTCTTGAAATATCAATCATCGACACGGCCTCAATAGTGAATGCTAAAATTGCATCGAGATTTTTTTTTTCAATATCAGCAGTTACACGAGTTTTTCCGCTGGGGGCTTCAGCATATAATTCATTAGGTTTTTATTCTTCATTATTGTGATTCCCGAGTGCTCTGTTCATCGTTCATCAATCATCAGCGGCTCTCCCCATTCCCTAACTGCAATGAAACTTAAACCACTCCCCCTGTCTTCATGTAACCGGACTAAAGCTCTAGAAGAGCAAATCTCCAGCATTGTTCAAGATCCAGTCTGAGCTGGTTTTCCTGAAGTCGTCCTTCAAAGTGCTAGCCTTGTCCGCGAAGAACTGGATCAAAGTCTGACCTTGTGACCACTTCGGCCAGTTGGGATACTGTCCATTGGTCCCAACGTTGGGATCCAAGGCGTAGAGGAAGTTAGTATAGTACGTGCGGATGCTGCGAGCGGCGTAGTTGTCTTTGATGCCGTAGAACACCTGGATCAGATCAGATCCGTGGTTGGTGCCAAGGATCGGGGTTCCGTAGTTGTAAGAGGCGAGATAGGACCACGAAGGTACGTTAGGGTTGACAGCAGTGGCAAGATTGAGGAAGACCCGGCGGGTAAGGGTGAAGACCAGGTCACCGAGAATGGCAGAGCGGCGCTTGAAGCCGGGGAAGATCTCGTTAAGGACGCCGGTGCGATGCGGGCTACCGTTGATCACTGCGTTCAAACCGTCGTCATATGTGGCGACGTACGCCCTGATCTGGGCCTCAGTGGCTGTAGCAAAGTAGTAGTCCTTCAGGTACGATACAAGCTTGTCGGTGGTGGTAAGGTTGGGCTGGAAGATACCGAAGAGTGTGCCTTCATCTTCTTGGTCGCCGATGATCATAGGGACTGCCGCATACTGGCCATTCTTGGCGAGAACGTCGGGACTTGCGGTAAGCGTCTTGCCGTCCGGACGGGGCAAGTAAGACAGAGCGAGAGAGTTGTATGATAGAATTCCAGGAACGGAAGTGACAGCGTTGAGGAAGGTGGTGTAGTCGACTTCGCGCAAACAATTGAGTGTATCTGCCTTGCCACTGCAGCCTGCACTCGACACAACCTTATCGTACACAGCTTGACCCTTAGGGCAGTCAACAGGATCTGTGGGTGTAATGCTACCAGAATTCATGATAGCGCCACGGAAGAGAGCCTTGCCCTTGTATTTGTTGTCGCCATTATACAGAGCCATCTGGTCAAAGACGGAGATGGCGCCGGCAGACTCGCCCCAGATTGTGACCTTGTCCGGGTCACCACCAAAGGCTGCAATGTTGTCGGCCACCCACTCGAGACCCATTCTCTGGTCAAGGAGGCCGAGGTTGGCGGATCCATCTGCGAGAATTTCCTTTCCGGGCATGAAGCCGAAGCCGGCAACACGGTAGTTCACTGCGACGAAGACGAATGGCTTGCTGATGGCGAGGCCGTGCTGAATAAGGCTGGTGCCGTCGTACATGGAGGACCATCCGAGCTATTGGATGATGTCAATAATTGAGCGAACACAAAGGTTGAGATGAACACCTACCTCGAAGCCACCTCCAAAGATCCAGTAGAGAACTGGCAGCTTTGCATCTGCCTTAGTACCCTGAGGACGAGCTACCGTAATGGTCAGGCAGTCTTCAGTTTGGCCTGTTGCTTTCTGGATAAACGGAAGATTCGCGATATCTCCCAAAAGATCGAAGAGGATGTTCTCGCTGTCAGAAGATGAAATCATTTGCGGACAGGCAGCAGCGGGGCCGGTGGCGTCGAAGGTGCCGATGTTCTCGGTCAGGCGCACGGGAGGTTTCAGTCGGAGCTGGCCGGTGGGCGCCTTAGCGTAAGGAATGCCTCCGAAAGACTCAACATTGTTCATGACATTACCGACAACAGTCGCCGTGTCAAGGACGACCGTGGCGGTGCTCGCGGCCCTGTCTTCCAAGGGTCGGAAGTCATCTGATACCGCCAAGGCGGCCCCAATGAGGGAGAAAGATGAGAGAAGTGCGGGAAGCTGCATGATGGGACAAACAACTGTCTTGGGGGCTTGCAGTGGCCGACGAGCTCCGGGTAAAGAGGGCTCGAGGACTAGAGCGAGAGGACAACTAGACGAGAGTTACAGGATGCACCTTGCTGTTTAGCTTAGCGGAAGACGACCCAACGAATGGCTTCGAATGTCTTAATCAGAGCGGAAGGTATCGTAGAGAGGGATTCCCTTGATCTATATAAGTACAATTTTGCTATAATGGCCGAGCTAGATTTCATATCAGCTCCAGCAATTGGAAATTCAACCTAGGGCGGATGGATTGGTGGGCACTAAAACGGACAACAGCACCCACCACCGATTCGAACACCCCCTGCACACATTATTGCCTGCGCGGGTGGCCCGGACCCTAGGTCTAGTTATGAATGGGGACACTTCAGGCTTGGGAGGAGCTCGGGTCCTTGAGAGGAGCCCAACCTCCACCGCCTGAGTCGTGGGCGTCATTAGTTCAGCGGGTATCGGAATCGTGTAGACTGTCCGAACTGAGAGGGAATACTCAACAAAGCGGGAATGCAACATTCCCCATGGGGTAGCGGGGCTTGTTGCCAGGGTGTACAGGTGTATTTAGGTCGTTTGTGCGGGAAGAGCGCGCCGAATGACCACGGCAGTTCAGGATTACCACTGTTCGGGGTCAAAGGTCCCGCTGCGGCACAGCAAACAACAGAGACAGCCTTATTGACGTAGGACCATTCCGAAATTCACATGGAAACATGAAAGTCAGTTGTAACGCCTTCGCGCTCCGCCTCGGCATGTTGGGCGGCAGAAAAGCAGCTGCATTGCCAGCCGTGCAGAAGCATGTAAGCGCAGGGGAATAAGGGATAGCCGGAGCGGTCAGGTTGACGGACGGCGTATAATCTTGATTTCATAGCGCATGTGACAGTAAAACTAACCACCAGGAACCAGGAACTTCGTCCCAATGAGGCATCGATGTTCCTCTGATCTTGAACTTAAGGGTGTGACCGCGCAGTCTTTCCGGACGTCCTGGCTGTCCGGCCGGCATAAGCGCCCTGGGCTAGGTGCACGACAAACGGTGACGGGCGGCAGGCCAAGCTGGGCGTTTCTCGATAGGTGCGTGGGCTTTCGTAATCAGTCAATGCGGGGTGAGAATTGAAGATTCAAACCCGCATCCATCTCTGTTGGACGGTTGGAGAAGCACACAAAAAGGCAGCCCCATCCAAAAGGAGGTCGGCTGATGTAGATCATTACCCTGGATCCTTGCAACGGCACTGAGACCAGCCATCCACGAGGCATGATTCTTTCGGATATCGTGTCCTACCACGGTAATGGGCCCGAGATGCGTGGGGCTCTGGATCGAGACAAGTGCGAAGCCATCGCTACATTTTTTTGAGAGACCAGTGGAACCCGCGTACTCAAACGGCACACGAATGACATGAGAAAACCCGTTGGGGCCGGGATACGGGTGAGGCGGGATATTCCACCAGTGCCTTAGCTCAAAAACAACGGTTGTCCCATCTCACTCGAACAGTGACGGGAATCACCAGATTACACTAGCAGCTTGGCGGGGTGCTTTAGTGCGAGCCTGTCCACACACACCTCGCAAAGATGTGCGTACTCGCATGAGCATCGTCCATGGATGTTGCCGAGAATGAAGAACGACTTTGCGATCTACGAACACACAGGTACACAGACACATAGGCACACAGACTAAAGCAACGGGAACAGGTCCTGGCTTCGGGTGGCTGAGCGCTTGGCCTGGCTAAGAGCACACTATTTTGTTTGAACTCGACTTCCGGAGTGTGTTTTGAGCCGTATTCGGCTTCCAGCTCGCGCGGAGCCTTGATGTTGTCCGAATGCCTCGGTTCAACTAACTCATCCTACACTACAATGCAGTTCGTAGTGTATGCTCTAGCATGTATGAGCATGTGTTACTGAAGTCTCAGAGCTGCTTTTCAGATGCAAGTTTCTGTTTAGTGATCGAAATAGAAAGGTGTTGTGCATATGTTCACGCACGATGCGCGCAAGCTTGTAAAGTGGGCATTGTTTCTCCATGAAAGACACAGTCCCGCTTGCGATCTTTCACCGCTTGATCCATAGAGTAGCCCATGCTATTTTACGGAGTTTCGGATTGCCGGCCTCCCAACAGATGTGGAGTTGAAATATTTTCCAAGACCCATTTGTTCCCCAGTTCAAAAATTTCCCACACGCTTTTCAGAGCCACTTTCATCTCGGAATCGGGCTTCTTGGCTTCTTATTGCTGCAAAGCCCATGGCCAGTTTCCATAGCCCAGAAACCCGAGAACCTGGTCCATGAAATGAGGAAAAATTTGGTTTCCGCAAGTGTTGAGGTGCTAAAAAGACAGAAAGAGGCATGGTCCCTTGGGTCTAAGCTCAAGCTATGAAAGCCAAAATACGAGGGATATTCGCGACCTTCGCCGTGTTAGTAAAGGGACATGGCTGTCAACTTCTTGATTGACGGAAACAAAGCAGAGGCATTATCCTGATAGGTAAAAACGTGGATTAGATCAAAGCCACGTGCAACGATTACCATTGTGGTCCTAGCTCCCACTGCTAGAATTAACTTCAGGAGTGTGTGTTCGGTCCAGATCAGTGTCCGAGCAGTGGCGGCTCACAGTCCTTTCGACTTGTAGTTGGAACCCCATTCGTTGAAAAGACTCCGATGTCTTAGGCCCGCTGAGATATCATCCAGGACTACAATCTCCGTTCTGATTCTTGAGGGAAATGTCTGTCGATACTTCGGTGACGAGTCGCTGGCCATTCCATTGAATGGTCACTGACGATGACTCAGTAGGGCAATACTTGCAAACGACCCAGAGTGGGTCTGGCTGCAAGTCTTATGTTCATTCAATGCTACTCTAAAGACGACGAATCCCCGAGCCAAAGCTCATTGCACACTGAGTAGAACGATGCGCCAATGTAGGTCTCTCACTGGACTGGTGCAGTGAACTCATGTCAATAGTGATACACCAACGACCTGGTACGCGCTAGGAATTTGACCACTCCTCTGGCATTTCAATGAAGTCGACACGAAGGCGGTAAGCCCAGTCCTACTTGCGTGGCAGCGCAGAATCTAAATTCGGACAGATATTGTTCGTACTGGTCAAATCCTGGGAGTTCGGTCCGTAAGTTTTGATGGGCAATGATACTATTGAGAAGCACTGTGAGTTAAAAAAGGGATGCGGACCCCGCACAAGTCAATAGCTGGTAGGAATTCGCTCACTGGCCGAGATCAACGAGGCACTAATGGAAGCTTCCCATCTCAAACACCGAGCACGCGAACGCTGCATACTGAGGATATCGAGACAGAGATAGGCGCACAATTCTTGAGGAGAGGGCAATTTTGATTCATAATGACAAACGGGCCCTGATTCTGAGGCTCTGAAGACTCAGAATATGCGCCCTTCTCCAGCATTCCTTATTTTGCAACCTCCTTGTAACATGCCCATCCCAACTCGTTCAAACCCAACATCCCATGGATTTTCTTGAGCTTGATACGAGTCCTGTGATTTCGTATGCTGAACGAACAATACGTAGTATTTGCACCCCTCGGTTCGGTCTCCCTTCATTTTTGCAACGATGACGACTTTGTGGCAAACCGAGAATTCAATCTCTTCGTCAAGGATAATCCAACCCTGCAGCGATCCCTTGGAGTCATACACCTGGTTATAAACACCATCGCCTTCTGCCCAGATTCTCATGTTCGGGTCGGTGAATTCCCAGATAGTTGTGGTTATTGTCGTTTTGTCAAATTCGAGATACCCAAACCGATCCAGGGTACCGAAGTTGTCTAGTAAAAACTCGATAACCCCTTCATGTGCCATCCATGACCATGATGGGACACTTGACGTCTTGTAGTCAATTTTCTTCCTTTTATCCCCCTTTGCTCTTTTCCAAAGCAGAGATCTGTGAAGATACCAGTCAATAATGCCATGGTGGATCGGACATGGTAATGCTTTTTTGACACGAGCCATCAACCCCGAAATAGCGACTGCCCTATCTGATGGCTCCGTAATGCCACGCTCTGTGTAGTTCTCTAGCAGAGAACGAATGAACTCCCAGGTAGTGGCGAAGCCTGAGCTTCGAAGTCGGTTCGGAAATTTGGGGTCGAGTTGGAAGAACTTTCTGGTTCCTCTCCGACTTCAAAGTGTGTGTAAGTATCCGGATGGACGAATGGTAATGTATGTTCTTACCTTCGTAAGAAGATGTTGTCTCCTGCATAGATACCCTCCCCGCATTCCCCATACACCTGGACGTTGGTGAAATGAATCGTTCGTGGCGAGAGATATCTTTCCTGCATTACCCATGCTCTTTGGTTGAGACTGGCTTCGTTGACGTCATGTTCAAAGTCTGCCATATTTATAGAGACGCAGGAGACTCTCCCATCCTCATCTTGAATAAGGAGACTCTCGTTGTCTTTCATCCCTTCTAAAAACCCGGTATCTGAGTTCCGGGCAGACGCAGCAGCTATTGTGCAGTATGCTGAAGCATAGACTTCTTCCATCCGCTTCGACTCTCGGTTCCAGTCATGGATGTCGTTTTGGATGATACAGAGTGTGTCTATCCAGAGGTACAATATGCCAAGCTCTCGCGTTACCTGAACAGCGTCCTGGAAGGTCCTTGGTAGCTCATCAAGCCTGAAACCTGTCATACGTGATGGGAGATTTTCGGCCAAAGTAAGCCACATAGGTGTCTGGCCTGTAGCTAATTGCCCCCAACAATGGGACAAAGCAATATACCGGTTCCATTTCATGGTTTTTGCGACGTCAAGCCGTACTTGGTTAAGGTCTTCAAATGGTTGGACATTGAGAAGGCGAGTTGGTAAGAAGCTTTTTTTAGACTTGGGAGAACTCCAACAATCATGGCGTTCGTCGCAGTTCTGGAGCCATGAGTGGAATAGTCGAACGCCAGCGATGCTGGCTGGTTGACGACTTTGTTCCAGTCTGTTTAATATAGATTGTGAATTCCCCTTAGTATCCTCGGATCTTTCTTCGCTCCCTGAAGGGTTTGGAGAGGAGGGCACGGAGGTGACGAGGAGTGGTTCAGTAATACAAATTATGTGGAAGGTCGTGATTTACATGACTTACAAGAGTACATTCGTGCAAGGTTGTATCCTTTCGGCTGTAAAGTGAAAACTGAGTTGATATTTGTGATAGTGGCTGAGACGGGTGCGTCCAACTTCCAAGCCTGCCTACAAAGCAGAGCACAGAGTGGGCATTCACTTAAGCCGTTCCCGATATGCAAAAGATTGACGGGTTCTGCTTCTGGTTCAGAGAGGAGGGGTTTACACCATGCACACCGGTGGGCCAGGTGAGGAGGAATAGGCTTCAGCGAAGGCCTATCGACATGGGTACGATCAAGTTCGTCATGGATTCTGTAGCTCCAAGGCTCTTCCTATGCCGGGTTAGACACACGTCACGAGGGAAAGACGTACGAGATATTGTTTGACGCTGACAAGACCATGAAGACTTACAAACTGTTTGCACACAGCTGCCAGTCAATCGGAATAGTAACGCAGCTACCCGGAGAAGGTCTCGCCTTTACTTACGTCCTATCTCAACATAGATTTGCCCATTAGTTGATGCGACACCGTTCTGTCAGTTACTCACCCGCTGTTTCGGTGCACATTCGATCGTTAGTTACATTCTACATATTGGCATGCTCTAGCAGTCACATACAAGCTATTACAATACAAAATGGATTTTTTAGCTCATGACATAAGCTTGGGGTAATGTGCGAGTTACTCACTCCCTAATCAATCGCAAACGCTCATTAGTTGATACCACAAAGCTCAAGGATAGTCTAGAAGCTACTCACAGCCTGTTCCAACACGAAAAAAGCTCTTTAGTTTAGATCAAATTCTTCAAGATGTGCTGCGTGTCTCTTACTCACCTTCTATACGAACAAACATTTTCTATCAGCTTACCGCTGAACTTGAAATACTCATAGAATTACTTACTCCCTATTTGCACGCAGCCCATCAGCCTAAAGTCCACGCCGCAGGGGACTTCAGTAGTTACTTACGCGCTATTACAATACAAATATACTCGTTAACTTGTCGTGTGCAGTCTAGGACAGTCTAGGAATCACTTACTCGCTATTCCAACACGCGGCCACCCATCAGCCTGTATCACACCGCTTGAAAGAGCAGAGCCACTACTTACAAGCTATTCAAATACATGACAACCCGTCAAATCATGCCACATAACTCGAAGTTGTTTGAAATTCACTTACATACTGTTACAGTTTACTGCATATCAGCTTTGTCACATAGAACGGGGTAGTCTAGAAAGTGTGTTACCCGCTGTCCCACCCACCTAGCTGTTAGTTTATATCACGCATAAAAAAAGTCTATTAATTACTTACCCTCTGATTCAACATATATCCACTCATTAGTTTTGTCCAATAAAACACATCTAGCTCGGAATAGTGTTTTAATGACTCACAACCTATTCCAACGCGTCCAGCTGTCAGTTCCTCCCACGTGGTTCAGGATAGCCTAGCAGCCACTCACCCGCTTTTACAACACAAACACGTTAGTCTAGATGTACCATGCAACTTTGAGAGTCCAGCAGTAACTTACAATCTGTTCCAACAAAATTCCGCTCGTCAGTGCATACCACATGGCTTGGTATGATTTGGCAGTCACTCACATCCTATTTCAAAACACCCAATCATTATAATCGGAGTGCCATTCGATCCGCCGATGAAAACTTACCTCCTGTTGCGAAGTCGATCAGGTTGTTGTTCGCATAGAGCAATCATGACATACGTTCTGCGGATCCTCGTTAATACATCACGCGTTTGTAGTGTCTGGCAAACGACGTACTATGAACAATGCATCGCTTATTTCAGCACTTGCATTCGTAGACAGTCCTGCCGAATCCTCCATTTCGATGTTGACTGGTTGGATCTTGCTTGTTGTGTTGTAGATTGCTAAAATGTTGATGCTTTGCCATAGAACACGGATAGTTAAGCGTGCTTTTCTCAAGCATCAGGCAAGAAAGAGGGGAAGCGGGGTTGCTTGCGTTAGGCTGCTGCACTATGTAAAGGATCCCGACACTCCATCACGTGCTGCAAGATGGTTTGAGGGACTGAAGTTGGTGTTGTGTCTAGCCACTTTAGTGTACCAATTGAACAATGTCATTGTAAGCCAAAATTGGCTTTCGTAGCATACTTCCCGGGGCCATCTTATGGGCCCCTATTGTGCATTTGTAGCCAGTTGTTTTGACACTGCACCGAGACGACACGGCCAGCTTTGTTATGGCTGTCCACAAGTTTACCGTGGGGTACATCCGAAGACAAGGAATTGAATTTGGTGGCCTGTACCACCCTGTGTTTGGGGCCTGCAGCTCTGCGAAGGCGCTAGCATTGAATCCTAGCACACCCGCGGATTACTTCGATTTAGCTTCAGGTACAAGGTGCATTTATTGTTTCTGCTCCTGCTCTTCTAAGAATGCTATTTCCTGGTGTGCGGAGATATTCAGTACAGTATACGTCCATTACTCTTCTTGTCAAGCTTGTGTTAGTCTTGAGAGAAAACCTGAAAGGTGAACACACTGTCAGCAGTTGCCGATTCTCAATGAAAGCAAACGTGCAAGGGAATAGATGGAATTAATCTTCCTTCATCTCGATTTCTGTTGCTTGTTGTCTAGGGGCTTCAGAGAGTAGCGTAGACTCCCGTCGAAGTGTGTTGTTATTTGTTGCATATTGATCTATCCCGAGCGCAAGCGTAAGAGTATCAGCAAGTCAATCCGTGTCGAGTATCAAAGTCAAATTTATTGCTATTTTTAACCTTTTAGGAGTTGTCTGTTCCAGCGCCATCAACCCGTTTGACTGATAGTTAGCAACAGCTTTCAGTACTAAACCACATATCCTCGGGTCATTCTCCGATGCCAACAATAACGGCTCCCGGTATGGCTAACCTCTTTACAAAGACGCTTGAATATCTGCCCTCATTGATTTCAATGATTCAGAAATGTCGACCGTCCAAAGGCTCTAGACAACGATGGCTATGCTGACATAAGGGCGAGGTGCAAGTCCCAGGTACGTACTGGTCCCTTGGACCCCTAACTAAGGTATTTTTTGCTGTCTGATCCCAGGCACGTGGCGGGTCTGATCGGGCGAACCGGCGAATCGAAGGTCCCCAATTAAGCGAAATGAGGCGCTAAACCATCCTCTGGAATTCTGGGGGAGGGACGAGATTGAGTCGCGCCCCAACTCAATTGTTCGCGATCCGATTTCCCACCCTTCCTTTTCCTTCTCTGCAACCCACACTCTCATTCACATCACCGGCATGTCCTGCAGATCGTCGATGACCTCATTCCTTTGAGTCGCATATCGGCCGCAACCGCGGCTGGCCCAGTCCTTATCGCAATACCGTCGACAAAGTCATTCATTACACCGGGGGCTCCGTTCGCTCCCCCCTGTCGCTCTCTTCAACAATGCGCAGCGCCGCTCTTTCATCGCTGTCGCAAACACTGCTTCTCCTCCTAGCTTCTTCGGTTCCTACTGTCATCGCCGGCGGCACCGTATGGGCGACCCCCCATGACAGCTACTCGTCGTCTGTGGGCGTGCTCGGCTGCAAGATCAACACCGATCGCGTCGCCTACTGGCCCGGCTCGGTGGACTGCAACAACCTCTGTATATCCCTCAGCTACGACGATGGCACCGACAAGCGCACCGTGAAGCTCCTCCGCATCGACCAGTCCCAGGGCGCCTACGACATCAGTTACGACGCCTGGAACTACCTCTACACCGGCAAGTCAGCCAAGAAGGCGCCCGTTGCTGGCGGCCCGCTCCCCATGGAGTACAAGGAGCTGCCCGCCGACGAATGTAAGGAGTTACTCAAGACCAAGAACAAGAAGCTCGCCCTCAGCGCGTCCAACAGCATGAACTTCCTCGCCAGCTGCCTCGACCAGCCGAACAGCTGGGTAGCTAAGAACTTTGCGCTCTACAACATGCTCGACTCGATATGTGCCTGGGGATATGATGAGGAGTGCGAGTTGGACTGGCCGACGGCGAATCAGCCTACATGCAAGCACTCGCTGGGCATGCCGGTTGAGTTGAAGGATGCGCCGGTCTATAACGTCCAGTACCCTTCCGGGGACGTAGTCGTTGCGTCCACCGGCGAAGAGGTCTCGTCTCCTGGCGACAGCACCAGCATAGCTGCGCCTACACCGACCCATAACGGTGCACCCGGACGCGGGATGATGATGCTGTTGATGGTTGGGTCTCTGATGTGGACATGTCTGATGCTAGGTTCATGCTGATGCGATCTGAGGCCAAGGAAGAAAAGTCGATATAACTACGAGATACCCTGTATACCCTCACGTCTTATGACGATAATGTCAAATATTACTCTCCAAACCATCAGTCTCCGCATGCCACGGGTCAGCCCGAAGATCTTGCACTGTTGACCGTTAGCTGTTGTGTCTTGAAGGTGCAGCTCGACTAAGACAGTTTCATTTCGCAGAAACATGCCAATGTCAGCTTTCTATGGTTCAAATGCCCAGGTCTACTAACTTGAAGCACCAGTGGGTTATCGGACCACGAAGCAAAGAATGCTGCAGCGCTGTTCCTTTGAGTCCCAGCCTAGGAATTAGTCTACCCACAGCCGCGCTGCTTTTGTACCTTGTGGTATGACCTCAGGCCTCAAAACAGATACTGTGCGAGATGTTGTGAATTTTGCTAAGGATGTTTATCAATTTCTGGCCACCGGGCTCATGTCATTTCATTGGAAATGCCAAAGTGATTCGTCGCTCCATTTTGTGCCCCCGCGGACTTCTCGCTTTTGTCTAATGCTTATACAATGTTCCCAAGACAACGCTTTCGCCATGTATGTAATGAAATTCCAGAATAATCGACAGCCTACGCTCAAGCACCCCGGATCAGAGGTGATGCATTTTTTTGAGCAAGGCTCAAGCGCAGCGGTGCATCCAATAGGGAGTTCCTCGATGGCTCCTATTTGGTCTTATAGCCGCGGAACTTCTCTCGGATCTCGGCCTCGTCGAACTTCCTAGTGTGCCGCTGCAGCATTGTCGCCCGCTCCTCAATCGTCATGGCAATCTGCTCACCCACCGGCACAAGGCACTTGGCCAGATGCAGATAATCCTTCTGGAGCAGCTTTACCGTCACCATGAGATAATCGATGTTGTGGAACACCAGCGCCTTCTCCCGGATGTACGTCTTCTTTTGCTGGAGGAACGACGTCGGGTGGTCGCGCCAGTGACGGCGCGGGTTGAGGTGATGTGACGTGTGGTAGCCGTCGTTGTAGCAGTAGCGGTTGCTCTGTTGGACGTGTATTAGCTACCAAAGTCTTGGCAGGTGGGTCCTTTGAAACCCTGAGGAGCCTTGGTAAATGCTTACCGGTACATCAATCAAGGTGATGCTGGAGCGGAAGTCCGAGTCGGGTTCGTCGGCGTCAACAAAGGCGTGCTGGCCCCAGTTGCCGACCATGAGGCCCAGGCGGAGCAGCAGCAACGGTCCGAGGAAGACAAAGGTGGTCGCCTTGCTGTTGAGGCAGTAGAGTGTGTAGAGAAACGTGTAGTTGCCCAGCTCCCAGAAGCCCGTTTTCAGGGCGTTCTTGATTTGGCCTTTGCCGAAGAAATATATTGGCAGGTCAAACCACACAAGAAAGAAGAAGCGGCCAACGTAATGGAGAAAGTGGAAGAGGTCATCCCGTTGGTATCGAATAGTTGATGACAAATCGTTGGGGCCGTTGCCCTCGACGTGGTGATGCTTGACGTGATGGTAGAAATAGGTGTTCCATGTGTGTCCCATGAGGGGATCAGTGATGTATGGAAACACCGCATCGAACATCCGCAGAACAGACCATTCCTTCGACAGAATGCCGTTCATGTGAATGTGCTGATGCATCATCAGAGTGTAGGTTCCCATGTAGTGGAACTGCAGCGCCATGTGCAGGACGCCATGGAAGTAGTTGAAGTTGCGGAACAGCATGATGGCGCTTGGCACCGACGTGGTGAAGTAGAGGAAAAGATGCGTCAGCATCAGGACGTCAGTCTCATGGCGCACGATCTTTCGTGCCCATGCAACGTACGGCAGGACGACATGCTGATGGAGAGCAGCCGGAATCTTGGACGGCAGATCTCTCAAGTCCACGGATGAAAGGACACTCGGTTCGAAGTCTTGGCTTGCAGCGTCGTTCAGCCCCTTCAGCTTGCGGATGTCCTTGGCGTCCCTCTGGGATGACACTCCACGGCAGGCTGTTTGCATGTTAGCTGAGATGTTCTTGCATTGGCGTGGCCAGAGCCAGGGTTATATTTACGTTCATCGTCTTTATTAGACTTCTCATCCAAGGATTCCTGGCTGGCATACCCCTCGTCGCCGTCGGCGGGCGCTAGATGCTTGTCGTCGTATCGTTCAATATCGTCGATAAGGTTCTGGAGGACTATGGTATCATGAACCGTCAGGTTAGGGCTGACAATGAGACTACTCATTGCATTTAGTGAAGTCTCGGGTTGCGCCAAGCCACAGGAAGGGGAAGAGTAAGGAGGTGGGAGAAGAAAGCGGCCGTCAATCAATCGATGCGATTTGGGGGTCCCATTTGAAGAGGCATGCGGCGCATGGGCAAATGAATTTTTTAGGGGTCAATGGAATAAAAGTGGAAAGACACGACGACGTTAAAGGAGGTGACCAGTGCTTTATTACGGGTACCCAATCTCGTTACCCATGTCGCGTCTCTGTTTCGCTTCATGGAAACCGGCAGTCCAAGGTCACGGACTACCGCAAAACGACCCATCATGTCAGAAACAAGGCCAACAGTTCCGGCGCGCCGAGTAAGGGTCCTGTAGGGCCTAGGTACAGTCACGGTAGTCAGCCGTGGACACAGAGTGATAGTCTGCACCTCTTAGCTTCTCCGAAAGACGACTTTCCAAGATGGTGATGTAGCATGGAAAGTCAGATCCCTGATTGGCTCGGCAGTGACTCCGAGACAGCTTTTTACTTCCCACCCCCAGGAAGTCCTGCTAAACATTCTATCTCAATTGATCGTGTATTGTATGACTCCATGCTCTGTCAAGCGGCTTAGTTTTACAGGTGATGGATTTCCTAATTGGTCAGATCATTTTGCGATTTTCGCAGACAGAAAGGGGTGATAAGCGGCGAGCTACGCCAAATGGCAGGGTTGGAATCAGTTAGTGAGGGACTTGTGAGACGGAACCTTCTCACATCATCCGTCACATCATGCACTCAGAGCGTAATGCAACCGCCAGAAGGTAATTGGCTCAGACTGATCAGTCCATCTGGTTCTATTTAGCCAGTAGCGTTCACCACTCAATCCCCGTGTCCAGTAACCCCTCACGGCACAAAAATCTGACTATTGAGTTCTAGAACACCACTAGCTCAGGACCCTTGGGGATGAAAGCTTGCGTTGACAGCACGTGTGGGTACTACGTCCTGAACCGATACCCTGAAGATGAAACAACGCGAAAATAGAAGCTACATACGTAACCGTCTACAGGGGTGCAAGTGGATTTCTTGAAGAAATGCCATGGCACAAAACCGCAATCTGGCCGCTGATCTGTCCATCAATCTTGATAATCTCGCCCATCTAAATGATGGCCCAAGCACTCATCAAGCAATAAGCACTCATGCTTTGCAGCTTGTGCCTGAGCTTATCCAGCTGGTACATTCGGGTCGCTTGTCTCCTAGAACCGAGCACACCGCGGGTTGGCGCTTCATCTTAACGTCAAAGACGGCAAGGTTTCTTTCTCCTCTCAGTAGCGGAGAAAAGGGGCTGGGGTTGTACTTGGGTGACGCGATACCCTTTTCACACCTCACATAGTGTAACCTTCTGATGCAAAACAGAAACAAGAATTCCGCGCCAGTTATTTGAGTCTGCGAGCCGCAGGATGTGGTCCGTGAGCTTTTTGCTCGTGATATCGGGTATATACACTAGTGAATGTGCTGGAGAAATCGCTAATGCGCAGGTCATGGAACTGTTGCCGTCCCTCAATGAAGCATACAATATGGGCGCCCCTGCCTATATTGTACTCCCGGTCCACCGCTTTTTTTAATAGTAGCCCAGAGAGCACTATCGTCTTTGGTTCCTATGCAGACCTGGCAGACGTCTCGATTTTTGAAACTTTTTTGTAGTCAGTCCTGCACGAAGGAGAAACTGGTTTTTCCTAGTCATGCTTAGAGTTTTTATAATCATATGGGTGCAATTCGCATAAACAAAATGGCAGCAACCTTCATTCATCAACAAGTGGCTGGATAAGATGTGATATTTGACGGTGAAGAGCATGATATTGCCTCGATGCCATTGAGCAAGAATATCATGAAAACCTGACATCTACAATGCTGCTGTTGAAGCAACTCAAATCTGATCCGATATGTTGAGATAAGGACCACCTCACCGTGTGAATGAGAGAAAAGCGAAGTGACAAAAATGGAGGACTTGAGGCCGCACACGGCGCACAGTAATCTCTTTTTGCTCGATGCAGGGTAATTCTTCAGATCCATCAATGATAGATCTCCCCATATGCGACTGGCCAGCCACCAATTGTCCTTTACCCGCCTCCAACCAGAGCTGGTACTGGTGCCGACACATCTGAACTACGTACAATCTTCGTGACAAGAGAGAATGACAGAATGATAACCACAACAAATGCCTTGTCTTCGACTGTCGGGCCGTAGCAAGGCCTTCACTAGTTTCATGACTTGGTACGTTCAATTTGGGCGGCTTCGATGTTGGCCTCGAACTTTTCGTCTGTGATGGAGGGAGATCTGGCACGACCAGGGGCTACAACAGCCCTGCCTCTCATCTGAGCCCACACAGTCTTGTGGGTAGGATTTAAGAAGAGGGCATCCATGTCTTCAAGCGTCAGGCCTAGTGTGTGTTAGTGCTTGAACAGGTTCAGTCCCAGTGGGAGAACTCACCCTTAGTCTCAGGGACAAAGAAAAAAGCCCAGATACCCATGAGCATGAGGATACTACTGAAAAAGAAGTATGCCCCGTACCCAAGGTCTGAGATCATGTAAGGCGTAGAGCGGGCGATGATGAAACTACCGAGCCAGGTGGTGGCAGTAGTGATAGACACTGCCAGCATTCTGATTTCGAGAGTTTGCACTTCGGAGGCATAGAGCCAGGTAATTCCTTGCCATGTAGCGCAAATAATGACCTTGGATAGACAGGTTAGCATGCAAAAGATTTTACTGGTCCGGTGTAACTCACTCCGTTGATGTACACGCAAGCCATAGCAAGATAGCCCCAGCCATCTCGATTGACAAGCCCAGCAGCGGCAGCTCCAGCCGGATCAGCCTTCATGACGTATCCTCCGATATACCACATCGGGATGCAACCGAGGGCAGAGCCCCAGAGGAGACCCTTTCTGCGACCGACTCTCTCAGCAACCCAGAAGGTGAAGAGGAACATGCCGAAAGTCTTTGCGATGCCGTAGAACCCAGTAGAGAAGAGCTTCGTGGATGTGCCGGAAATACCGAGACTCTCGAAGATTCTTGGGGCATAGTAGGTGATGATGTTGACACCTGGTACGTATGTTAGGGCAACTTGTTCTTTATGATAGAACTGGTCTTACCGGTGAAGCTCTGGAGAAACATAAGAGCCATGCCCAGACCCATACGGTTGCGGATGCCCTTCTGGAAAAGCTTCTGGAACATCTGTTTCTTGGTCATCCGGTTGGAGGTACGCTGCTCAACTTGGGTGCGAATATCGTTCATCTCGCGGCGCACGTACTCGTGGTCGGCAGGGAGACCACGAATTTGTACAAGAATCTTTTCAGCAGCATCAAAGTGGTCTCCGCGAGCAAGCCAACGCGGAGACTCAGGGCACCAGATCATTCCCAACGCAAGACCCAGGCCTGGGGCAAGTTGCAGACCGAGGGGTACAATCCACTGGGCCCGAGAGTTCACATCGATTGTCCGGTCGGTAGCGTAATTGATCCAAAAGCCCAACATACCACCTCCTTGAGATGCGATCTCGAAGATGCCAACTAGTCGACCACGAATCGAAGGCGGAGCCGTCTCGGCGATGTAAACGGGAACTGTCAAGGAAGATGCACCGATACCCAAGCCGGCGATAGCACGACCAGCGTAGATCAAGTTTAAGTTTCCGCTGGCTGCGGTCATGAGGGTGCCGCCGATCAGGAAAACTGTGCCTGCCATCATGACTGTTTTCCTGCGACCAAACTTTTCGGCAATGGGGAAAGTAAACAAAGCGCCAAAGAAGCAACCAGCCTGGTTTCACAAAGTCAGGCCCGGCATAGTGGAAGATTGGGAGGGCAGCATACCTGGAATGTCGACACAATGTTGCCCTGAATTGTGTCACGAGTCGTAGAGCTGACATTGTCGAGATGGAAGTCTCGTCGGAAAGAGTCCAATGCCATTGTTCCTCCAATGACCGCGGTATCATAACCCACTGATAGATCAGGTCAGTCAACACTCTGTAAACTGAATATGTGTATGATGGAGACGCGCTCCGCTTTCCGTCAAACTTGCGCCACAAGAGGAGCTGCTAGGTAATCAATCATTTCATTGACAGAGACTGGATGCTAGCTGGCATCTTCGAGATCATACAGACAGAATGTAGGCAGCACATAAACATTAAGATCTATGAAAACAACGTACTGGCCAAGGCAGACATGCTGGCGACAAGCGCGATCAAGTGGATGCGCCAATTCCGCACCTCTGGCGGATCAAGCGTGCCAGACGCGTGGGTGCTGAAGAAGCCCATGCTGGGCAAGGAAGACAGAAAGGCTTGACTAAGATGGCGAAGCGACTGTCGTGGGGCAGGAGCGTAACACGTAAGGTGGAGGGGCAAAAGTTGGCATACCCAGAGGCTGCGTAAGTGAGCAAGAAAAACCAAGAAAGCTGGAAGAGGATCCGGCGGGGAGGCAAGCTTTATCTAGGCCGCCGTGACGTCCCACCAACAATGAGCTTGAAATGCACTTGATCGAATAGAGAGCCAGTGTTTGGGACAGAAGCTGTGGAAGGGTCAAGGATCGGCGACCTTTACCCCGCGATAACCCCCATGGGGAAAACTGGGTGGCCATCGTCAAAACCTGCCTTAGATGAAGCATTGGGTGCCCCCCCCCTTCCCCCCCGAAGGCAACAGAATCACACGTTCAGGCCGTCCAACCATTCAACATCGTTGATCTTTGGATGATAACATAAGTCCCTGCACAATTGGACGGGCTGGGCAGAAAATACTTGGCGTCAGCAGATGTGTGGATCAGCCAAGAAAGACGCCGGGGGAGGGGAAACGACAAGTTTTTTGTCTGATGCCACAGCAGAAAGGAATCGCACTCTTTCGCCCCCTAGCTCCCACACCCTTGAACTGAATAGAATACTCTTGATTCATAAGTCTAGCTCTGCGGAAGAGATCTACACTAGCAGAATATAGAGCGCCGAGTGCCTTTTCCGTCACAACTGGATGCACAGCCCGGTACTACGAACCGGGGCAACGCCTCCCAGGTATATTAACCCAAGTGTGAATCAGATGTTCAGAAGAAACGTCACGACAATTCGGACTCGAGCGTTGCTGACAGTACGTACTATGGACATCGAATCTGTTTTAAGACTATATCCTAATGCCTGAAAATGCTTAGACCATGCCCCAACACGCTACGTGAACCTTCCAGTTGACCTCCAATGGGTAAGAAATACTTTTCCGTTGTAACAAATCCCGTATTTTGTTGAGGGGTATTTCAGGAGCTCGAATACAGATTACCGGCTGCGAGACTACACGATGGGCTGTGTGAGCATGCAAGCTGATAACGACGCTAGCTTCGAGGGATTGCCGAGACGAAAACAAGCGGGGAGAACCGGAGGCAAGAGGCTCGACATGCATTGGATTTGATATAACTAGCCTAAATCTCGACGCAACTTGGGTAAAATTGACTTAGGTACCAGCCGTCCGCGTCGGTGCAAAAGGGCGGTCTTGGACTGAGGTTGGATCAAGATGTGGGTGACGAGCTATGACAGGACGGGTGTGTTCCTCGGCTGGTAGTTCATCTGTGCCCGGAGCGGGCCTGGATCTACCCCCAACCTCCTCATCGGTAGTCAAGTTTGAGTTCCGAGACTACGGGAACCGCTGCGCTGTCAAGAGGCGGCTCCATCAAGAACCACTCATAAGCCCCGACGGCTTCGGCGAAATACCCTAAATCTGCTGATATTTCCTTGGTTTTTCTTGGCTTGTCTTCATCTCGTATGTACTGTTTCGCCTCAGATCTCGTGGTATGCAGGGCTCGTTCCGCAGCCACCATCACAAACTGCCACTCTGTCCAATTGCAAAGCAACTTACCTCTTCGTAACCACAACCAGCCCATGTGGTGCTGCGGCGTTGCGAAATCCCCGCATCAAAACAACTGTCTCTTCTTCTGTCACCGGGACCCTATCATATGGGGCCGCTGTTTGGTTTACGACGTCTACAACCATGTTGCATCGGCTATACTTGCCAGCATGTCGGTCCACAAGATCACACATAATTCCACATTTTTAGCTGTGCTCAGCCACCCCCAGCCTGGGGTTCACTTAACCTGGAGATGGAGAACCCCGTAGCTTGGCGCAGAACTCTAAAGGTTTGTGATTGTGCTTTTCCGTTGAAATTTCGTGGGTTTTCTTTGGGCTTTCTTCTCCCACATGTGCCAGACATGTGGATTCCGAGTTCTTTGAGATGCTTTTTGCTGAATGGATACCAAGCAGGGGATCAGTCCGCCGTCGGTATACAAAACAGGCTTATTTATCGAAGCATACTGAGCGGGCTTGACGTTGGACAAGAAGTCTAACTACAAAAATTCAACTACAATAATTTTACGCAACTGCAACATGTATTCTTTTGCTCCAAATTGAGAAGTGACTAGACTATCCCAGTTGGTATGTCTTGATTCACACGGAAGTGGGCTCCTGGAGCTTAGAAACTACTGCAACAGAACGATGCTGCGAAATCTTCTGTCCACTAACGAGGTGAATTATTGTAGGCTTCGCTTTTCATTGCATCCATAAAATTAACGTTAGCGGGCTCAATAGCTGCCGATACGGGCATCAGACCAACCACTGCTGCTCCTGAGCTTCTTCTTGGCTTTTGATGCACTCTATCACTAGCGCATCCTAATGGCTGGTACACGCCCGGGCTTTACATGATCTACAGCTGCATCTCCCCCAACGAAGCCAGAGAAACCGCCGGTGTTCACACACCTTCGGACAACTTCCGTAAGTGACGGCAAGCTGGTCTGATATCAACATGCAAACTCAGTCTATGGTCTAATCCTTGCCATCTTGTCACTCCGCAGCAAGCGAGCTCGCGTACTTTGGCTGAATCGTGGCCCAAATCCTTTGCACTCACTTGCATTAATCGCTTGCTGCGTCTCGGTAAATCTCGACCAGCGTAACATTCCCATTGAATACGACGTCTCCACATCCGAATCAGCAGCAAGAGCACGCGATGCGCCGTCAAAACTGAATTGCGAAGAGATTGTTGTACGCTTGCATACTGTCAACACAGGAGCTCGTTCCCAAATTGACGGTTTGGCGCACTGGCTGGGAGAAATTACTCAAGGACCAAAAGAACCAGTCTGGGTACACACAATGTTCGTAGTCGTGAGCAAGCCACCTGGCGATGGTACACAGAGTGATTCTCATAAAGATTTCTATTTTTCTCCCGAATGGTTCTATATTTCGTTCGAGTTTGTCAGTCCCTCAGAGAAGCCAGTAAACTAGAAATATGATGAAGGCTTCCCCTCGGATCAGCGGCGGTCTTTTGCTGAATGATCACTTGTCTCAAAGCAGTGGATTGTCGTCGAGGCGGGTCATTCTTTTTCATTGCGCTGCATGCGACGTCTTCACTCGACAGGAAATTCAGCTGTGTGGAATGCTTCAACGACATAGAGATTCACAATAATAATCAGTTGCAACATGCTAGGTTTCTCAAGTTTACTCTATTCATCTTGCAGTTGATAATGATGTTGAAGTGGAGGTTGAGTTGAAGAAAATGATATTGATCCATCCTCGAACCTCCAAGCTGTGGCTTGTGGCGGTGTAACCCGCTACCAAGTGCTTGATCGTTTCCAGATTTGTTCCCGGCGTTCAGAAACTCCGCAAATTGCTTTCCACAGCTCGGCGAGTTGGCATTACTAACCTACGGTCAGGAACTGGCTCCAAGGAAACTGTCCGCATAACCGCGTGAGTCAGTGCACGCGACACCAAAAAAATTCTGAGGGGGAATTTTCAGACCCTCCACAACCTCTCCACATTGTGGAGTGAAAAGGGGGGAATAGGTATCGAGCCCCCCGTCCCCGCGCGCTCGTTTCCCCAACTTTGGGTCAACATACGCGCTCATCAACATTTTGACCAGCACAGCAGCGGCCCCAGGCCAAACGAGTAGGCAGAAAGCGAAAGTGGAAACTTGGAAAGGGGAAGGAGAGAGGATGCCCTCCAATGCCAACGAGCCCGCACGCGACTGCTACCGCAAGCATGCAGGAGAATAGTGGGACGTCGGCTCTGCCAAGTTACTCCCGACCACCGAGGAGATCGGTGAGGTCCAGGGAAGGGTGTTTGACCTGCAAGTGAGTACTACACCCGCTACTCCAGGCCGTCTCTCACAGCCGATGACGGGCCGCCGGGCAGTCTCCCGACTCCCGAGGTTGCAGTTCCTCCGATCGGACCGCTAACAAGCCTGGACTGAAGTGAATGTGAACGTGAATAACCATCTTGCTGACCATGACCCACAGACGTCGCAAAGTCAAATGCAATGAGTCCAGACCTAGATGCAGCCATTGTGAACGACTGAATCTAGAATGTAAGTGGCGGCCGCAGAGTAGTACCACCACCCACTCGATGCTGGCAGCTGCAGGCTCTTCCGGGTCTGGTCGTAGCCCAGCCATACCGTCCCATGCCACTGATGCATCCATGTCGCCGGCTGCATCTGTCTTCCAGCCTATGCAAGCCGTCGATGAGATATTCGACTATGCCAGCTTCATGTGGGATGCCGGTGATGCCTGGCAACAGGTCAACCCTGAGCCAGGTCAGCAGATGAGCCTCGATGGACAAGTACTGGTACGTTACCTCGATATGGTTATTGAGCTTCCAAGTTCGACGAAGGGCTAACTTTACACAGCGCGGTCAATATGGTAGTCAGTCACTCGGAAGCCGGCAACCACCCATGACCAGTCCACCGAATCTCAGCCTCCCAGATCGAACCGCTATGGATGATTTGCCGGACCCGTCACCAGTGCCAGACGCAAGCAGCCAGCCAGAGCAGACCACAACTCTGCATGCATCGACTGAAGATGACCGATTAATGGACTATTTCAGCCATGTCGTTGTTCCACCTATACTTGCCGAGGTCGAGACGCAGAAGAAATGGCTGGCGGTTCGACAGGTTGTTGTGGAAATGGCTGGTGCTTCGCAGATGGTCAAGTGGTCAGTCCTCGCTTTCTCTAACTTGATGTTATCTCGTCGTGAGGGGGCCTGGCTCGCCAACCCAGATGATCATTATCAGAAAGCTGTATCAGAGGTGGCAGCTTGCGGCGATGAATCATCCCCTGCGATCGACAGTCCTGGTTCTCGCAGAGAGCACCTACTCGCGACCTTGTTCTTCTTGAGTTATGTAGACATCCTTAGGGGACAGATTCGGGCTGCAGATTCGTTCCTGAAACGAGCTTATGGGCTGTTCCAACAGGGAGAGAAGAGCAACTTTGTTGCCATCGAGAAGCAATTCCTGCAGTGGATGCGTCTTCTCGATGCTCGTGCTGTCTCTGCAGGTGGACAGGGGCTGCTTTTATCCAAGGACGATGAGCTGCTGCTTGTCGAAGCGTCGCCGGCAAGCTTTGACGGAGGCGTTGCCGACCCAGCGAGAGAAGACTTCGCTGACGGTGACATTGAAGATGTCCTGTTCCAAGTCCTATACCAACCAGGGATTGTCTTCTTTCAGAAGGTGCAGAGCTTTATGGGACGAATATCAAAGATCGACCCCTGGCACAGATCTCGTGGCACGGTCGAAGACGAAACGGATGTCATGAACATTGGAGCCGCCATTGCAGCTGATCTTCGGACCTTATACGAACAACGGCCACCGCTGATGGATTACGCCGTGGCAGGGAAGCTGACGGAGCCTCACGTCTCGCCCCATCTCGCCTTCGTTATAACACGCGCCTTCCGCACCTACCTCGCCAACTACCATGCGAGCAAAGTCCACCTACACAGGGTGGCATATAAGTCTTTCCCGTTGACAAAAGAGGCAACCGATGCCCTGAGCCAGATCCGACGTTTGGCAAGACTACTTGTCGATTCACTGGACACAGACAACTCATTGCCTGTCAACATGCTTTGGCCTCTGTTGATGCTGGGCTCCGAGGAACAAGATCACCAAGAGAGAATATGGATCAAAACCCAGATTCTTAGGATGGAAAGAGTCGCGGGCAACGCCAAGATCACGGCTCAGGTGCTAGAGGAGGTCCAGGCTAGGCAGGATGCTGAGAAGATCCGGGTTGACATCCGGTCCGTCATGCACGCTATCTTCAACTCGTGCTTCGCCATAGTTTAACGGACAATACAACGCGAAGCATTGACGAGACTCTTTGGATACGTTAAATAGTCGACATCGCTGGACACGTACTTGGACGATGATACATCAAACAGGCTAAAGTCCAAGTAAGTCGCTGCTTGAATTGGCACTTGACGAGAGGCTGGCTATAGGCTAGGGAGATAGTTGTCATTTCCTGACATCAGGGCTTTGGCCAACCTAAACATGCATCGGTAGAGCGATCAAGATACCCGAGTTATTCCCTTTATAACACCAGTAACGAAGATTTCACCAAAAGATCTACATACCACATGGCCCAAGGCCAAATGACGAATAAATGTCAACATCTCAACTACCCTCGTCCCCCAGTTCACCCACGCGACCGAATCATCAGCTGCAACCGACAAGCCCGACACTAGCGCACCCGACGCTGGTGGGTCCCGATCGGGTGACCCACTTACGGCCGCCAGACTTGGTCCCCTCCGATCGGGAACATGCTTCTGGGCCACGTCCGAACCCGTTTACTGGAACAATCCAAACTTCTTAGAACAAATGAACATGAAAGCGAGGGTCATGCGGGAAGCGAGATGCGGGACGAGCATTACACGATTCGTTCGAGCTGGTTCGCCTCTTGAGACGCTCCACAACATGACCGGCTCGTTGCATGGTCGGATTCATGCCCGTGGGGAAGGTCGGCTTGTCGGAAACATGCCACCCTGAAGAGCCCCGCGCTTCGACATCCAGCGCGGGGTCGAAAGCTCCGAGCCACGGAGCTCAGGAGATACTTCTATTCATTATTTCCATCCTTCCCGGACACACGTTTCCTAGCCAGACTCATTGATACCCCGATCAATTCTTGTTTTCTCCTCTGCCATATTCTCCAACTCTCGTTCCTTGTCAATACCCACTTCTCCATCTCTTCCACGTAAACATCGTCGTAATGGCTTCCGCCAAGTCTTTCCCCGCCGGTATCCATGTTCCCAGTTTGACCTGGTTCGGCGACGATGCCAGCCAGGAGATCGACTGGAACGTCCAGACCAAGCACATTGAGTTCCTAGTCAAGTCAGGGCTCCACGGTGGTAAGTGACTATCTGTAACATGACCTCTCAAGACCTCTGGTTCTAATGGATTTCACTTCAGTCGTCCTTGCTGGAACCAACGGCGAGGCCGTCACCCTGACCAACGATGAGAAGACCAAGCTCGTCAAGACCACAAGGGACATTGCCATCAAGGCCGGTCGTCCCGATTTGACCATCACCATGGGCTGCGGCGGCCAGTCCACCCGCGCCGTTATCGATGAGACTAAGCTCGCCAAGGAGGCCGGCGCTGACTACGCACTCGTCCTCGTCCCTAGCTATTTCCACTTCGCCATGAATGAGGAGGCTATTGTTGGCTTCTTTGAGGAGCTCGCCAACGCCAGCCCCATTCCTGTCATCATCTACAACTTCCCTGGCGTTGTCGCCGGCCTCGATGTCAACTCGGACATGCTCTCTCGCCTGGGCAAGCACCCCAACATCGTCGGTGTCAAGCTGACCTGCGGCGGCATCGCCAAGGTTGCCCGCGTCCGCGCCGAGTTCGACCCCTCAGAGTTCTTCGCCCTCGCCGGCCAGAGCGACTGGCTCGTGCCCGCCTTGTCCGTCGGCAGCAATGGCACTATCACTGGCGTCGCCAACCTGTACCCAAAGTACTGCGTCGAGATCTTCGACCTGTACAACGCCGGAAAGTTGCAGGAGGCTTCTGCCGCTCAGCTCAAGCTGGCACAGATGGAGTGGGCCTTTGGCAAGGGCGGCATCAACGGCACCAAGTGGGTTGTCGCTAAGTCGCATGGTTACCCTTTGACCAGCTGCCACTGCAGACGCCCTTACCCCCAGTATACCGACGAGAAGAAGCAGGCTTGGATCTCTGATCTGGTGGCACCTCTGGCCGCGGAGGAGGCTAAGCTGAACCAGGGTACTTAAAATCATGTGGATCAACTTGAGATGAGGAATGAGAGGTACCTAAAGGCATAAACTGGCGTTTTGGGGAATTAAAACATTCAATGACAGTTATAAAAGGAGTGAATAGACACTATGAAGACTTTACCTAATTTCTTAGTCAAGTCGGTAGATGCTCGATCTACTTCTTTGGGTTGAACCGTATGTTGGTCTATTGTCATCCCTAGACCCTGTGCACGCGCACGTGGGGGCAACATTTATCGTGTGTTTTGCTTCGAAGCAGCAATCAACCCTATTTCAAATTCGACTAATCTTGGGTTGCATCATAACAAGCTGTGATCAAAGAAGGCAACTCAGGCCCAGAAGACAAGACGAGGGCTGAGGAACCAACTGAGAAGTTATTTCTGGGGTGCTGAATCCATTATTAGCAGTTATCTTTCCGGCTAACAAACAAGCATCGTCACCGGTGTGCAAGGACTAAAAGGGGGATGACACGAGTGGAAGGTTGAGGAGCATAACTCTTGAGATGTTTACATCGTCAAACACAAGAAATCGCACTTGAATTTCTCTTCGGTGTCCATGACTGATCTTTCTAAACCAAATTCTGTTTAATTTGTTGACTCTGAACGAATAACGTCGGCTTTTCTGCCCCCAACGTCTGGGTATGCAATACAATCACTTCCTCCAAGTGGCCAAACAACTATCCATCAACGCTCACAATCCTCTGTCTCTCTGAGTTTGCTTTAGACATCCTCAGTATGTTCACTTGACTTTGCCTTATTATCATCAAAAGTTGCCTCGACAAACTTGGTGGAGGGCTCTTGGCGGGTATCGTGGGCGTAGCCACTGCAAGGAAATAGTCAGTAACTGCACAACACGACATGGGACTAAAGGCAGAACCCCATACAAGATAACATCCATCTGGTCCATGGTGAGGCCCTTGGTCTCGGGCAAGAAAAAGAAGGCCCACACAGTAGCGACAATCATCCAGGCAGCGAAGAAGAACCAGGTTCCGTAGCCGAAGGAGCTAAAAATGTAAGGCATGGCCTTGGTGATGGCGAACTGAGTAGCCCTGGATGATTTTTAGCGAATGTAAAACATGTTGAGCCGCAGCAGACTGTACTAACCAGACGACGAGGGCGGCATAGGTTCCGGTGAAGTTGCGGAGAGCACCCGGGAAGATCTCGGCACTGACAATCCACGGGATGCCGTTTAGACCGAAGGACCAGCTGCAAGAATTATTAGACTGGCTGGCATTAATTAATCACGGCGACAGAAGAGCGTACCAGATAGAGTAGATCATGATCATCCCGGTTGCAGCCTTACCACCTGCGGCGGTTGAAGTAGACAGCGCCTTGCCAGCGGCGATGATGTCAGCAGGGTGCCCTACCTTGACGTATACCCCAACCGTCCAAAGGCAAAGTGAGCAGATCAAAGAGGACAAGATGGCAGGCCAACGTCTCCCGAGGAGGTCGATCAGAAAGATGAAGTATATGATGGAGGCGATGGCTGTAGCTCAGTCAGTAACACACCTTGGTTACATGATACTAAATGATGCTTACCCTTGATCAAGCCATAAATTCCTGTGTAGAGAGAAACATCCGTGATTCCAATCGATTTGAAAAGGGTTGGCGAATAGTAGTTGATGGCTGGATGAGCAGATCAGTTTCTGTGACAATTCGGCTATCGGTTGGTTCAAATGATATACCAGCAGCACCAGAGAGGTTATTGAGAGCAAAGGCACAGAAAACAAGAACCAGGCGGTTCCACATGCCTTTGCGGCACAGCATGTTTGCAACACCGCGTAGATATGCCCACTGTCCGCTTCCGTACTGTGCGGAAACAGCCCGCTCCTCGTCAATTTTCTTCTGAAACATGTCGAGTTCCTCTTGCATGTCTTTTCAAGTTGAGATTAGAATTTACTGCGAGCTGGGCACGCCAAAAGTTGCGAAAAACTCACATTTGTGGTCGATTGGCAAGCCCCTGAGACCCTCCAGAACCTTATGCGCACTCTCCGTCTTGTTCTTGCGCAGAAGCCACAGGGGACTCTCGTGAATGAAGAAGCAGCCGACGAAGAGGATTCCGGCTGGAACCAGCTGGAAGGCCATTGGGATTCTCCAGCTGACAGGCAAGTTGGGGTCAATGGTCTGTGTGATGCCATAGTTGATCCAGAAACCGATGACAGATCCAATTTGATATGCAACTTCGAATAGACCGGTGAGGATACCGCGGATCGAGGGAATCGAGAGTTCGCCGATGTACGAGGGGACTGTGGCTGTGATCCCACCGCATCCAACTCCTGTCAGGGCACGCCCGGCATCTGCGTGGAACAAGTTAGACATTGAATACTCCGACCACCGGGTTCCGAGGGGGTGTTTTACAGATGTATGACAGTTGATTTGTTGCGGAAGTCATCAAAATGGCGCCGACGAGGAAGATGACAACGTTAGCCTGCAGAGTCCATTTTCTGCCCAGGCGCTCGGTAACTGGCGACAAGTCAGCTTTTCTGCTTCCGAAAGAAAATCAAAGGATCCGCACTGAAAAAGCAAAGGACTGCGCCGCCCAAAGCTCCGGCCTGGAAGGCCGATGTGATGTTGCTGGAGATGTTGTTGGAGTTCGAGGCGTTGATGCCGAAGTCTCTTTGGAAGCTGTTGCGGGCGATGGTGGTTCCGATGAACGCCGAGTCGTACCCGAAACTAAGAAAGAAGCGTTAGCTGTCATTACATCTTGATTAGTCTTTATCAACTTACAGGAACGAGCCAGTTGCGATGATTGCGGCCTCGATGTAGAGCTTCCAGTTGTACACCTCCTTCGGCGTTGGGCGATCCTCCACAGCCTTGAAGCCACCCATGATTGCGATACCGTACTTATCGGAACTGTGGAGTGCGGCTGATATCGTCGACGAAGTTGTCTTTGGAGTTGTCAGTTGGATGACACGCACACACGCTTCACAGTCACACGTTGCAAGGAGTTCCGGCTGTCAAAGAGTATTTATCCTGCCCTCCCTTACCACCACGTCGGATGGCGCATCCCCACGGGGAACAGGGTGGAGAAAACATGGATGCTTTTGGAGGTTGGCTCACTCACCTCTCTCGTCACTGCGCGTCTCTTTGAGGGGTGGTGTGGAAAGATGGGGGAATGCCTGCTAGTTTGACTCGCGCTTCCGGGGTTTTGACCAACTGAATCCAGGGTGCGCACGTCGGAAGTCGTCCGTGGGCGATGTCATGAACAGTATTCTCACCCGAGCAAGTGGACCGATTCCTTTACGCTAAGCAAGCCACGCAAATTTCTTCACCGCGGGTACCGCATGCTAGTGTCTGATATTTCTTTCTGCTTGAGTCTCCATGGCTTCCATCAGCTGCTATAACAGGTAGTGTATTCGAACAGGAGATCAGATGACTTCCAATATTGGATCAGGAACCGTTCCTCTGCCGGCCCGCCCCACTCTCTTGGACCGCGTGGTGCGCGCCATGGCTTCCGATATGCGACCCGACAAGCGACCCGACGCAAACTACCCGGGATTGACTCCACACCACACGTGGAAATGCGATGAGCCTTGGAACAGAACCAAGTTTTCGGGCCTGAGTAGCATGAACATCTTCTCGCAAGTAGCCAATGCGAGGTCAGACGAGCCGAAGAATGCCAAGCAAATGCCGCTGGGAAGTGGGCTTCCTCGATAGCCAGCATCGGTCGGCAAGTAATCCATCAGCTTAAAAAAAGATTCAGTCAGGATTTCGCTTTCATATGGATTAAGTTATCGGGGGCCAGCAAAAGCAATAATTTGAGCAATGATGTCCAGGGTCAACCAAAGCACGTATGCGATTGTGAAGTGTCGAGTCGCTACAAGCGTTATTTATAAGTCTGGAGCAGGGAGACAGATGGCCGCGGCTCTCGACATCCATCTCTTACAGCATCCTGGCCTGAATTGCGCCGGTACTGATCAAAAGCACATAAACAAAAGTGTAGGCTCTAGCATCAGAAGACCACCAGCACATAGCAAGAATCCGTGTTGAACCGTTTTTGATCAGCGCATGGTGTTTTGGCCGGCGCGTGAATGTTATATATACATTTTATGTGTTGAAGTATGTTTTTACATCATTAAGTTCCCGATGTGAAGGTCGGGTGATTATTTGATATGCCTAATATCCGTATGGTGAAGGGTTACTCCCAAATCCAGCTGACGAAACGGATGGGGCCAGTCTTCTTGACTTCTGGTTCTTCAGGGTATGCATCAGCCTGCTCAATCGCATCGTGCAGAGGGATGTCCTCAAGGGAAACAGCCTTGGTCTTTTTGACGAACTTCCAGATCAGGAAAGCTAGCGTGACAAGCGGGATATCCCTGCGTTTTCGTTAGTGAAAATGGTCCCAGCTTTGCGACGCAGTATATCACAAGACTTACAAATAAGACGAGACGAAGCCGCTGGCGTCCCAGTTTCCCTTGGTAAAGACCTCAAAACCACTGGTAAAAAGGATCAAGACACACATGAACAGCGCGACGTGTGAGCTATAGACTACAGTTCCATTCTCGTTAGCAGTGTCGTTGGACGAATGGGATGCGGGATGCTTACAAGTCCATGAGTTGTTCCACGGCAACCTGCTAAACTCAATGCCCTGCTTCTTCATCGCCTTTTTGAGGCGGATATGATTGTACAAAATGGCGGACCACGAGACCAAAACACCAGCTGCGGTCAAGTCTACGAGCCACCAGAAAACGGTCAATGCGCCGTTGGACAGACTCATGAAGCTGAGGAGCATGAAAACCGTGAAGAGCAATACGCAGACGTATGGCGTGCCCCACGCGGTGGTGCGGAGGAAGATCTTGGGGGCTTGTCCTTTGAGCGCCAGACCAAACAATACACGGGTACCGGCGAGCAGACTCTGGTTGGACGCAGACCAAGCGGAGGTGATGACGACGGCGTTGACCACGCTGGGGATTGCCGGGATGCCAGCGGCCGAGGCGGCGATGACGAAGGGGCTCTGAGCGGCAGTGCCGGACTCATCATTCAGGCGAGGGTCGTTGCTCGCGACCAACATACCGACGATGAGGACGGCAAGCATGTAGAACAGCACGATACGCGCAAAGACGCGCTTGCAAGCGCGGGGAATGGCGCGGCGGGGGTTCTGCGTCTCGGCAGCAGCCATGGCAAGGGACTCAACGCCAGCAAAGGAGAAGACGGCGCTCGTCATGACGCCCCAGTACCCCAGAAACTTGCCCCAGTCGCCAGTGGCGATGTGCTCGACGAACGGACCCGGGTTCTGCCAGTAGCGGAATCCGATGCGGGGCGTGCCGGGAACACCGCCAAGGTCGATGACGAGACCAAGGATGATGAGGAAGATGACGAGCAGGATCTTGAGCAATGCGAAGATGAACTCGACCTCACCAAAGACGCGCACAAAGGCAATGCCAACGACGAAGGTCAGCACGATGAAGACGACGATGAAGACGGACGGGTTGATGTCGGTCCAGAACTCAAAGAGCACGCAGATGGCCGTGATCTCGGAAGGGATCGAAAGGATGTTGCCATAGACCAGGTTCCAGCCGATGGCGAAGCCCCAGGCGGGGTCGACGAGGAATTCGGCATGACGGACGAAGGATCCTGTGACGGGCAGCAGAGCCGAGACCTCTCCGAGCGCAAACTGCACGGAGCAGACGATGAGGCCGACGGTGGCGTAGCCGAGCAGCGCACCAAGGGGACCGCCGGTCTGGATGGCGCCGCCGAGGCCGAGGAACAGACCGGTGCCAATGGCGCCGGCGATACCCAGCATGGAAAGATGGCGCTGCTCCAGACCGCGCTTCAGGTCGCGGTCCTCGGTGGTGGTGACGAAATCGCCGTCGTGATCGTCGTGAGGCTCAAACGGGCCGCCCCGAGGGGTCTCAGGGGCCTCGGCGGCCTCGACGTCCTCGGACGTGATCCAAGCGTGGCGGGTGACATTGGCGATGCCCGGCGACTTGGCGCCGGGGAACGGGATGGTATCGGTGCTCATCGCTCTCGTTACGTTCCTCTCTCCTCTCTTTTTTTTTTCTTGGCTGCGTCCTTCACCGCGGTCGGGCTGGCGGTGGGAGGTGAGAGCAAAAGCTGATGCCGATAAGGACCGGTTCAAAACTGTGCCTCTTGTTGTCGCTGCGAGACAATATTATGTAATCTTGCACCGGTCTCGCAATCGCTCGACGAGATAACGCGATGGGCAACCAGGATATCTTCACCTCAACGGACAATGTCGACAACCGTCTGCTACGCCGATTCCTAGTTCATGCGGCTCTGGCCCATGGCTGGCTTGCAAAAAAAAAAAAAAAAAAAAAAAAAAAAAAAAAAAAAAGGATCACGGAAAAGCCGCACGGGAAATCGGGGGGCTGACGGGGGTAAACACGAAGAAATTTCGTCGTCTTATCGCGAACCCCATTCGGGAAGGTGAGATTTCTCATTTGATGATGCGATTGCGCCGAGCGGGGCCGGTCCACCTGCACTGCGAGCACGTTCCTGGGCTGCCGTACGGACGACGACAGCGTTTCTACGTTATCATATCTGAAACCGAGGCTCTTGTTTTTGTTGTCTCTTTGGACGACTGACTCGTGCGACCGAGACGGATGTTTTGATTCCATTTTGCATATGGATGTTTTTTTATATGTATTTGCTCAGAAGGCTCTTTAATCTCGTTTGCCGTTACCAAACCATTCTGAAGGTTGCGATCCTAGAATGGCCGCGCAACGCGACACGTTTTCTCACTTGCATGCCGTTTAGCCGGATAGACTTCCTGACCCCTGTCTCTTCATCAAGTCGTTTCCTTCTACCTCATAAGCCTGAACTGACAATCGCAGCTTGACAACAAGGTGCAACCTCGGAAACAATTGTGCTATTGAAGACCGTCATGTATCGGAGAGTTCATTTTGCTTTCTATAGCTTGTTTCTGTCCGACCGTGGCTAGCTGCAGCAACAGACAGGCTACCACGATCCGTCTCATGTAAGATCCATGGAAAGTCTTGGCAGCTTACGTTGACCTACGAGCTACAGACACTTATGTCGTCGGAAAACTCATCGTATCTAAACGAGACAGTCTCTCCTGATCTATACGGGTAAATGGCATACTTAGGTTCGGTAAATACATTGCTCTTAGCATTCAAGAACCAGAATCATTTTACGTTTCCCTGAGTTTCAGCGCTTTTTTAGAAATACTATGGATGTTATATCCGATCTTCCCCAGTACCACCAAGCCAGGACTCTTCAAAACCAGTCACGGATTTTGCTGTTTCTACTTAGGACGTGGTTTTTGTGCATTCATTGCCGTGACTGCCACTCAACTGGGCCATGCCTTCTAGCAGCGACTCAATAGTAACATTCCCAAGTTTGAAACCAGTCCTGGCTCTCCCGTCCTTCTTTGTGCCTCCTTGAGCTACGTCCCAGGCGAGTATAGACTTGCACAGAATCGCAATGATCTCAAAACCTGTCCCAGATAAGTCATTCTTCTTCACTTTCAGCGATGGGCTGCAAACCCTGGCCGGCGCTGTCCTCCTAGCCCATCGGGTGTTACCCGCTATGGGTTATCCGGCTCAAGCACAGCGCTCATGTTTCCGCGTCCTGTTGTATTCATGGACACCTTGCATTGCTTCCATGCTATGCCTGCTTTCGTTCTGATAATTATACCGAATCTGGCTTGTCACATGTCGGTGTACAGGTATTTACCGCTTTTGGCAGCTCTCTCCTGCCTCAACTCGAATACGCCCTCTTAGGAGGAGACATCGATGATGTGACAACCTAAATCAGGGGTAGTTCCTCTTGAAGAAGACTAGAAGAAGGGAGGTATCATCGCCGTGGACGGTGATGGCCTTCTCGTACAGAATGCCTCAGCGAACTGTACCCAGGAGCACCAAACAGAAGGGTGTTTCCACCTTTAATACCCGCAAATTGAATAAAGAGGTAGGGAGAATTTGAGTATCGATGCCTCATTAGTTCAGAGTAATACCACTGAAATTGCCAACCGCTTCATGACGAATGGCCGTCATGCCGCTGCGGACGCAAAATGCGGGTAAAGTTATCGGCGACGGTACCATGGTGAGAGTTGAGGGCATATATAATGGCCAGATTTTGTACTCAAGAGCCTAGGTTTTGCGGCTGCTTCAAGAGAGAACCATTCTTTGAACCCCAATATCCGACTATGAGTGTCACTTGTTGCATCATCTCGGAAAGACGAAATTATCAACACACTACAAAGAGCCGATTCGCAGCCAAGGTCAATTCGCCACTTGGACTCACGACAAATGGTGATCCAGGTCACCAGGGCGTGCGTGGTTCACTGGTCCCTCCCGGGGCTGTCCGTCCATAACCCCGTCAACAAATCAGTGTTGACTCGAACGCATAAAACGGTGCCAACGCGGCGCGGTTAAGACAATGCTAGAAGAGCGGCGAAGTACATGCAATTGGATTCATCAGAGGTTGAAAGGGGAAATGGAGAGCTCACTTGGCTTTGAGATGACTCCCTTGCTTCATGCTTGGCCAATGTTCTCCCTGAACCTGTATTATTGTGTTCACACACCAACTTGAATGATACTGCGCTACAAAATGCCGTTCTTTGAGGATAGCTATTCACTCGTCAAGCGATGGATGTTTCGGGGTTGCTGAATATCAGTTTGCATGCTTTGTTTCCCAACAGAAACCTGCATGTATAGTCTCACCTTTCTGGACGCTGCACCCATAACGAAAATGCGGTGCCTAGATCCTGACTATAAACTTTCCACTCACCCGGATACTACGCAAAGATTTGAGACTCAGGTCCTTCCACAACGGGTAATCCTGCGGAAGCCAAGACTGATGTCGCTTTATCGTTGCAAGACGCGCCCAGCGTTGCTCCACCGTCCCATACCACAGACGAAGCTGGAAGCTACGTTGGGTTCCCCAACACAGCACGGTAGCATGAGTCCAGCAGCTTCTGATTTTTATCCAAGCTGACATGGCTCTCTTAGCCTCCCCTATCCAACCGGTCCCGTCTACCTCGAACTCTTACAGATAATGGAAGATCTCTCCCGCCACTGACCCAGGTGACGGCTCGGACTAGAAGATCTCAGCGATGCCGTGGACCGGCGAAGGGGCGAGCTGGAGCACAGAGTTGACGGCTAACATATTACTCTACCGCCGTTGGGCCTGGCGCGATACCATAACGCTAGACAACTCAGGTGGTGGAGGTTGTGTGGGCAGAACCCATCAACAACCAGGCAAGCGCTGCATTTCACTCCTCCGTTGACGCCAACCTGGCAAGATGGCATGACTCTCGGTCGGGAGAACATGAGCGGCAGGAGACGTCCAACGGATGATCCACAAGGAGCGGCGAAGTTGAGCACACAGGGCAGAAGCTGATGTTCCTGAAAACATCAAACACTAAGACGCCTTTGGCTGGAACATGCCATTTGAGAAGGAGTCCGCATTGAGAGGTATGGACTCATGTAGTCGACGAACTGCCATGGCAATCAGTATGGCCTGGTCCTTCGGTGGTTTGAGGTCCAAGGTAGAGCCAGCTGAGGGGTAGGTGAGACGGCTTGTTTTCCGGCACGCTGGTAAGAGCAGTCAGTTCTCGGTTAGAAAACTGATGTCAAGAGATGCGTGAAATGTTGACATGGAGCTGGGAGGGTTTTAAAACGAGGTCAGCTTGACACCTGGTTTGGTCTAAGAGACTTCGTAGTAGACTCTGGTACCTCTTCTGGAGACCAGGCAGATAAGAGACCAACACAAGCCGCACACGGCCGTGCTCGAAACGTTCTCAGATTCATTAGGAATATTTCCCCAAGACATGAATGACCCAGGGATCCTTGGCTCAGTTCTCACATGCAGCAAAAAAAATGTATGGCAAAAGAGAAAATGTTCCGAAACCGAGAATCGAACTCGGGCTATGCCTAACCTCTCACAAGATGAGAGGGCATCATGTTGGCCACTACACCATATCGGATTTGTTTCTTGGCGTTGCTCTGGAAATTCATGTTTATCATTCTGTGGGCAGAGGTGGAGATGCGACCCGGCCCTACCAACCCCCCCCCCTTCACAATCTTCCCGTTGATAAACCTCCTTAAGCTGGCAGCAAATCCGTACACCAGGCATGATCCCAGTTTGCACGACGCTCTTCATCTCACGAAGAAGAGACCTTTGCGATTTGCGTCACAGACTCTGAAGGAAGCATCGTGAGGACGTGCCTTCTCTTGTTCGGCGACACCGGAAAGTCAGGGGAATCCCGATCCCCAATGTTTCCAACGCAATTCAG